GCTTGTTCGGACTCTGGATGTCTCTGGAGGTTGCAGACGAGGCCAAGAACGCAATCATTTGGAAGCTTGACTAAGCAGGAGGGTTTGCTCCCAAGGTGGTTTATTCTTCTGCCCAGCAAGAGCTGCTGGCGGGAAGCCTCAGTTCAGAGGCTCCCCACAAAGCTCCTTGAGTGTCCTCATGACACGACAGAGGATTTCCCCCAAAGCACGTATCCGGGAGGAAACATGGAGGAAGCCACGGTGCCCTTTCCTGACCTAGAGCCAGAAGCTACATACCTATACTCGTAATCCTGCTCTTGAAAGGAAGTCATTGAGTGCAGCGCCCCCAGAACGGGAGGAGAACCAGGGTCTGCTTCTGGAAGGCAGGACTGGCAACAGATTTGTAGGCTTCTGAAATCATGACACTTCTCTCCAAAAGCCACCTCTCCTCTCTTTTGCGTGTTTCTCCCCTGGAAGCGACGTGTTCCTAAAACTGCCCTTTGAAATCGTGTGCAAGGTGAGGCCCCGTCCCCATACTCCATGCGCGCTCTTGTCTGCTCAGACCCTTCCTCAGTATTTTTATGCTCAAGGTGGACTTAGTCTTTCTGGCAGAGGTTGTGGGTTATTTGTAGCTCTCCTTTTCTGTCTTCTCTGCCGTATTTCTCAGTCTGTCTTTGCTCACCGCGAAGCAGAAGAGGGGCACAAGCGAGAAACGTCACACACTGAAATTAGGGCACTTTTTTCTTTTTTTACTTTTTTGACGATTTTGGAATTCTCTGCCTTCAAGTTGCACTGAGAGCTTGGTCACCACGTAGATTCACTTCCCCTTCTCACTGTTGTGTATATTTGGGAAGAAATATTAAGAGGCAGGTAACCAGGCAACCACCTGTGCAAATCTCCACGGGAGTTTAAAAGATGTTGCTTAGGGGGCGCCTGGGTGGCTCAGTCAGTTAAGCATGCGACTTCAGCTCAGGTCATGATCTCATGGCTTGTGGATTCAAGCCCCGTGTCGGGCTCTGTGCTGACAGTTGGAACCTGCTTTAGATTCTGTGTCTGCCTCTCTGCCTCTCTGCCCCTCCCCTGCATTATCTTTAAATTATTTACCTTTTTTTTTATGTATAAAATTTATTGTCAAATTGGTTTCCATACAACACCCAGTGCTCATCCCAAAAGGTGCCCTCCTCAATACCCATCACCCACCCTCTCCTCCCTCCCACCCCCCATCAACCCTTAGTTTGTTCTCAGTTCTCAACAGTCTCTTATGCTTTGGCTCTCTCCCACTCTAACCTCTTTTTTTTTTTTTCCTTCCCCTCCCCCATGGGTTCCTGTTAAGTTTCTCAGGATCCACATAAGAGTGAAACCATATGGTATCTGTCTTTCTCTGTATGGCTTATTTCACTTAGCATCACACTCTCCAGTTCCATCCACGTTGCTACAAAAGGCCATATTTCATTTTTTCTCATTGCCACGTAGTATTCCATTGTCTATATAAACCACAATTTCTTTATCCATTCATCAGTTGATGGACATTTAGGCTCTTTCCATAATTTGGCTATTGTTGAGAGTGCTGCTATGAACATTGGGGTACAAGTGCCCCTATGCATCAGTACTCCTGTGTCCCTTGGATAAATTCCTAGCAGTGCTATTGCTGGGTCATAGGGTAGGTCTATTTTTAATTTTCTGAGGAACCTCCACACTGCTTTCCAGAGCGGCTGCACCAATTTGCATTCCCACCAACAGTGCAAGAGGGTTCCCGTTTCTCCACATCCTCTCCAGCATCTATAGTCTCCCAATTTGTTCATTTTGGCCACTCTGACTGGCGTGAGGTGATACCTGAGTGTGGTTTTGATTTGTATTTCCCTGATAAGGAGCGACGCTGAACATCTTTTCAGGTGCCTGTTGGCCATCCGGATGTCTTCTTTAGAGAAGTGTCTATTCATGTTTTCTGCCCATTTCTTCACTGGGTTATTTGCTTTTCGGGTGTGGAGTTTGGTGAGCTCTTGATAGATTTTGGATACTAGCCCTTTGTCCGATATGTCATTTGCAAATATCTTTTCCCATTCCGTTGGTTGCCTTTTAGTTTTGTTGGTTGTTTCCTTTGCTGTGCAGAAGCTTTTTATCTTCATAAGGTCCCAGTAATTCACTTTTGCTTTTAATTCCCTTGCCTTTGGGGATGTGTCGAGTAAGAGATTGCTACGGCTGAGGTCAGAGAGGTCTTTTCCTGCTTTCTCCTCTAAGGTTTTGATGGTTTCCTGTCTCACATTCAGGTCCTTTATCCATTTTGAGTTTCTTTTTGTGAATGGTGTGAGAAAGTGGTCTAGTTTCAACCTTCTGCATGTTGCTGTCCAGTTCTCCCAGCACCATTTGTTAAAGAGACTGTCTTTTTTCCATTGGATGTTCTTTCCTGCTTTGTCAAAGATGAGTTGGCCATACGTTTGTGGGTCTAGTTCTGGGGTTTCTATTCTATTCCATTGGTGTATGTGTCTGTTTTTGTGCCAATACCATGCTGTCTTGATGATGACAGCTTTGTAGTAGAGGCTAAAGTCTGGGATTGTGATGCCTCCTGCTTTGGTCTTCTTCAAAATTACTTTGGTTATTCGGGGCCTTTTGTGGTTCCATATGAATTTTAGGATTGCTTGTTCTAGTTTTGAGAAGAATGCTGGTGCAATTTTGATTGGGATTGCATTGAATGTGTAGATAGCTTTGGGTAGTATTGACATTTTGACAATATTTATTCTTCCAATCCATGAGCAGGGAATGTCTTTCCATTTCTTTAAATCTTCTTCAATTACCTTCATAAGCTTTCTATAGTTTTCAGCATACAGATCCTTTACATCTTTGGTTAGATTTATTCCTAGGTATTTTATGCTTCTTGGTGCAATTGTGAATGGGATCAGTTTCTTTATTTGTCTTTCTGTTGCTTCATTGTTAGTGTATAAGAATGCAACTGATTTCTGTACATTGATTTTGTATCCTGCAACTTTGCTGAATTCATTAAATTATTTATCTTTAAATAAACATTTTTTTTTAATTTTTTTTTTCAACGTTTTTTTTATTTATTTTGGGACAGAGAGAGACAGAGCTTGAACGGGGGAGGGGCAGAGAGAGAGGGAGACACAGAATCGGAAACAGGCTCCAGGCTCCGAGCCATCAGCCCAGAGCCCGACGCGGGGCTCGAACTCACGGACCGCGAGATCGTGACCTGGCTGTAGTCGGACGCTTAACCGACTGCGCCACCCAGGCACCCCTAAATAAACATTTTTAAAGATATTGTTCATTAATGGGCACCGGCCTTCAATTTAAAAAAAGAAAAGTGGTGGGGGAGAAAGAGAAGAAGGAGAAAAGTAAGGTGGAGAAGGAGAGGAGGAAGAAAGAAAAGGAGAAAAAATTTGGAAACTACGCAAACAAAATTAATATGCTTCAGCGAACATTTGTGATTGCAGACCCAGTACTTAGAATTTTTACGAATTCTAAGTCCGATAATTCTCACAAAACCCTAAGAGGTAAGCTCTGTTAAATATCGCCATCTGATGGGTGAGAAAAACAAGGATTAGAACAGTAGGTAAGGTCGGGCGTCTGAGTGGCTCAGTCGGTTAAGCTTCAGCTCAGGCCATGATCTCATGGTTCATGGGTTCGAGCCCCGCGTGGGGCTCTGTGCTGACAGCCCAGAGCCTGGAGCCTGCTTTGGATCCTGTGTCTCTGTCTTTCCCTGCCCCTCCCCCACTCGTGCTCTGTCTCTCTTTTTTTGTCCCTCTCTCTCTCTAAATAAATAAACATTAAAAAATTTTTTTAAAAAAAGAACGATAGGTAAGCTCCCCAAAGGCAGGCAGGCAGTGCAGGGAGCTGGGAGGCAAGACCCAGTAACCTGAGCAGAGTGTGGACACAGCTGTCCATGTCGTGTCCTGGGGTCCGTGCCGGTCGGAAGGTTAACATACTACATAACTTCTGGGCCCAAGTACTTTAAGTAAATGTGGAAGAATGCATGCCATCAGAGGAGGCCAGAATTGTTGAGATTTCAGTAGCTTTGCCCAGCACACGTCTTCTGTCTTCAGCCCATTCTGATTTTGACATTTCCCAAGTACGTGGAGTAGTGAAAGACAAAAAACCCACCTGTTAAATATGAAAGGCCAGACAGCTTTGGGCCTTCATTTAAAAAAAAAAAAAAGATAAACAGGGCGCCTGGGTGGCTCAGTGGATTGAGCGTCCGACCTCAGCTCAGGTCATGATCTCACAGTTCTTGGGTTCAAGCCCCACATCGGACTCTGTGCTGTCAGTGCAGAGCCTGCTTCAGATCCTCTGTTCCCCTCTCTCTGCCTCTCCCCAACTCACGCGTGCTGTCTCTCTCTCTCTCTCAAAAATAAATTAACATTTAAAAAACAAATTTAAAAAAAGGTACACAAAAAAATTTTTTAATTTAAAAAAGATAAATGGGGGTGCCTGGGTGGCTCAGTCGGTTGAGCATCCGACTTCGGGTCAGGTCATGATCTCGCAGTTCATGAGTTCAAGCCCTGTGTCAGACTCTGTGCTGACAGCTCAGAGCCTGGAGCCTACTTCCGATTCTGTGTCTTCCTCCCTCTCTGCTCCTCCCCCTTGCTTGTGCTCGTTGTCTCCCTCGCTCTCTGTCTCTCAAAAATAAATAAATAGACATTTAAAAAGATAAACAAAAGGATGGGGCCCCTGAGTGGCTCCGTCGTTTAGGCGGCTGACTTTGGCTCAGGTCATGATCTCACGGTTGGTGAGTTCGAGCCCTGCATCGGGCTCTGTGCTGACAACTTGGAGCCTAGACCCTGCTTTGGAATCTGTGACTCCCCCTCCCTCTCTGTCCCCTCCCCAGCTCATTCTCTGTCTCTGTCTCTCAAAAAATAAATAAACGTTAAAAAAAATTTTTTTTAAAGATAAACAAAAGGAAAAGGTAACTTTATTATAAGATACATTGTTTGATGAGTTTAATGTCGTTATTATTTTTCTAAGTAAACTAGTAATCTTAGCGGATCTTTTTCCATCTGTTTAATCTGCTGCAGGATGAACAATTGCTGATTAGTGCTACAGAGGCCGAGGCTTTTCTGTGGGGCTTAGATCACGCAGCTGCGGATTTTGTGGCAGTCAGACCTGCAGATTATGAAAGTGCCCACGTCCGACTACAGATGGAAAAAGAACTCCTGTTCGTGCCCAGCAGGCTGACAGGTACCTGTTCTTTTTGCCTTCTTGCTCAGCGTGGGCATCTTCGTTTTCCTTCAGATGAAATATGGCTGGTGTCTGAGGACACCCAATTTCTAATCTGAGTTAGTAATCAAGAAATACCTTTTGGGGCCCCCTGGATCGCTTGATCAGTTAAGCATCCGACTCTGGGTTTCGGCTCAGGTCATGATCTCACAGTTTCGTAGCTTGAAGCCCCACATTGGCCCCAAGCTGACAGCAGAGAGCCTGCCTGGGATTCTCTGTCTCCCTCTCTCTCTCCCTCTCTCTCCCTCTCTGCCCCTCCCCCACTTGCACTATCTCTGTCTCTCTCAAAATAAAAAAATAAACTTTAAAAACAAAAAGAAGAAATGCCTTCAGGTGAAACTAAAATAAAGAACATGAGAAAATGCCCATTGAACAAACACTCACTGATAGACCAGCAAAAGAAATACCAGGATGTTGTGGGGGTCCCCGCATCAAATCAGCAACCTGTGCTGGGGACGGAGAACATGTGAGACTCCGAGATTCTGAGATTCGGGCTGTGAGAAGGAAACTCTCTCTGCTTCATCCTCTACCCACTCAAACTTTCTAGAACACTTCTGTGACCAGACATGTGTGGGTTTCTTCCCACACCGACCAACTCTCCAACACCAGCTGGATATCCTATAGCTTACTACCTGTCTGGGGCTAACGCAGACCCCACAAATAAGGGCTCGGCCCCACAAGACTCCTGTCTACCTCAGACACCAGCCTCAAGTAGTGGGTCCCCACGTTACCCACACTTCTGCTCGATTTCACCACAAATTGGGGGCTCCGTGACCCCCTCCTCAGGTTTGGTCATTTGCTGTACCAGTGCATAGTAGTCAGAGAAATACTTCTACTTGCTGGTTGATCATGTAAGAAAGGATATGAGAGAGCACACACGTGAAGAGATTCACAGGGCAAGGCACGAGGGGAGGGACACGGAGCTTCCATGCACCTCCGCACATTCGCCAACCAGGCAGCTCTTCAGACCCCTTCACTTAGGACTTCTATGGAGGCTTCTTACATAGACACGATCATTGTAGACCAAATCACTGCCATTAATGAAATCTGTAGTCCCTCTCCTCTCCCAGAGGTGGGATGGAGGGCACGGTTGCTGAAAGTCCCAACCTTCTACTCACAAGCCTGCCCGCCAGACCAGCCTGAGACTCTCCAGGAGCCCCCAGCCACCAGGCTTGTCACTGTCATGCAAATGGATGCTATCACGTGAGCGATTCTGAGGGAGCTGCAAAGCAGGTTGGCTGAGGTTCCTCACCTCAGGGAGGTGGAGGTCGGGAATGGTTAAGGATGCTGGAGCCATGACCACTGGATTAACTCCTAGTGACTGCCCCTGGCTGAGTTTCTGGCCTGGGCTTCCCTTTGCTCTTTTCTCACCTGGAATTTTCTTTCCTCCTGAGAGTGCCTGAGGGACCTCCCCAGTTACTTAACTGGTAGTTCACACTTAAAATGGCAGGGCGGGGGTGCCTAGGTGGCGCAGTCGTTTGAGCGTCCCACTGCGGTTCAGATCATGATTTCGCAGTTTGTGAGTTCAAGCCTCACGTCAGGCTCTGTGCTGACAGCTCGGAGCCTGAAGCCTGCTTTGGATTCTGTCTGTCTGTCTGTCTGTCTCTCTCTCTCTCTCTCTCTCTCTCTCTTTGCCCCTCCACTGCTTGTGCTTTCCCTCTCTCTCACAAAAATAAGTAAATAAATATTTTTTAAAAATTAAAATGGCATGGCACAAAAACAGGCACTCAGATCAATGGAACAGAATAAAGAACCCAGAAATGGACCCACAAACGTATGGCCAACTAATCTGTGACAAAGCAAGAAAGAATATCCAATGGAATAAAGACAGTCTCTTTAGCAAGTGATGCTGGGAAAACTGGACAGTGACATGCAGAAGAATGAACTGGGACCACTTTTTTACACCCTACACAAAAATAAACTCAAAATTGATAAAAGACCTCAATGTAAGACAGGAAGCCATCAAAATCATCGAGAAGAAAGCAGGAAAAAACCTCTTTGACCTGGGCCACAGCAATTCCTCACTCACTCAACACGTCTCCAGAGACAAGGGGAAAAAAAGTAAAAATGAACTATAGGGATCTCATCCCCAAAATAAAAAGCTTCTACACAGAGAAGGAAACAATCAGCAAAACTAAAAGGCAACTCACAGAATGGGAGAAGATATTTGCAAATGACGTATCAGATAAAGGATTAGTATCCAAAATCTATAAAGAACTTATCAAACTCAACACCCAGAAAACAATGCAGTGAAGAAATGGGCAAAAGACATGAATAGACACTTCTCCCAAGAAGACATCCAGATGGCCAACCGACACATGAAAAAATGCTCAACATCACTCATCATCAGGGAAAAACAAATCAAAACCACAATGAGATACCACCTCACACCTGTCAGAATGGCTAACATTAACAACTCAGGCAACAATAGATGTTGGTGAGGATGCGGAGAAAGAGGATCTCTTTTGCATTGTTGGTGGAAATGCAAGCTGGTGCAGCCACTCTGGAAAACAGTATGGAGGTTCCTCAAAAAACTAAAAATAGAACTACCCTACGACCCAGCAATAGCACTACTAGGCATTTATGCAAGGGATACTGGTGGGCTGTTTCGAAGGGGCACGTGCACCCCCATGTTTATAGCAGCACTATCGACGGTAGCCAAAGTATGGAAAGAGCCCAAATGTCCATCGATGGATGAGTGGATAAAGATGATGTGGTATATATGTACAATGGAGTATTACTCAGCAATCAAAAAGGATGAAATCTTGCCATTTGCAACTACGTGGATGGAACTGGAGGGTATTATGTTAAGCGAAATTAGTCAGAGAAAGACAAATATATGACTTCACTCATATGATGACTTTAAAAGACAAAACAGATGAACATAAGGGAAGGGAAGCAAAAATATAAAAACAGGGAGGGGGACAAAACAGAAGAGACTCATAAATATGGAGAACAAACAGAGGGTTACTGGAGGGTTGTGGGAGGAGGGATGGGCTAAATGGGTAAGAGGCATTAAGGAATCTACTCCTGAAAACGTTGTTGCACTATATGCCAACTAACTTGGAGGTAAATTTTAAAAATAAAAAATAAATTTAATTTAATTTAATTTAATTTAATTTAATTTAATTTAAATAAAATAAAATAAATAAATTGAAAAGAAAAGAAAAGAAAAGAAAAGAAAAGAAAAGAAAAGAAAAGAAAAGAAAAGAAAAAAGGCAGGGTGGTTTGAGAACCTCTTGAGACTGAAAAGGGGGTCCTGCCCTTACCTTACCTGGAAGCTAGCTTTCTTTTCAGTTGTCATGTCCTGAGTTCCAATTAAAAGCCCAGCCGAAGATAAATTGTTGTTTAATTTTGATAGTTAATTTTGAATCACGTGTGTTCAATGTATTTGTTGGACATGACGCAGGGTGGGGGTGGGGGGGTGTGCTGCCTGGGTGGCTCAGTCGGTTAAGCGATCGACTTTGGCTCGGGCCATGATCTCACGGTTCATGAGTTTGCGCCTGGAGTCTAGCTCTGTGCTGACAGCTTAGAGCCTGGATCCTGCTTCGGGTTCTGTGTCTCTGTCTCTGTCTGTTCCTCCTCCGCCTGCACTGTCTCTCTCTCTCTCTCTCTCTCTCTCTCTCTCTCTCTCAAATAAAGATTTAAAAAAAAAATAATAAGCAGCTGGGAAACGTGCCCAAAGTTGACACCTTTGCCATAATAGTAACAGTGAATGCATCCTGTGCTCTCCCGCCAACAGGCACCTGTCTAAGCACTTGCTGTGTATCCACAAATCTGCTCCCACACCAGGGCTAGAGAAGTCGTCTCTTTCATTTTACAGATGAAAAAGCAGAAGCCCAGAGAAGTTAGGGAACTAGTCCAAGACCTTGAATCTAGTGACGTGAGGGAGGCAGGTTTCTGAGCGGGGTGGCCAGCTGCAGAGGCCACACGTCTGGCACAGTGCGTCCTGATGCCCTTTGGGGGAGTGGAGAAATGCATTTGCGGCAACCTCAGCCAAGGAGGAACTTCCTCACCTGCGTCTGTGTGCAGGGGACTCTCACTTCCAGGCCTGTCGCTGGAGCCCCCTTGGTTGGGAGTGGAGGTTTCACCCCAGGGGCCCGCTCAGACAAGGGGTGGGGGGGGTTGCTCGTGGAAGAGGCCTAAGCTGTCCCGGCTGCACGGGGGTCCTGCTCTGAGCGGGGATCCAATCACAGATCCTTCTCCCACTCGCGCTGGCCCACGGGGGGGGCCCTGTGAGGAGGTGACCCTGGCCTAGCCAACAGGAGTCGGGGAGCCACACAGCCCCAGCTCCTCCTCCGCAAGGTATGACCATGAGCGAGCTCCTCTATTCCGGGGTGCCTCGCCTGAAGTCAGCAGGAAACGAGATGCTCCTATGAAATGACCCTGGATGTTTAGTTTTCCTTTGAGCACTGAGGAATGACATGAGTGAATTACCTGTGCTGTGACCAGCACATAGCAGGAGATCAGAAATAATAGTAATTTCTGTTACTGGTGCTGTCATTCTTGTCACTGTTTGGAGAACAGTTGCCAAAGTCGAGTGTGTTAGCCAATGTCAAGGCTTCTACTTACACGTATTTTTAATCTCTTCCTTCCCTGATCTAATTCTGTAAGTATGATCATGCGTACACAACATATAGGCATATGCAGGGTGGGCGAGTGCTCAAAAACGTTCCCTTGAAAAGAGTTGAAGACCCCTGAGATTAGTAATGGGCCCCCGTCTAGCCATGTGAGGGGTGGGGAACAGAAAAAAGGTTACAACAGTGGTTTGCCCCAGGTTTTCTAAAGACTCCGAGGTAGGTTCTTCCAGAACTACTGGCATTGGTTGCTTTTTTGCGGGGGAGTTTGGGAAGCAGAGTATCCAAATGGCCACACACAGGAGAATTGGCAGATTCGAGGATTTGGCGAGGTTTAGAGTGAGGTAATTATAAACAAAAGTGATTCTCCACCTTTCCTCTTAGCTCCCAAATTGGCTCCGGGCCCTCACAAATCCACCATCTTTTCTCATTTCTCCTCTGGCCTACTCTGCCCAAGCAGGCCCAGGGATCTTTCTAGAACTGAGAATCTGCTCGGTCACTCCCCAAGTAGAGCCTTCGGTGACCCACCCCCCTGGCCAGAACCCACTGCTGCTGGTGGCCTGAGAGGCCCTCCCTCCACCCTACTGCCCTTCACTGCTCACCACCCACTCAGTGCCCGCCCTGTGTTCCTCCTCCTCCCCTGTTCCCTGGGACACTCACACCCCCAGGTCCCCATCCCCAGCTCCTTCCTTCTCAACCCTCAAGTGCAAATGCATCACCTCCGGAGAAAATCCTCCCTTGCTGCTCTGTTTCAAGTTTGTCTCCTTTTTTAAACTTCTTAACTTACAAAGCATTTTCTCATACTTTACCTCATTTCATTCTCCCAAGAACCTTGTGAGTAGATACTCTCATCCCTTTTGTACGGAAGGAAAGAGTTCAAAGAAGGGCCCGGCCCAGGTTCTTTCCACCAGTGAGCGATGAAGCAGGTCCTCCGATTTGAATACTGCCGTCCCCGTGCTTTGCCACACTGGTGAGTTAGGTGTGGACTTATTTCATGATTCTGCAACGTGATATTACGGGTGAACACATTCCTCTTTTCCCTGGTTCTGCTTCTAGAAGTTAACATGGAGCATTTGCGGCTTCCAAGAATCTAAATGAAATCTCCAGTGGTTGTTTGAAGTCACCAAATTGCAGCTGCAAATGTTTAGGCTGGCACCAATGTTGCTTTTATTTGCTTCTGACCTATCTAGTGCCTACGTATAAAAAGCTTCCCGAGAACGTACAGCCCAGATATCTGGAAGACGAAGGCCTGTACATCGGCACAAGACCGGACGTGCCTCGCACCTGTCAGAACATCATGGAGAACAGGTTGCTGACACAGGAACCTGTAAGCACGCAGCCAGTGTCTCCCCCCCGCTCCCCCCCCCCCCGCCATCCTCCCTGTCCCCCGGTGGGCAACTCTTGGAGCTGCTTCTTCCTGTGGGGACAGTCACATCATGCTCATTTCCTCCTGCCTGTAGATAGTGGTTCAATATTTTTATTTGTCTCTCAGTACGTTTGGCGATCCTCAAACCGCACAACCTCTCCCCCCGCTTAAAACCCATCTTCCGTTGGCTGGGCTCGGGATTCTTCTGCTGAGTCAGATGTCCACAACCCTCACGCAATTCACAGAAATGTTTAATCATCCACGGATAGAAGGTTCTCTGTTGTTTTGCTCCTATGGTTTTTTCCTTCAATTTTTCATGCATAGAAAATACATTTTTTCTGAAGCACCCCTGTAAGCTTTTTGTTAACGCTTTTTTGGAGGGGAGTGAGGACTATATCTTAATTGTGGGGGGTGTTAGTGACGACTCAGTTGCTAATGGAAACGAGGCTTTTATTTTTTTTATTTAAAAATTTTTTTATGTTTATTTTTGAGAGAGACAGAGAAAGAGAGAGTGTGTGAGCAGGGGAGGGGCAGAGAGAGAGGAAGACACAGAATCCGAAGCAGGCTCCAGGCTCTGAGGTGTCAGCACAGAGCCTGACGCAGGGCTTGAACCCACGAACCACAAGATCGTGACCTGAGCCAAAGTTGACACTGAACCAACCAAGCCACCCAGGCGCCCCAGAAATGAGGCTTTTAAAGATCTATTGGGACAGGGGAAGGTGCATGAAATGTGTGTGTCAACCCAGAATTTTCTTGCAAGTGTTGTTTCTTTTGTAAACCATTTTCTGTCCAGTTAGAAGAAGACGTTGGGACGTCTGGGTGGCTCAGTCAGGTAGGCGTCCGACTTTGGCTCAGGTCATGATCTCACAGTCCGTGGGTTTGAGCCCCGTGTCGGGGTCTGTGCTGACAGCTCAGAGCCTGGAGCCTGCTTCGGATTCTGTGTCCCCCTCTCTCTCTGCCCCTCCTCCGTTCTCTCTTTCTCTTTCTCTCTCAAAAATAAATAAACATTTTTTTTAAATATTAAAAAAAAAAAAAGAATAAAATGTTGTCCATCCCTCTGCTTAACCTGCAGGGAAGAAGGTGGTTCGGAGACGATGGGCGAATTGTAGCACTGCCAAACCCCATCAAGCCATTTCCTTCAAGACCACCGGTGTTGACACAGGAGCAAGACTTCAGGGCAGAACTTGAAACATTGTATAAAAAGGTAAGCCCACCTCCCCCTTTTTTAAAAAAAGTTTATTTATTTGGAGAGAGAGAGAGAGAGGGCAAGCCCACACGGGGGAGGGGCAAAAAGAGAGAGAGACAGAACCCCAAGCAGGCTCCGCACTGTCAGCTCAGAGCCCAACGCGGGACTCGATCTCACGAATCCGTGAGATCACAATCTGAGTCGAGATAAGAGTTGGACTCTTAACCGACTGAGCCACCCAGGCGCCTCCACCTCCCCATTTTTAATGCATGAATGTGCTTGAAAGTGCTTTGTTCTTTGGATAGCCTGGAGTGCTAAGTTCATAACATTGTACTTTGGTTGTTTAAGTTTCTCTATGTCACACATAAGAACAAGCCTACTATGCTCACCTACTTGCTTCTCAAACAAGGAATGAGCTCCCAGGTAGGAATGGCTAAGTCAGTGACTTTATCTGCATATCCAGGTTAGCTGGCTTTATTTTTCTTCCTTTTTCTCTGCCATCTCACATATGCTGCAGGATTATTTCCCATTCATTGTCTCTTTATTATATAACTGGAGATTTTCTATCCTTGCAAATCCTTTCTACTGTGTTTTCTTAAGGCCAGGTAGCAAACAGCTTGACTTGAGTCCTGGCACTGACATTCACAGGGCAAACTTGGCCCTTAATTTCTCTGGGTCACAATCTCTTCATCTGTAGGATGGACCTAATAACAGTATCTGCCTCTAAGATGGTTGTGCAGATTTGTTGAGACAGTACATTCGAGTGCTTGGATCAGAGCTCAGTAAGTGCTGGCTAGTGTTAAACAGACAGAGTTGCCTGCCTACGTGTTTAATTATATTACTCTTGCTTTCCTGAACTGCTGAGCAAAGATCACCACCTTCAGAAACCCATGTAGTTTTGGGGCACCTGGTGGCTCGGTTGGTTGGGCGTCCGACTTTGGCTCAGTTAATGATCTCGCAGTCCATGAGTTCAAGCCCCACATCAGGCCCTGCACTGACAGCTCAGAGCCTGGAGCCTGCTTCAGAGTCTGTCTCCCTCTTTCTCTGCCCCTCCCCTGCTCACACTCTGTCTCTCTCTCAAAAATAAAATAAAAACATTAAAAAAAAAAAAAAAAGAAACCCATGTAATTTTATGTTTGTAATATTTCACCATGGATACAGTGAAACAGAATGAGGGGATTTAATGATCATTCTGTAAAGCAAGACATGGGTGCAAGTCAGGGCATCTGAACTGCCCTACTAACAACTACTTCATGACTTTGGGAGGGTCCCATTTCCTTAATTAAAAAATAGGAATAATAATAGTCCTCTCTACCTCAGAGGATCATTGTGAGTATTAAGATAATGTAACTGTATGCCATTTTAAAAATTTTTTAACATTTATTTATTTTTAAGAGAGCATGAGTGGGGGAAGGGCAGAGAGGGAGACACAGAATCTGAAGCAGACTCCAGGTTCTGACCTGTCAGCAAAGAGCCCAATGCAGGGTTCAAACCCACGAACTACAAGATCATAACTTGCCCCGAAGTCGGACGCTCAACAGACTGAGCCATCCAGGTGCCCCTGCCCTTTATTTAAAATTACGAATTTCTGGGACACGTGGGTGGCTCATTCAGTTAAGCGTCTGACTCTTGATTTTGGCTCAGGTCATGATCTCAGTTTGTGAGTTCAAGCCCTGCGTTGAGCCCTGCACCGACAGCTCTGAGCCTGCTTGGGATTCTCTCTCTCCCTCTTTGTCTGCCCCACGCCTCCTCTCTCTCTCGCTAAAAAAATAAATAAATCAACATTTTCTAAAAACAAAAACAAAATGTGAACTTCTATAAAATATTGTTGTTATTACAGACAAGTTTTAATGAGTGGCTACTTTGTGCCCAAATGTGATCATGGGAGTAGATTTGCAAAACAAGCACAAACCCAAGTCACTGTCCATGAGGGATTTGTCATCTGTTTGTTTCCACGCCAGATCTGTGACCTAATTAGTGATCGAGATAGTCTTCCCCTTGGGCACATATCCAGCAATATGTCAGTCTCCCTTCACTGTTCCATCCATTTCAGCAGGACACATTGATATAATGAGACTCTATGGGTCACAATGAGAAAATAGAAGAGTAAATACCACGGAGGGTGGGGTATTAGGGGAGCCAATTAATCTTACCTGTCTGCTTTAGAAGTTGTCAGCTAGCTGGGAAGCTGGGAATGGCACGGGGTCAGAGAGGGATGCAGGCATCAGTCGCACTATGGGAACAGCCGGACAGCAGAATGCCATGGGAACCCAAGACCGGATGGGCTTCCTATTCCGTCTCCCATGAATTAGGTCCTCTCCTGGACACGAGCCTGGTGAGTTCACCACGGGGACGGCTGAGGAGAACCCACGAGGCCAGTAAGCAGGCTTTCGGGAAAGAGCTAAGAAGGGGCAGCAGAGAACCCAGACCAATGACTCGAGCTCCAGCTGGCCCTCTAGTCACATTCTTCCTTCTCTCTGGGGAAGAAGCCATGAGGATGGACAGTGGGGAGAAGCAAGGTGGCTTCTTCCCCATGCCTGTGAGATGGGAGATCTTCCCATCTTGTGTGCAGAAATGGGGAAGTTGGGAAAGAGAATAGTTCCACTAAGAGGGGGTTGAGCATCCAGCATCACAGGAGCCAAAGAAGTTAGAGAAGGGAGACATCCAAAGGGACTGGAGGCTCCCAAGGTCATTTCTTAGAGGGTCAGTCTCCCTTCACTGTTCCATCCATTTCAGCAAAGTTACATGGCAAAGTATGAAGGATATGTTGGAGTGTGTGAGAAGGTGGCAGAAGGCTTTAAATTAGAGGGAGGAGATATTATACCCCCTCTCTGATCCCCCATTACACGTTACCTGCTAAGTTCGCTGTTGAATTGTATACCTCGTTCTTTTTTTGGAGTGTCATTGTGGAAACTTCCAGTGATTCAAAACATCATGCATTTCTTTCTGGATTGGTATTTTCACAATTTTATTTACTTCCTAACTTTTGCCTTTTCCTACATTTATTCAGATCTGTCCAATGCCAAAACCCGTTCTTCCACTGTTCCATGTCACAGGCTTGCCTTTAAGAACAAACGTTAAATGCGCATGGTCTATATTTTTAGCCCTCCATCCAAACATACCTTCCATCTGGGAGTTTTGACATGATGCGCGAGCAGAGAAGGAGATGAACGGGCAGAAATGGCTTCATTGACAGGTTATTAATGCATCTTCTCTCTCTTCCCCCACTCCCCTGAAAGTGACTCAAGGGCAAAGACGGGGTTTTCTTCTTCTTTTAGCCCTAGCACTGAGCAGGAGGCTGGCACGCAGGGACACCTCAAAGTACAAATTGAATATTATTAAAATGATTCAGCTGAGCTGAATGTGTCTAGAAGAGACCCCCCTCCTTATTCCTCTCCTCAGCTGTCTCTCCTGCAGAACAGTGGCTTCCCTGGGGTCTGGCTTAACCCTGGCATCCAAGTGATGGAAAACCAAGTCAGTGTGCCAACTGGGAATTGGCAATTCTTGGGGCCATTAATGGAGCCTTGGTGAATTTATGCCTCAGAGCTCTTAGGCTCGATGCTGACCCAGCAGGACTGACCAAATTCATCCCCCATTAGTATTTGGTAAAAATGTAATATTCTACTGTTCCTAATTTAAGACCTCTGTTAGAGACCATTAAATATAGATTAATACTAGGGGTGCCTGGGTGGCTCAGTCCGTTGAGCGTCTGACCCTGGATTTCGGCTCAGGTCAGGAACTCACAGTTTGTGAGATTGAGCCCTGTGTCAGGCTCTGCGCTGACAATGTGGAGTCTGCCTGGGATTCTCTCCTCTCTCTCCCCCTCCCCTGCTTGCATGCACTTGTGTGTGCAAGTTCGGATTCTCTCCCTCTCTCTCTCAAAATAAATAAATGTAAAAAATAGATTAATACTCAATAAATAAATAACATAGAGAAATACAAAAAGAGATCCGATATTGTGCAAAGAACAAAATTAAACTTCAAATGAGCAAGAATGCAATCGAATACCTCTTAAGAAGGAACTGTTCCAAAACTTCAAAAATAAAAATGCCAAGAGTACATTGCACATATGGCATAAACAATATAAAATGCAGTTTGCCTAATCCTGATTGCAAAGTAGGGTTTGGGTTGTTGGAAGCATCCCAACAGCCTCCCTCCTTCCTCCCTCCTTCCTCCCTTCCTCACTTCCTCCCTCCCTCCCTTCCTCCCTTCCATCTTTGCTTCCTTCCCTCCTACCTTCCCTCTTTTATTTTTAATTTTTCCATCCTTAAGTGAAAGTCCACTATATTCTCAGTTGTCCTAAACTCAGGGAGTACAGAGGTAGCAACATTCAAACAAGGCCTTAGCGAGACTGCCCCTAGCATGGGGTATGGGTTAACAGAAATGTCACGTGTTAGAGATTCTGTGAGGGGTGCCTGGCTGGCTCAGTTGGAGGAGTATGCAACTCTTGACCTCAGGGTTGTGAGTTTGAGCCCCATGTTGGCCACAGAGTTTACTTAAAAAAAATAAATAAGTAAAAGGTTCTGGGATTTGAAGTTGGCATGACATTCCTGAAGGACATTTGTGTAGGAGCCTCCCCTTTGCAAAACTGCTTACCATTTTGAGGCCTTTACCGTGATTCCAACCTCCTTGTTAATTACCACTTGAGAAGATTAGCACTTTCCCCTCTACCATCCTCACCAATGTTTCCCAGACCATTGGTCACCTACTAGGCTCTAAACTCTGCATTCACCAACACTCTTCGGTTGCAAATGACAGAAGCTAATGCAAAACTAACTTAAGCAAAGGGAGAACTTGGTGGCCCACATAACTGGGAAGGATCTGGAGATAAATCAGAAAATGAAAGGAGGAGATTTAGGAACCAGGATCTCAGGGGCTGAGACCAGGGGCTCCATGATGGCAGTCTCACTCTCCACCTCTCTTTTCTCTGGTTCTCCTTGAATGTTGATTGGTTTCACTCCCTCCTATTGTAGGCAGGCCAGAATTCTCCATGTGTTAGGAGGCATGACCCTTGATAATCTAAGCATAACAACTCTAAGGGAAAGGGTCTTATCTTTTCCTCCAAGATTCATATTATCAATACTAAGGACAAACTGGTCAGTTGTAAGTGGGACCTGTGACCCCCACCTCATGCCCAGAAGATGGGAATGAGAAAGCTTTCCAGGAAGACCAGAACAATGGGTACAGAATCTCCTGCAGGTTCTGGGCTGGATTCAGACTCTGTTCCTCTTATTTCTCAGGGCAAATATAGAAACTTGTATGTTAATCCCACCAATGATTATTGTTTTTCCATACAACTTCTAAATTTCTTTCTCCGTTGGCATTCATCTCCACACACACTGAGAACATTGGCAGATAATCCATTTGCATCACCCTTGATAGTTTTGGTTTTTGGTTTTCAAATGAAAAGGGAAGAATCAAATCAATTTCAAAATTAAAATACTATGCCCTACAAATATTGTTTATTCTTAGAAGAAATTGTTTCTGCTGTTTTCGGATAGTTCTCAGTATGTGGGAAAAGAAAAATATAGCAAAAAGGAAGACGTGGAACCAGGAGTCTTTCCCCTTAATAGGAAGAGAGTTGGGGTCTTTTGAGTAGTTAGCTCAGTGACTACCAGTAGTCTTAGAAGTTTTTTTTTTTTTTTTTTATGTGGTTGAGCTGAGCCTAAGGCAGAGACCATCAGCAATCATTTGAACACGGGCTAATGGAGATTTGGGGAGGGACAAATGAAGTACAATGACTTAGGTCACACTTCAAGCAATGCTACCCACATACCAAGAAGAGTACAAGATGGAACCCGAAAGCCACACCTGAGTGATCTCATAACCCTGGAACCCTTTGGCAAGGGGAAGGACAAAACAAGAACCAGCAAGAGCAAAGCAATTAGAGATGAATTTTCTATTAGGTCTGTGGAATGATGTTTACTTGTACATGTCTTTGTGAAACAGAAATTTTTTTAATTAATCCCGGTGATCATAAGACACATATTGGCCACATGCAGATTAAAAACTTCTAAGACAAATGCAAGTTATAATTGAGTACTTTCACCTGAACGAAAGAGAAAAGAATTATGCCTCTATTGGTGCAGTCTAAAGTGTAAGGACATTAATGATCAGAACCAGGGCTTTTATAAGGCACAAAATATGAACCCAACAGGCATGGTCTCCCCTCCCTATAAACCCAAATGGAGACTCAACTCAGCATATTCTGGAAGGTACTGAGATATAGTCAATCCATTCCTACTTAAGCCTACCATTTGTAAACACATCGTAATTTTATAAGAACATTTTTTTAAGTAAACTTCACTCCCAGTTTGGAGCCCAACAAGGGGTTTGAACTCATGACGCTGAGATCAAGAGCTTAACCACCCAAGTGGCCCAAAAGGACACTTTTTTTTAAGCAAAAAAAAATCTGTCGATCTTCTCATCAGAGACAGACTAAATGTTATTTTACAGGAGAAAACGTTATTTTATTAAAATAAATAAGGATACAAAACATGAGTAGTCTACTAATCTGGGGAGGGGTGGGAAATATGAAATTGAATGGCTGAAAAGAAATAAACTCATATATTCTTACTTGTGGATCTTGGTGCACCTGTTGTCCCACTGCACATCACAGCATCACTATCCAATAAGTGCTTTAACTGTGGTCCCCCCACACTCTGCTCTCTTTGACAGGCGGTAAAATATGTCCACAGAAGTCAGCACATGATTGGGTCTGGAGACTCCCCGGGAAATTTCCAACTGGACATTGATATTTCAGGGTTAATCTTCACTCATCATCCCTGTTTCAGCCGCGAGCATGTTTTGGCAGCCAAGCTGGCCCAGTTATATGACCAGTACCTGGCAAGACACCAGAGAAACAAGGCAAAATTTCTTACTGACAAGGTACACTCTTCCATTCTTACTGTTGAATTGGTTCTTCTGATGAGCCCAAGCAACAAAGACACTTTCCTGCAGCAAACTTTCTTGTGCCCCTTTCACATGCTCCCTTGGCCTAGGATGTATGATAGAGTGTTCTACCTACAGGCAAAAGGAGGGATTTGGCAATGTACATTTAATGTGTGAAAATTCGGTGGCACACAGTTGGCTTAAAGAGAAAAGTTTGTGCCAACAGTGCAAGTAACCTGACCTCCCAGGAGCGGGCATTAAATGGAAGATATGTGGCTGTGTCTTGCTTGTGTGACCTCAGATGCTGAGACCGTTCATGGCTTGGGCACCTCTCTGTTCTTAGAGACATTCTCATTTTCTCATGAACTTTCCCATAACATGGTACCCAAACACAAGTCAGTTGTTTCAAATGATGCTCAAAGATATGGATCTCTGGCATTTACATGGGCTTTTCTTGCTTAATTTTGACCATGGGCAACTTTCCTCCCATGCCTTGGCTTCAAACCTACTGCCCAAATAAGAGGTAACTCCACCATACCTCCTTTTATGAGTCTATGATTTTATGATCGGTTCACAAAAATATCACTATATGTCCAGGACCCAGAAAGGTCCGCTTTTAACCTTGAAAGAAATCTTATTTTTGAGACACACACATAAAAGTGACACTTGTCATGAGCAATTTGATTATCTGGGCTACAGAACAGGGATGGACATACACTGTTCTTTATTATTCCTTTTCTTTTTTAAGAATAGAAGAAACAGGGGCTCCTGGGTGGCTCAGTCAGTTGAACATCTGACTTCGGCTCAGGTCATGACCCAGGTTAGTGGGTTCAAGCCCCACGTCAGGTTCTTTGCTGACAGTCAGAGCCTGGAGCCTGCTTCGGATTCTGTGTCTACCTCTCTCTCTGCCCCTCCCCTGTTCACGCACTGTCTCTGTCTCTCTCAAATATAAATAAATGTTAAAAATTTTTTAAAAAGAATAGAATAAATAGCTCTCTGTCAGAGTTCATTTTGGTGAAAGTGTGGGAACAGCTGGATGCCTGAACACCCATTCACAGACTTGTTGGCATCATTTTGCCCTACAGAAGTGGGTGGTTTGGGGCATGTAATTTGCAGTAGGCAGTAGAGTTTCTAACTCAAAACTTTTATCCATTTTTTTAAGCTCCAAGCTCTAAGAAATGCTGTTCAGACAGGACTTAACCCAGAAAAAACTCATAAGTCTCTTGACACGACCCAAAAAACTATCAATGAGTATAAATCTGAAATTCGGTGAGTATAAGTCTGTCGTTATAACTTCTACTTTTTCTTCCCTTGTTAGATGCATACTTGTTGAAAGCTTTTTTTTTTTTTTTCGGTTTTTCTGAATGCACTGAATACATGAGACATTGAGCCAAATGAAATAATGAGATATATCCATCATATTAACCCCAAATTTGAAATCCAGTAAAAGAATGAAGATGTGGATATTGTGACTCACACACTCCACTGATGTAAATGAACATTGCTACAGCCACCACTTTAGAGAGGAGCCCGACCACACGCTAGCAAAGTGTGGAAAGTGCCCACAAGCTGGGACGCAGAAATTCGGGATTTCATAGCATCGTTTACAAAAGTAAGGAACTAAGAATAACCCTATACCAGAACGAACACGTCTGGTATAGTCTTCCACTGAACATCTACACCACAGTTAAACTGACTTAGATCTCTGTGTACCAATACGGATAAAACAACGTTGAATGAAAACATCCAGGTGTTAGGAGGAGACTCGCCGTGTGATATGGCTCATGAACCCTAAAGAATACCCAACACAACGCTTGTCTGTTGTAGGCACACACGTGTGTGGTACACTCAGACAGAAAAGACACAGGTGCTGGCTGCTTCCTCTAGGGAGGGAGAGAAGGGAATGAAACTCAAGAGGTCTTCACCTGTAACTATGACATTTTGGCCAAAAACAAATGGCCCTGAGTAAATATATCGAAATGTGAACAAGTGTCCCAATTATTTATGACATATATTTTTCTATTTGGGGGCATTTTTCATAATTAAAATTCAAAAATTAAAGCCTGATTGTTGCCAAACAAGAAGGAAATACAGAATGTAGAAGGTGACTATCTTCTGGAGTCCCATCTATCGGGGAAAATCACGATAACAGATTTCTGCTAGTTCTTCCACCTGTACATACACATGTATATACTCACGCACACATACACGGATGTGTTTATGTGTTTGTATTTTGTTTAAGGAACCATTGCATTTACCATCTCACAACTTGTTTTCTATGCAAAATGAATCTCAGACCTTTTCTTATTGCAGGACATCTAGGTCCGTATCATTATTTAAAGGCTGACATTATATAGATGCTATGTCCCCTGTTGAGAGGCATTTGTACTGGTCCTATTTTTTATGCTGAAACTGTGCTCTAATTGACATTCCTGTGTGTATATATATTTAGGTACCTGTACATTTCCACGGGGTAAATTCTTAGAACAGGAATTAATAAATCCAGGACTTTAAATGCATACTTTTCTTTTTACAACCGAGACTTCAGTTAGTTCTTCCAGCAAAGTGGAAATTAGTGACGTTGAGATATTGTCATTGTAAATGCATGAAGAGTATATTTTAAAACAAAACTTCTTGGGGCACCTGGGTGGCTCGGTCAGTTAAGCATTTGACTCTTGATTTCAGCTCAGGTCATGATTTCACGGTTAATGAGTTCTGCTTTGTCAGAGCCTACTTGAGATTGTCTCTCTCTCTCTCTGCCCCTCCCCTGCTCGCATTCTCTCTCCCTCTCAAAGTAAATAAACTTTAAAAAAATAAAATGAAATGAAAATTCTTATTTATGCTAAAACAAAAAAAACCCAGCTGGCAGCCTCTTTGTGAAGATAATTTTTGTTTTCGCATACATTGGGTAAGAAAAGGGACAAAAAGCTGTTCTGAATACAGAAGTGGTTTTCTATGGACTTGTATTTATTAATCAGCATTTGGAAGCTGGCAGAACGGTGTGTAAGGTGCACAGACCCGTGGGTGGCAGAGCCAGTGTGGTCTTTCTGCTGCCCGTGGGGATGAACAGCTCTGCGGTTCAGCATTTCTGGCCCCGTGAAAGAGTGGGTTTTAGTCTTTTACTGATGTTTAACTATTGCTGAAACCGGTTCAAAGCAGACGGCCTGTTCCCACATGTCCCCTCAAGCGGGCCCGTGTGCGGCTGCTGACCTGACCAGAGGCCGGGTGAGCCCCTGCCGGGCATCGGCCGAGTCAACAGCCAGCACAGCTCCACAGCGAGCATTTTCCATCATTTTCCATCTTCTTTTCTGTAAATGGCATCACGACCGCGTTGCTGGCCCTCTGAGCTGCAACCGGCTGGATGAGGAAGGAAGCACCTTGTGGGTGCAAGACAGGGAGATATTGTATTTCACTCTCCCTACTGGCTCTTAACCCTCAGACCTACTCAGACTTGAACATGTAAAAATTCTGCCACCCTAGAGCCCCATCTGGCTACGCCTTTCTGTGTTTCCCTTCACAGCCAAACTTGTGGCAAACATGAACCAATCTTTCTGCTCAGCTCCCTCCCATCCTGTTCACTGGAACCCGTCCTCATTCACCCACCCGCTTTTCCTCTGAGGCGATCTGGCCACGGTCCCTAGGGACCTCCGTCTTGCCAAGCCCCTCCTGCTACCTGGCCTCTTGACAGCGAGGGGCCTTGTCACCAGAGGGGCCTCTTGTGATGTATTTCTTCCCCTCCCCTCCCTAAGCCACCCTCTCTTGGATGTCCGCACCCCTCTCCTTCCGCCTGTCCTTCCCACCATCCTGTCTCTATCATCCTTCTCTGCCCAGCTTCTGAATGTTCTAAGTCCCTCACAGGGTGTTTCTTTTTCTTTTCTTTATTAATCTGCATTTCCTCCTGAGAGGAATCCAGTCCCGTGGTTGGAAAGATCATCCAGAGAGGCCAGTGAACTCCCAGAGTTTCACCTCAGGGCTGACACCCTCATCCACACTCCGGACCCCATCTTTACCAAGTTTCAGAAAAGTGTTACCTGACTCCCCGGGCAAAACTGCCTTTGCCTTTTCCTCCAGAACCCTGACCACAACTGGTCGTTAAATATTCTTTTGTGATGCTTTGCTTCTGTAGCTCAGATGTCAAATTTTTCTTGCTAAGAGTTCATTTTTAGCATTTCTGAGAAACTATTTTGTCAGGTACTAAAAAAAGAAATAGGAAATATGTCAGAAAGCCTCAACGTGTCCTAGAACTCAGTAAGATAATTTTATACCGCGGTTTTTAAAAAGAAGGCCGGGGAGGTAGCAGCTAAGGGCACAAGAACACAGACCACTTGATAGTGACAGGTAACACTTGGCGGACCACTTACCAGATGTCGGGCACGGTTCTAGCATTAACACTCCTCTCAACAACCCTGTGAAGTAGATTCCGTGAGCACCCCTAGCTTACAGATGAGGCAGGGAGAAGTTAAGTTGTTTGCTAGGCCAGCTCACAGATGAGAGACCCAGGGTCTCAACCTACAGAGTCAGGTTCCAACATCTGTGCCCTTAACCACATGCTTCACTGCTTCCCAAGAAGAATGTTTCTTAGTTCATTGCTTTCTTGTTTCTGTGAGGTCTTCAGAGAATCCCGAATCTTGGCCACCCAACCACTAACTGGCTGTCATCTTCTGCCATCTTCTTTTTCCGGAGCCAGCAGTTGAATGACTGGGAACCTAGACCTCTGTGCTTCTCTGTACCATCTCCACAGACTGGGTCATCACAAGTGCAACCTCCAGACTCAGGTCTTCCTTCTGGAGGTCAGGAGGTGCTAATTCATGAGACCCTGCCTCCATGGTTTTCTACAGCACTCTCTTAGGCTGTAGAATCTCACCTTGTATGTTGTAGTCATTTATCTATGTATCTGATTCCTGAGCTAAGTTGTAAATTCCTTGAGGACAAAGACACTTCCAGTCTTAGACATTCTGAATCACCTAGAATGACACCTGCTACTTGCTCAAGAAAAGAAAAATTATCTAGTTAACTAATTGATTAATAGCATAATAGAGTACATTTGGGTTCTGGATTTGACTATCATTCATAGAGAGGGCTGAAAGTAAGGGGTTGAATAATTCCCAAGCACTTTAAATAATGGGAATAAAAATGAAAACATTTCCAACTGATGCCTCTTCAAATCAAGCTAAAAATATTGTTAATCTAGTTAGCACTGAAAACCCACCAAGGCAGGCAGCGAGCAACATTAGAACTTGTGATTTGTGTTAACAAAGACAGATTTTAATGTTTGTTGTTAACGGGGACAGTAACATTTTCCTATGTCTACAATAATTTAGTCCATGAGAACTGAGTTTACTGGGCCTCTTATTTTTATAACTTCAAAGGTGGCTGTTTGTTTAAGGGTACATAGTATTATTAATAACAAGTTCAGAAGGTGATTTAGTTTAAATGACTTCAGGTTCACCTAGAGAAAACAAAATCAAATAACCTCTTGAAACAGATTGGCATCCTATTGTCTTCAAATTTCCACTCATATTTTTGGATTTCTAGTACTTAAGAAGTATTATAGGTATCAGATTAAATATCCAGTCGCTACAGCATTATTAATTTCCTTTTTAATTTACACACCTACCTGAATAACTTTTTAATATATATCAACATGTTCAATCTTCTAGGCAAACAAGAAAACTGCGTGACGCTGAACAAGAAAAAGATCGAATGTTGCTTAAAACCATCATCAAAGTTTGGAAGGAGATGAAATCCCTTCGAGAATTTCAGAGGTTTACAAATACACCCTTGAAACTTGTTTTGAGAAAGTAAGCTTTTTTCAAAGATTGTTTTATTGAGAAAATGTGTAAAACATGGGTACAGTTTGAAAAGTAATTACAAATAGGATCGCCTGGGTGGCTCAGTCAGTTGAGGGTCCAACTCTTGATTTCAGCTCAGGTCATGGTCTCACCGTCATGGGATCGAGCCCCGCGTTGGGCTCTGTGCTGAGTGCTGAACATGGAGCCTGCTTAAGATTCTCTTTCTCCCTCTCCTTCTGCCCCTCCGCTGCTCACACCCTCATGCTCTCTCTCTTAAAAAAATTTTTTTGAATAAAGAATGACAAGTAAATGACAATATGACCACTCCCCAGGTAAAGAAATAGGACATTACATGCACCTGAGCAGCCCCTATGTTCTTAACCCTGCCTCCTTCCCCCTTCATCCCAGAAGTTACCATTTTCCAGACTTTTATGATTAGCATTTCCTTGTTTTTATTTCTAGGTTTTCCATCTACCTGTAATTCCTAAAAATATGTAGTTTAATATCACCTGTATTTGATGTATCCACAAATGAGAGTAGATTGTATGTACTCTTTGTAGTGTGTTCTTTAATACTGCATGAGATTCACCTACTTTATAGCTATAGTTGATTTGTTCATTTGCTTTATATTCATTATATGAATACAGCAGAACTTGTTCACTCTACTGTTGATGGACATTTGAGTTGATTCCGTTTCTCGTCTATTACAAACAGCACTTCTATAAGTACTTTATATGTGTCTTTTAAGGTACACGTGCCTAAGCTCTCCTGAAACATACCCAGAAGTGAAATTGTTGAGTCTTAGGAGATGCGCCTCTCTAATACTCACGTGCTGATTACACTTTTCCAGAGTGGTTGTGCCGATTTATACTTTGAGCGGTGTTCCTGTAGGTCCATATCAGTCGTGCCATCGAGGTCACCTGGTCTTGTCAAACCTCACACTTTGCCAGTCCGATAGCATGATTTAATTTCTAACTTCCCATTCATAAATTGTCCACTTTGATTTCCTCTGTCTGTTCAAGGCTTTTGTAGATTTTTGAACTGAACTGTTTTTCTTTGTATCTTTTGCATAATTGGTAGGAGTTTGACATCTATCCTGGACATGGGCCCTTTGTTGATGTGCATTGCAGATCCCCTCTCCTACTCTGTACTTGTCTCCTTATTCCCTTCTGCTGCTTTTTCATGATAGAAATTCTTCATTTTACACAGATACAATACGTTCATCTTTTCTTTCATGATTGGTGCTTTTTGTATGCTGCTTTAGAAATTGTTCCCCTGAGTCAAGTAGATATTCTATTATATGGTATCTATAATCTTTATAGTTTTTTGTTTCTCATTCGTCTTTAGTCCGTTTGGAATAGATCTTTGTATATGGTGCGGAGAAAGTATGCTTTGATATCAGGTATGCTACCTAATCCACTAGACTTTGATACATGATTAAAAGTAGAGTCATCACAACAAAACCATATTCTGTATATTAATTAAAGAGTGTCTCTGCTGCTGGTTTTGGTCCCTTCCTGACTGTTTGTTGAAAGTAAGTGTTGTGCTATACATCGACATGAAAAGTAAAAAATATGAGCAATTATCTGATACTTTACTTTGAAAAGAGTCATGCTTTAGCCAAAGATAGCTGCAAATTGTGATTTTTAGGGTTTCATAAATTTCATAATTTTCATAAGACTCAGAAACCATCCTACAGTTCCTGGGACAAAGACAAGACCGTGCTTCCTGAGGGCAGGGATCTGGTCGCCATTGGGTATCTGGCCCCAAACAGAGAAGCTGCCACTTGGTATTTGCTGAGTTAATATTAGCTGATGAAAGACAGATCCAAGTAGTCTGTCCCACAGAAACCACGGATGTCTCCCAGAAATTCCAGAGTTTCAGCTTCCGAATTCCATCTTCCAGGCTGCCCCTCCCACCCAGAAGCAGAACATAAATATTTACCTAATTGTTTTCTCCTTCTTTCCTTCAGTTTAAGATAAACTAAAATTTGTCAGAAATTTACCCTTAAGGTCCCCTCTAGGTGACACTTTTTGTGATACCTAACACCCCTTCCTCCTATAAGTAGCTACTTCCTAAATTTTTTTGGAGTGCCCCTTTTTACACCCTTGATTCACCTAGCCACCTTATGATACGGCATAATTTTTTTTCCTGCAAAAGCCATCGGATTTCAGCTCGTTTATTTATGCCTCTACAGAACAGAGGGCAAGGCAAATGGTTCTCTATATACCAGAGATGGAACATAATTTATGAGCCAGATTTTCTCCGATGTTTATAAATTTCCAGTGCCATTGTGTTTCCCGAGTGACTTCTTCAGCAGGATCCTAGGGCTCTAAGAACCTGTGCCTTAGGGGACTGCTAATTGCTAACCCACCAGACCCCACGTGTAAGTAAGCAAGCACGTGTACATAAGCAAACCTGAGTCAGCCTTAGGCACCTGAGTAAGTTTATCTGAAAGGGACAGGATCTTTAGGAATAGAACCCACAGGCCAGACTGCATTAATCGCTAAGCCCAGGCAATTTGCTGCAACAAGTCCAAAGTGCTGGGCGGGAGTGTTTGGTGTGACATGTCTGTCACCTCCTTCCGGGACAATCACAATGCTCAGTAACATACCACACTTGTTTAATCCCAGGTTGACTCAGCCACAGCACCTTTTTGGCAGGGGATCTCACAGAACTAATGTTCCACCAAGCACACTATGGGGAATGCTGCTTTGGGCTGGGCAGAGCTCCTGATAAAGTATCAGCAGAATCGTCAGAGAAGAACTCAAATTGTCCATCTAAAATCAGAACAGCAGTTTTGGGGCCTCGGTAGTAACATAATGAAATGGTTTCTCAGAGATTTGAAGCATGAATAAAATAAGTACAATGAAACTCTACCATTACCGGTCGGGAGTCTACAGGCACTGACTGTGTCATATTGCCATCTGGATCACTTAGCTCAGAGTGGCATTGTTGCTTGGCGGCAAATAGATTGGGCCCATATTCCAGCTCTTCCACTCACCAAATGTGTGTTCTTGGGCACGTTACTTAATCTCTCCGTGCCTCAGTCTCCTTGTGGGTAAAATGCAAATGATAGTAGTATCGGCCTCGCAGCGTGGTGAGCTAACATGCACAAAGCTTTCAGAGGAGGATCTGCCCCCCATATGGGTATTTGCTGTTATTATTACTCTCTTACTGAATTTCAAGAAATAACCAAGGTCCTGTAAATTATTTTAAAGGGAAAAGGTTGACCAGAAAGCAGACGAAGAAGCGTACGAAGCAGAAATTCAAGCCGAAATAAGCGAGTTGTTGGAAGAACACATGGAAGAGCACGAGCAGAAGATGGAAGCGTACAGAGCCGCGTACCAGCAGTGGAAAGCCTGGAAGAAAGCCCAGGTTTGTCGGGTCACTTAGCCTTGAGCAGGGCTGACCTTGGGGACCGGAGGTGTCTGGGAGGCCACCACTTGAGGCCCGAGGAGGGAAACTAGACAGGAAGACTGGGGTCCCTTCTGGCTCTACCCATTGAATGTAGGGCAGTGATGCTTCTAGGCTTCCCTGGAAAATCATATAACTTTGCACACATAATCCTGCAACGTTGAAGCCAAGGCAGTAAGTTATAGATCAGGTGAATTGCAATGCCGGCCCACAAGACTTACTTTAATTTCAAGATGTGTCCTTGGCCTTTTGCCCCAATATTAATGATCCCGTGAATAGCTAACGTTTTTCAGCTCTTTCTGGGTCCCGGGCACTGTGCTAAGTGCTTTCCAAGCATTACCTCATTTCAGCAGCCCTGGGAAGAGTTTCCTATGATTGTCCCCATTTTGGAGATGAGAAAACTGAGGCACAGAGAGGTCAAGAGGTTTAGTAACCTGCCTGAGTGCCCACCACTGCTTGAGGTGGGGCTAGGTTTGCAGCCAAGTCTATCTATCTGGTTCTGAAGACTGTGGTCTTGAGTGAAATTTCAAAATTACTATTTGACATTAGATTGCCTTTTGCCCAACAGAGGGCCAAGAAGAAGAAAAAGAAGCAAGCAGTCGAAGAGCATCCTGAAGAGGAGATGGGGGAGCCGTATCCTGAGGAGGATCCGGTGAAACCGGTCCCCCCGGAGCCCACCGATCGGGCCCTGATGGAGCACCAGGTGAGGGAGAGGGCAGCCCGGAGCAGGAGAAGGCCTGGGGAGCCGCTGCTGGTCCCCGAGCTGAGCCTGGCAGGGAGCGTCACGCCCAACGAGCAGTGTCCCAGGTGAGCAGACGCTCAGTGTGTAAGTGGGGGTGACCTGTGATAGGCGCCCGTGGGTGGGCAATCATGCGCTACATGGAGGGTATATCTCCTGACTGACACAGTTTGATCAGGAGAACCGTGAACTCTGTAAGCAAGTATCATATAGATTGAACTCTATGAAACTGAAGACGTGTGTCCGTATTTTGGTGATGTCGAATGGTTCCCCTACCTCAGGTGTCCCCACTGGTCACTCAGGAGTACACCAAGGGAGGCTGCCTGTAGGAGGCACTCTTCATAGCCACTGCCTTTGTGGCTTTTGATGTAGAGCCTTTATCTGTAACAGCAACGGGTTCTCTGTCTACTGACCTGGCACAGACACGCAGGTCTGTCACTGACCCTCGTTTTCACCTGCCCCAGAGGCCAGCTTCTCTCTTAGAAGGCCCCAGAAAGCCTCCCAGAGGAATTGTGGGTATCCCCTGTAGCCATCTAATGCCTGTTCTCCAGATTTACATAGAAATACATTTCTAGTCATTCATATGATGCCTAAGAGGGAACCAGTCAGAAGCCCCACTTTCTGCACGTACATCTATACATACAATAAATTCAGTCACCCTCAGACATAATTAGGATGTGGGGATTCATTAGGATGTCCGTTTAAGACTTCCTGCAGCCTCCTTAGTTTCAAACTTCTGTTAACATACCAATAATGTGTTTTTTTAATTGTGGCTTTTTTCTTCCCAATTTCATAGCATTCAGATACTACATATAAATAAACTATTCCCCAGCAATGAATTCACTATTTTCAAGCCACAAATTGCATAACATATAATTTTATAATAAACATCCAAAATATGTGATTCCATGGGGGTTTTTTATTACATGTTTTTAAGAAAACATGTAATCGTGTTTGGGGGAAATTGGGGCTTGATTTGGCAATCTTTTGTCATGAGTCTCATTTTGACTGAGAATATACACCTCTGTCTTGAATTTCTCTGTTTTCACTGGGATTTGGGACTGTGACCCAAGTTACCCCAAGCCAATGACTATGATTGAGCTTCTCATCAGGCCTTCACATAAGGGTGGCCATGCAGAAGAAGGTGCCTTAGGTCTGCTCGTAGCAGGAGGTTACTGGAATAAGCCATAAAACAACTCTGAGTAAAGTCTTTGGGTGTCTTGAATACTTCCTGAAATTTGGTGTTAAGTTCCTTTATAGAAAAAACAACAACAACAACAACAACATTGAAGTCATTTGAACAATTCCATATCTGGGATGGGCCTAAATTACAGAGATGTAAAAAGTTAAAACTACCACCATCCAGTTGAATGGATACAGGATTTCTATTTGGGATGCTGAAAATGTTCTGGAGAAAGATCATGCCAATGGTTGCACGTCAGGAATATATTTAATGCCACTGAGCTGATCACTCAAAAATAGTTAAAATGATAAGTGTTATGTTGTGTATGTCTCACTGAAATTTTTTTTTAAGTTTATTTATTTGGGGAGAGAGAGAGAGAGAGAGAGAGAGAGAGCACAAAAGGGTGAGGGGCAGAGAGAAGGAGAGACAGAATCCCAAGCAGACTCCACACCATCAACGCAGAGCCTGATGCGGGGATCGAACCCGCAAACTGCGAGATCATGACCTGAGCCGAGATCCAGAGTCAGAGGCTTAACTGACCGCGTCACTCGGGCACCCCTTACTGCAATTTAAAAAAAGACTTTACCACCCAAAAACCCCTGAGTGCATTTCGATTTTATTTTATTTTTCTAAGCTTTCCCTGTTCTTACCAAACTTGAATAGCTATTGACTTAACCAATAACTGGAGCTGTGGGTGGGCATCTCTACAAATATGCACAGTAAATTAAAGCCTGTTCTTGGAGGTTTTGACTTGTTTTTTAACTTCCTGGCTATAGAGGTGATATGCTTGCCAGGATACCTTTTTTTTTTTTTTTTTTGGAATTCAAAAAGCCTTTTTAAAAAAGGAACAGTTCTTAATCCCCTACATCCAGTGAGTACTCACTGTCAGAAAGTGTTAAGAAAAGCATGAATCCGGGAGAAGCGGATTTCACCCGTTACAATATGCTATTACATGGTTTTTTTTTTACTCTGAGTCAGTCTTTATTTTATTTTTTATTGTTTATTTTTTTACTTGATCCAGCAATATAACTTTATTTTCATTTTTATTTAAATTCTAGTTAGTTAATATATAGTGTAATATTGGTTTCAGGAGTAGAATTCAGTGATTCGTCACTTATATATAACACCCAGTGCTCATCACAACAAGTGCCCTCCTTAGTGCCCATCGCCCATTTGGCCCATCCCCCCACCTCCGGTCATCAACCCTCAGTTTGTTCTCTATCGCTAAGAATCTCTTATGGTTTGTTTCCTTCTTTTTGTTTTCCTTCCCATATGTTCATCTGTTTTTTTCTTAAATTTCACATACGAATGAGATCATATGGTATTTGCCTTTCTCTGACTGATTTATTTTGCTTAGCATAATACACTCCGGCTCCATCCACGTCATTGCAGATGGCAAGACTTCATTTTTTTTTTTATTTTTTTAATGTTTATTTTTAAGAGAGAGAAAGAGACAGAGTGAGAATGGGGGAGGGGCAGAGAATGGGAGACACAGGATCTGAATCAGGCTCCAGGCTCTGAGCTGTCAGCACAGAGCCCCATGCGGGGCTCAAACTCACAAACCGTGAGATCATGACCTGAGCCTAAGTCGGCCGCTTAACCGACTGAGCTACCCAGGCACCCCAAGATTTCATTTTTTTGATGGCTGGGCTGAGTAATATTCCATGGTATATATATGTACCACATCTACTTTATCCGTTCATCAGTCAATGGACATATGGGCTTTTTCCATAATTTGGCTATTATTGAAAAAGCTTCTATAAACATTGGGGTGCAGGTACCCCTTTGAATCTGTATTTTTGTATCCTTTGAATAAACAACTAGTAATGCAATTGCTGGGTCATAGAGTAGTTCTATTTTTAACTTTTTTAGGAATTTCCACACTGTTTTCCACAGTGGCTGCACCAGTTTGCATTCCCACCAACAGCCTAAGAGGGTTCCCCTTTCTCCACATCCTCGCCAACATCTGTTGTTTCCTGTGTTGTTGATTTTTATGCTATTACATTTTTAGGATAAAATATCCCGCCCAAATATAAATCACTACTATCCCTTATGGATTGAATTCACTCCAACTGCAAGGACTATGTTTCTGTTTACTTAAAACTTCGGGGTGCAGGGGCGCCTGGGTGGCTCAGTCAGTTGAGTGTCCCACTTCGGCTCAGGTCATGATCTCACGGTTCATGAGTTCGGGCCCCGCTCGGGCTCTGTGCTGACAGCTCGGAGCCTGGAGCCTGCTTTGGATTCTGTGTCTCCCATTCTCTCTCTGCCCCTCCCCCACATGTGCTCTGTCTGTCTCTGCCTCTCAAAAAATAAAGAAAAGTAATAAAAAAAAATTAAAAACTAAAACAAAAACTTTGGGGTGCAAACATAGGGCTTCTTTGAAAACAATTAAAGACACTGTAATATGGTAGGTGATGCTTGGACCACCGTTCTTCTGTACCCTGTGGCCTTTTGAGTGCCCGTTTCCTAGTCTGTATCAAATTTATTATATGATGCTCCTTGAGACTTGTGGCTGATTTGGTGCAACGAGAGGTAACATGAGTGGCAGGGTCACCTCCAGGTGTCTTGGTCTGCTCAGTGCCCATTTGTCAGACACTCCAGTTTCCCCTGGTCAATGACTAACCCATCTGCGATCGGTCTCCTCTGACAGGGTGGAAGTCTTGCGAAGGGAGGACGTCAAGAGACGCTCAATATATCTAAAGGTGATCTTCAACGACAAAGAAGTGTCCAGGACCGACAGTAGGCCCCTCGGGGCAGACTTCCGAGTTCACTTTGGACAGATTTTCAATCTGCAAATATTCAACTGGCCAGAGAGTTTGACACTGCAGGTATGCATTTTAATTACAGGCACTGTCCCAAGCATTGTTTTGGTGATCACAGGTACCAGATGGTTTTAAATCATCCATGGGCTACGCTGGTGTCCTGATAGATTTTCAAGGTGAACAGAAGGTCAGCCTCCCCTGGGGCGCATCTGTCCTTCCGGTCTGGGCAGAAGGAGATCTGTTTCCCTGCTCACCTCCTGAAAATGCTGGCCACGGTGCCTCAGTGTGTACCTCAAGATGGAGAAGGGGGATGAGAGGTAGGGGCTCCCTGGCTTTTTCATCAGAGTACTTCAGTATCACTGTCTGCCTGGGTCCTAGCATGATATACCTCAGAAATCAATATTGCCATAATCACAGGTGGCTATAGGCTGTCGGATCCCCCCAAAATAAATCGCACCGCTAACCTAAAATCCCACCATTAACAATGTATTTATTTGGGTCTGTTTTAGTTTCCTAGGGCTGCCCCACCTAAGCCACATAAACTTGGTGGCTTAAAACAACAGATGCTTATTTTTTCACAGCTCTGGAGGCCCTGAGGTCTGAAATCTAGGTTTCAGTAGGGCCATGCTCCCCGCAAAAGTTCTAAAGGTGAATCCTTCTTTGCCTCTTCCACTCCTGGTGGCCCTTGGAGTCCCTTGGTTTGTGGTAGGGTCACTACAGTCTCCATCTTCATGTGGTCATCTCATTGTCTCAACCTGTCCTTTTTTTTTTTTTTTTTTTATCTCTTACAAGGGCATTCTCATTGGATTTAGGGCCAACGGTAATCCAGTATGAGCTCATCTAGATGTTTAACTAATTAGTTATATCTGTAAGAACCCTATTTCCAAATAAGGTCACATTCTGTGGTTCCAGGTAGACAGCAGTTTTTAGAGGACACTATTTAATCCACTGCAGTGTCCAAACTTGCTATTCTCATGGTGAATCCTTTCCTGTGATGCTAACAGAATTCTCTTTTATGACAGTAATAAGCCTGTGAACTACAGTTGCAAATATGTGGCACACATGCCTTTGCTTGCCATCCGCCACCCACACAGAAATCACTAGTCCTCACCCGCCATTTATGCAGAAATTTCTCATTCCCATCCACCACCCTGGCAAGAAATAACTACATGACCAGGTCCTTTTCCTCCACTGAGCCTGGATATAACTCCAGAATCCTTCTCAACACTGTACTCCAGGCAGTTACTACCTATTGGTTGTAATTGACATTGTCTATAATTACAATTACATCTGTATCATTATTAAAATATTTAAATACTTCTGTACTGGATTCCCAAAATGCCACCCTGGCCACCTAGACCCTACTTCTAAGATCCCCTGGACCTTTCCACAGCAGACTAATTAAAGGGTGTGTGAATGAGGCTAATGCCTCCGGGACCTTGTTCTCCTGGATGGCTGACATCTCTTCTGATTGGTTAACACTTGGCCATGAATATTCTTTGGCATTTGGAATATCAGCCACTAGCTAGATCTCAGTCATTAAAAACCTATTAAAACTAGTAGAGGAAGGGGAACCTGGATGACTCAGTCGGTGGAGTGCACAACTTTGGCTCAGGTCATGGTCTTACGGTTCGTGGGGTTGAGCCCCACATCTGTCTTTGCGCCGACGGCGAGAGCCTGCTTGGGATTCTCTCTCCCTCTCTCTCTGCCCCTCCCCCACTCACACTCTGTCTCTCAAAAAATAAATAAATGTTAAAAAATTTAAAAAAAAGGAATAAAACTTGATGGAGAAAGTAAATAAACACAATCTCCAGAAGCCAACTTGATGCTTTGTGGTCACCTGCCTTCAGTAATGAGGGGATGCCGGAGGCCCCTATGTGAGTCCACAGAATAGGGAAAAGTTCATTTATTCAGAGTTTGCCCCCTCATTTGAGACCCATGTGACTCATCCCCCCCCCTTCCTCCCTGCAGAGGAAAAGCTGACATGAGGAAGACCAAGATTAACGGGAGAAAGCAGATAGAGGGGCAGAGTGAAGCAAGGGAGGGCAGCATATGATAACGTGGCCAGTAGGAAGGAGAGGGAGCCCTGGAAGGGGACACCCCTCCTGAAAAGATCACAGAAGACAGAGAGAAGGCCCTCCCCTCCCCGCAGGTGCCCATGAGAGATCAGATCCCCCACCTCTGCCCTGGCAGCCTATGGAGGCTTCTCTGCTGGGCAGCCCTCCATTTTCAGAATTACCATAGAAGGAAAGACCCTTTCCTTCTTCCACCTCCATGAGTACCAGTGTCTCATTTCACATATATTCTGAAATGGGAGGGAAGCTTTCTAACCTCTCTCCTCTTTGTCATCTTGAGACATTAGTTGGCTCGGATGTTGCAATCAAAACATTTTTTTTCAAGTACTGTGAAAAAAGTAATTCTCTAAAATGTTATGAAATGGATTTTCTAAGTAAACAAGCAAAATTTTATCCTGGGGACACCAAGAATATATTCATAGGCAGTTAGCTTGGCCCTAAGAGCTGAATCATGTAATCTTTAAAAAATCACAAATTGGGGCCCTGGGTGGCTCAGTTGGTTAAGCGACTGACCTCGGTTCAGGTCATGATCTCACTGCTTGTGAGTCTGAGACCCATGTTGGGCTCTGTGTTGACAGCTCAGAGCCTGGAGCCTGCTTCGGATTCTGTGTCTCCCTCTCTCTCTGCCCCTCCCCCACTCATGCTCTGTCTCTCTCAGTCTCTCAGAAGTAAGTAAACATTAAAAAAAATCACAAATTAAAAAAACTTTGGCTAAATTCCTAAGCTATCCTCAGAGATTTGATAACTGATCAAATCACATATCATAATGGCTCAATGGCATGATTTTTATGATTGAGTAGTGGTTCCAGATGAAATGAATCTAAGGACTATTGTATTTCAACTCTCTAGGAATAGAACAATGCCACTTGGAAATTTTCCAGATAATTGCTATAAGTTTGAGATTAGAGAAGGTTCATGAATTACTGGTGGTTTTAAGAGGGTGAGAAAAAATTGCCTTGAATACATCTGTTTATGCCGGTGTTCTCGAATCCCTGACTTGAGAGCCCAACGTATTTCAGAAAGAGTTCTGAGATTCTCAAAACTTTAATGCATTCATTGGTGACCCAACAAACAAGCCATAAGTGTTCGCTGCTTGAGTGAGAGTCAACTGAGTGTCTAATCCCACGCCAAGAGTGTGGTGCAGAACTCGAAGCCCTGGGCCGGAGGGGTGCCCATGGAGCTGCCTTAGGGAGCTTTATTTTTTTTTTTTAATGTTCATTTATTTTTGAGAGAGAGAGAGACAGAGACAGAGCACGAGCTGGGGGCGGGGTGGGGGAAGGCAGAGAGAGAGAGGGAGACACAGAATCCGAAGCAGGCTCCAGGCTCTGAGCTGTCAGCACAGAGCCCCACGTGGGGTTCGAACTCACTAGCTGTGAGATCATGACCTGAGCTGAAGTCGGACGCCCAACTGACTGAGCCACCCAGGCGTCCCAAGGGGAGCTTTAAATCCAGCTGGGAGATGGAAGGAGAGAGCTACAGAGAAACAGGACCGGTTTAGTGCCGATGTCAAGGACGCTTGGCGGGATTTGATTGCAGGGTTTGATTTCGGGGAAGGAATTAATTAGAGCAACACAGCTGGACTGGGACAGTACAAAGGAGTCAAGCCACAGCTGTCCCCAAGGGGTGGGTGAGGCTGGAATTCTCAGGACAGGGGAGAAGGCCCAGAGTCCCTCCAGAAAGGTCCTAAAAATCTCCGCAACTGAGATCTTTCCACAACAAATGTTTGGCCTTCCAAAAACATGAAATCCGATTTCGAAATAAAATAGTTTTGCGATGATCACCTTCATTTCTTTATCATTCACATCTGTATCTGTCGCTGTCCCCCCACCTCCCCGAACCAACAACTATCATGTGGTTCTGCTGGGTGATGCTTACATCTTTTAGCATTATTATTTTTCCTTACGAATCAATCCTGTTGAGCTTCATATTCTCGGCATGTGGACTGATTTAGGGGATTTTCCCTTTTAACCGAGCTGGCAGTTACTTGAGTTCCTTCCTACGTCCACTCCTGATTTCCGTGGCCCGTCCACAGAACCGCGCTATCCGAGTGGGGAACACAGTCCTATTTGGAGAAGTGTCTTCGTTAGCCCTTAGCCAGCTCACTTCTGTGGTTGTTATTGGTCCTTTGTAGACGTAAGTCCAGAACAGATATTTTTTTTTACGCACACATATTTATCTACTCAATTACATGGAGCCAGGCCACCGAGAGCAGGTAGAAAGGACAGTGACATCTGTGGTGGGACAGCGTGCATGGGGCAAGCAAGGTAAGGTCATCTACATGTAAGAGGATGTGGGTTTGGATGGGACAGGGGCCCACAAACATGGAGAAGATCTCTGGGAAATAACACTCACTGATTATCTACCCCAAGACCAGCTTCTTCACATACGCTATCTGATGTTACCCGAAAGAAAACCACAGGTACTATTATTCTCCCCGTGAGCTTCCGAGATCCTGAGTAACTACATCACCAAGCAGGTCAGGAGGCAGAAGAGAATTCAAACCCAGGACTGTTTGACTCTAAATTGTACTCTCATTTCACCAGTTTAATTGGGGATAATGGTAACAAAGAGCCAAGTCTCAAATCTGACCTATCTCTGCGCTCTGAGAGCCACTTACTGGGGAGGAAGTCTCAGAAAACAGCCTCAGGCATCACTGCGTATTGAGTTGTGTGGATATTTAGTAATATCTAGTATAATGGTTACTGAGCAATTACAATATGCCAGGCACCTTCTGTGTCTAGACTCAGTCCTCACGACAGTCGCACAGGAGCTGTATCATTGTCCCCGTCATCCCGAAATGCGGAGCACTTAAGTATACCTGTCCTAAGGTCACGCAGCAGAAAGCGGCAGGGCCCGGCCCCAGCGCCCAGACCCGCTCTCATGTCGACCTCAGCAGGCCGCACGCACCAGCAGCTTGTACGTTCCATCCACCAAGCGTCTTGTTGCAGAGACATTGCACGAGGCTTGGCGGAAAACAGGAGTCCCTGGTCCCTGCCTGGCACGGCGATTAGACTGCAGTGGGGAAATGGCAAAAGGAGCTGGTGACTAAGGTCCAGTGGGGCAGGAGGAGAAAAAAAATGAAGTTACCAAAAGAGGGCTTCCCTCCCAGAGGCTTGGCAGAGACGGGGAGGAGGGAAACGAATCAGGGATTGGAGAGGGATGGTGGTTTACTTTAGGGTGTAGTTGGTTTCAGCATATTTGTTAGTCATGAGAAAAGCAACCAGTGCGGAAAAGACTGGTGACTTTGAAAATAAAAAAGAAAGTGGTGGGGAGAGGGACCAGACCCTGAATCTGGGTCAAGACTTGACAGGAAGTTCTTTTGGGGCGGGCATGATGACACAGGGGAGGTGGGTGGGGGGCAGAGCTGTGAAGGGGCCCACGTCAGATGCCCCCAACCTTTTCAGCACAGGAAGGGAGTCGGTGGGCACAAGACTAGGAAGGGTTTGATGCGACCCTGAGGGAAATGGGGACATCGACCATGAGGTGACTAACACACGTGAACATCACAAGCAGCCAAGCTTGAAAGGCAGCCACTTGTACCAGATCGAGCACTACCAAACGCAAGATGGGAAGCTGTTCTGCTTTGTTCTGTTCTGTTTTAAAAGCAGAGAATCGTGATTTAAAATCATGCAATATAAATGGAATGTTGGGTGGTTTTTTTTTTATCTATATGAATGTCCCTACATTTCTAAGGTTCATCTTCTCTGTACAATTCTAAATACCATTAGCAGGTAAATCTTCCCCAGGTTGTTGAGTTAAAGCAAACAGTATTCCAAATAGAAGTAATAATAAGTGTATACATCATCCCAAGTTGGACAAACATAGGAACAAAACAAAACAGAGAGAACAGAAACAAACCCTTAAATACAGAGAACAAAATGGTGGTTTCCAGAAGGGAGAAGAATGAGGAGATAGAAGAAATAGGCGGAGGGCATTAACATGTATAAATCTCCAGAGGCACCTGGGCGGCTCAATTGGTTAAGCATCTGACTTCAGCTCAGGTCATGATCTCACGGTTCGTGAGTTCAGGCCCCACATCAGGCTCTATGCTGACAGTGTATGCTTGGGATAATCTCTCTCCCTCCCTCTCTCTGCCCCCTCCTCACTCATACACTCTTTCTCTCTCTCTCTCTCTCTCTCTCTCTCTCTCTCAAAAATAAATAATAAATACATTTAAAAAAAAAGAATTGCAAGGAAAAATACTTCAAAAAATGTACAAACCTCCAGTTATAAAATAAATAAGTCATGGGAATGAAAAATACAACATAGTCAATAATATTGTAATAACATTGTGTGATGGCAGATGGTGACTCCTGCTACCATGGTGAGCATTATGTAATGTACAGAATTGTCAGATCACTGGGAATGCAAACTGGTGCAGCCACTCTGGAAAACAGTGTGGAGGTTCTTCAAAAAACTAAAAATAGAACTACCCTACGACCCAGCAATTGCACTACTAGGCATTTATCCAAGGGATACAGGTGTGCTATTTTGAAGGGGCACATGCACCCCCATGTTTATAGCAGCACTTTCAACAATAGCCAAAGTATGGAAAGAGCCTAAATGTCCATCGACGGATGAATAGATAAAGAAGATGTGGTATATATACATACAATGGAGTATTCCTTGCCAATCAAAAAGAATGAAATCTTGCCATTTGCAACTACGTGGATGGAACTGGAGGGTATTATGCTAAATGAAACTAATCAGTCAGAGAAAGACAAAAATCATATGACTTCACTCATATGAGGACTTTAAGAGACAAAACAGATGAACATAAGGGAAGGGAAGCAAAACTATAAAAACAAGGAGGGGGACAAAACAGAAGAGACTGTTAAAATATGGAGAACAAACAGAGAGTTACTGGAGGGGTTGTGGGAGGGGGGCTGGGCTAAATGGGTAAGGGGCATTAAGGAATCTACTCCTGAAAACATTGTTGCACTACGTGCTAACTAAATTGGATGTAAATTTTTTTAAAAATTAATTTAAAAAAAAGAATTGTCAGATCACTAGGTTGTACACCCACCTGCAGCTAATATAGCATTGTATGTTAATTAAAGTTCAATAATACATTTTTTAAAGTTTATTTATTTTAAGGGAGAGAGAGGGGCGCCTGGGTGGCTCAGTCGGTCGAGTGTCCGACTTCAGATCAGGTCATGATCTCACAGCCCATGAGTTCGAGCCCCACGTCGGGCTCTGTGCTGACAGCTCAGGGCCTGGAGCCTGCTTCGGATTCTGTGTCTCCTTGTCTCTTTGCCCTTAACCCACTCACATTCTGTCTCTGTCTCTCTCAAAAATAAATAAACATTAAAAAAAAAATTTAAGAGAGAGAGAGAGAGAGAGAGAGCATGTGTGAATGGGGGAGGGGCAGGGAGTGCGGGAGAGAGAGAGAATCCCAAGCAGGCTCTGGGCGGACAGCACATTAGCGGGGCTCGATGTGACAACCCTGGGATCATGACCTGAGCGGAAATCAAGAGTTGGACACATAACCAACTGAGCCACCCCCAATAATACATTTTTTAAAAAACATAATCTCGAGTTGGTAGCCATGGATGTAATCGCTATTCTGAATTCATTGCTGCCCTGCATTACACAACAGAAGAATTTTTGAACACTGAATGTAAGTCAATTATATTTCCTGTCATGTTTTTCCATAACATTCCACTTTCAGACACACACACACAAGCACTCATTTTGCTCAGAGCAGTGTTTGTCAAGCAGAGGTGACTTTGGCACCCCAGGGACATGTGGCCGTGTCTGGAGACATTTTAATTCTACCAAGCGGGGAGCTGGTGGCACCTCTAACGGGAGGAGGCCAGGGATTCTGGGGAACATCCCACACTGTACGGGACAGCTCACCACAGTGAGGAATTGCCAGCAATGCCGAGGTTGGCACCCTGACTTAGGAAAAAACAAAATCAAACTTAATTATACAGAAAGCTGCTTATAAACACCAAACCCAGGGTGCCCATTTTCTGATTTTTTGAAAATAGCATTGCACCCGAGCATTAAGTAGAACTGATGCTACCTGGAAAGAGCAGGGTGAAAAGTGTGGAAAGATTGTGGGTGTTTTTTTGGCTTGGTCAGATGGAATCCATTTTTCCTTATTAAAAAAAAAGGGGGGGGGGCCCTGGGTGGCTCAGTCAGTTGAGCGTCCAGCTTCAGCTCAAGTCATGATCTCACAGTTTGTGAGTTTGAGCCCTGCATCGGGCTCTGTGCTAACAGCTCAGAGCCTGGAGCCTGTTTCAGATTCTGTGTCTCCCTCTCTCTCTGCTCCTCCCCCACTCCTGCTCTGTCTCTCTCTCTCAAAAATAAATAAAACATTAAAAAAAAAATTTTTTTTAAAGCAAAAACGTTCAGGGGCACCTGGGTGGCTCAGTCGGTTAAGTGCCTGACTGTTGATTTTGGCTCAAGTCATGATCTCACGGTTCATGAGTTCGAGCCCCACATCAGGCTCCACTCTGCTGGTGCAGAGTCTAGTTGGAATTCTCTATCTCCCTCCCTCCCTGCCCCTCCCTCTTTTGTGTGCATGCGTGTGAGCGCTTTATGTAGTATTTGCCCCAGTAGACCCTCCAAGCTTAGTCAGCCATGTGGCAAATGCAAGATGGTGGATACCCGGGAGATGGGGCCAGGATGGCAGCCTGACACAAAATCATCCTCATCTTCATCCTCGAAAAGAATTCATATCATACGCCTTGTAAGGGGTGGGGGTGAGTGGAAGGGGTCCAGAGGGTCCGTAGTGTCATCTTTGTGCATTCCATCGGTACGTGGGAAGACTACTGCACAAGTCTATTGCAATAGCGGGACTCTACTGCACAAGAAGAAAAATATGAAGATCTAATTAGTAAAAGTGAAAGGAGTGGAATCGGCATTTTAGAGAAACGTGTACCAGCCACAGGGACCTCTTGGAAGGAAAGAATAAAACAGGAAAGAAGCCAGCAGAACTGTGGGTATCTTGTCATCTTCTTCCACAAAAGAGAAATGACCCAAGGATACAAGAGAAATTTGATCCAATGGCACAAAGGCTCCTCTTGAAGCTGCAGTGTACATTCATAATCAATGGTTGCCTTGACACTGGAGTCTTCGTCTCATAGTGACGGCATTACAATAAGACACGCCACAGTAACTAGAGCCACCGTTGGTCTAGTTTGCTCCTGCTTGGGAGAAGGTCTGAGAAGGAGCTGGTACGGTTTCAGCAGCTAACAAATAAAATGAGCTCTTGAAGGGAAGAATCTGAAAGATGTGCTAAATAGTAGATTTGAACCTGATACTCTAGAGTACATCTAGGTATGATACTTCTCCTGTTGACCTTGAAGTTGGTGTAAATAATAAATCATCTGGTGGCATGTCCGCTTTATCCCACCCAATCCACCTGATGGCATCACTTTCTGAAATAACATAAGCCAGGAAAAGGAAGGAGCCCATTCCCCCAGATAACCTGAGTATCAGTTTGAAATGGAAACAATTGTGGTAGACTGCTACTTTGATTAACCCCTCGCTCTACCCCTCTCTCTCTCTACTTTCTTGTCTGGAAAGTAGGCCAGACAAGAGGACAGGATGTCAACAACTTGGCCACAAATACGGTGCAATTTAGTCTCCGTGGGAACCAGAACACAACTCAGCTTTTCCACTCAGAAATGGGTGTTTTGGGCTAGAACAGTGATTAACATAGATAAATGGACTAAACTCTGGGAGTGAGCACACTCTTACTACTTTTATTTGTCTGTTTCTCTTCCTCGATTTCAGGTATACGAAACAGTTGGACACAGTGGCACCACTTTGCTGGCAGAAGTGTTTCTGCCTGTTCCTGAAACGACCATTGTCACTGGAAGGGCTCCCATTGAAGAAGTGGAGTTTAGCAGTAACCAGCATGTGACCCTGGACCACGAGGGTGTTGGAAGTGGTACGGAAAGCTCATTATCCTCAGTGGCTCACGGTTTTACTGTCAGATTTGAACATAACTTTTTTTTTTTCGTTTTCAAACAACCAGGTAATTATAAAACTGCTTTCAGAAATTCAAATTAAAATGAGGATATACAATTTTTTGCAGTCATTTTTTATACCATTGGTGGCCAATAAATTCATAAAACTATGCAAGTTTAAAGTAGTTCGGCAATGTGAATCAGGACTTTTAAAATGCCTTTGATACCTTAGTTTCTTCTTCTAGGAATCTTTTCTTAGAAAATAATTTGAAATGAGGACAAAGTTTTGTGTATATAAGATATATATCCGGGGATTATTTATAAGGCTGAAAAGGTTTTAAAAACTTAAATATTATAATAGGGAGATTATTAGTTAATATTCTCTCTATTATCCCCTATAATTGTAATTACATATACAATGGACCTTCTCGCTCTGTCTACCATGTTTCTTAACCTCTGTAATGTATTTGCTTATCCTTTTCTTTCACTGCTGTATTCTGTGACACTTCTTTAAGTCTGTCTTCCAAGTCATGAATTCACTCTTTGGCTGTGTCTAATCATTGAAACTCATCACTGAGTTTTTCATTTTAATTATTGGATTGCTCACCTCCAGAAATTCTATTTTGTTCTTTTCCAATCTGTCTGGTCAGTTCTGATAATGTTTGTCCTTTCCTCAGACTCTCAACCATTTCATTGTTTTATTCCTTCATTACTTCATTTATTTTTAAAAACATGTTACAAATATTTTTTTAACGTTCTATAGCTGATCATTTCAGTACCTATCTGCTTATTGGTCTGATTCTGTTGCTTCTTACTCATGGTGGCTTGTTTCTTCGTGTGTCTCGTGATTTTTTTATTGTGAGCACATATTTGGAAATTTATCTGCAAGAATTCTTTGGGGCTCAAATCCAATCATCAACCTAAAAGTCTGGAGACCTAGGGGTGTCTGGGTGGCTCAGCTGGTTAAGCGTCTGACTTCGGCTCAGGTCATAAACTCACAGTTTGTGAGTTCAGGTCCAGCGTCAGGCTCTGTGCTGACAGCTCAGAGCCTGCAGACTGCTGCGGATTCTGTGTCTCCCTCTCTCTCTGCGCCTTCCCAGCTCACGCTCTGTCTTTCTGTCTCACTCTCAAAAATAAATAAACATTAAAAAATAATTTTTAAATAAGATAAAAGTCTGGGACCTAGGCTTTAGTTCCCGTTCTCACACTGATAAAGTCTGTGACCCTAGTAATTATGTAATCTCTTTAAATATCTTCTTCACTCATAAAATGAATCTAAGGATACCCCCTTTAATGTCTTTCGGGGTTATTTTGAAGATTAAAGTGGATGTTCAATATAGAGGAAAGATCTCTGAAAAAAACACAAAGGTGCTATTACAGTGTAATAGGGGTATTATTTTGTGCTAATAATATTAACTGTAAGCCCAGGACATGAAGGCACGATTTTTTTGTAATGTTTATTTATTTATTGTTGAGGAAGAGAGAGAGAAAGAGAAGGAGCGCAAGTGAAGGAGGGGCAGAGAGAGAGAGAGAGAGAGAGAGAGAGAGAGAGAGAATCTGAAGCAGGCTCCAGGCTCTGAGCTGTCAGCACAGAGCCTGATGCGGGGTTCAAACCCACGAACTGTGAGATCATGACCTGAGCCAAAGTTGGACGCTCAACTGACTGAGCCACCCAGGCGCCCCTAAGTCACTATTTTTAGTGCTTGAAAATCTTTTCTTCTTTTATTTGATTAAACAAACTGCCCCGAGGATTTTTATCATTAATTTCCAATGGGTAGAAGCCAAATCAGTAAGTGAGGCTTACTGTTGCCGCAGTAGCTTAGGAATAGCTAACGTTTGTTGAGTGGTCCGAGCACTAAGTGATCTGCATGTAAGACCCCACTTAACACAAGGCTCCTTATTCGGGTGCACTCCCTCCCTAGGGCACTTGACTTGTTCCTTCTGCCACAAATGTTCTTTCCCAAGAAATCGTCTCACTTCCTTACTGTCTTCTAGCGTTTACTCAAAAGTCCCCTCCTGTGGAGCCCCTCCTTACCACCCCGTGTAAAAGTTCAGCCCTTTCCCACCCACCCCCAAATACACATTGTCTGTATACACTCCCTAATTTATGGTTTCTCTTCACACTTCTCACTCTCTAACAAACCATACATTCCTCCCATTTCTCTTATTTACTGCCTGTCTCCCCTGCTGGAATGGCAACTCCTTGAGAACAGGGATTCTCATCAGTTTTGTGTCTTTACTGCCATCTGCAGCGCCGAGAATAGTCCCTGGAGCCAAGCAGAAGCTCAAATTAGTATCCACTGGATGAGTGAATAAATGGATGTCTTCACAGGAATCTTTTTTAGGAGGTATTATTATTATCCCTGTTTTATGTATAAAGAAACTAAGGCTCCGAGAAGTTAGGTCATCTGTTTGTGGTCACACAGCTGTTAAGCGGCAGAAGCAGAATATGCACCCAATGGTCCCACTCCAAAGCGCCTCATTCATTGTCACCTCCACACCCTGCTGTCAGACAGAGAACCAAGAGGCCTATTCTGCACGTCATTGCCTGAAGAATTTCAGTGCCGCTGCCGTGAATCATGTGTTCTGTCCTGCCAGCCCTAACCTCTCTCTTCCGTTCGTCTACTGTCTGCTTTCTCACCAAGACTGGGCTCGTTCCCTTTTCCTAAACAGCGTCTGTGGAATCTGGTGTCTCCCTAGGAATGCCCTTCTCGTTTGAAGCTGATGGTAGCAATCAGCTGATTCTCATGACCTCGGGGAAAGTGTCCAACAGCGTGGCATGGGCCATTGGAGAAAATGGGATCCCTTTGATTCCTCCACTGTCACAGCAGAACATCGGATTTAGAAGGTGATGTGTGTCTATAATAAATTGATGAGTAATGTCTCTGCATTAATGATATCCGGGGGGCGGGCAGGAAGCTTGCAATATCACATTCTTTCCCTTTTTTCTCATGCGCTAGTAATTCCATGGTTTTTTATGGTACTTGAGGTAAAGATTAAAATATTAATAGCCTAATAAATATTAGATGTTTAGCAGTGCCAGAAACAGCAAAAAGCATTTTGCCTTGTTTAATCTCTCCGGTAACTCTGTGAAGTATTCTTTTCTTCATTCTTCATTCTTCATTCTTCAAGTATTCTTTTTCTTCATTTTATAGACGGGGGGGGAGAAATGCAGAGCCTATGATTGCGTATAGGTGGTCCTCAGTGTGAATGATGGTTGTTATAGAGCCTTCTGGTTATATAAAGGTCCCTATTGTCAGTTCTTTCCCTTGATTGCTAGATCCTTGGGCACTCTGTACCTCACCTATTTACCCCTAGGCAGGCCCCACCTCCTTGTGGTTGGTCCCTGTCCAGGCAGCCTGGACTATGGGGGCCAGGTGGCCTGGGTTCGAGTCTGGCTTCTGTCCTGCCCCAACAGATGGGTCTTGAGTTCATCTTTAACCATTCTGGGCCTCCGTTGCCTCCACCGTAAAATACAAGGACTTGGGGCACCTGGGTGGCTCAGTTGGTTGAGTATGAGACTTGGACTCAGGTCATGATCTCGAGGTTTGTGAGTTCAAGCCCTGCATCGGGCTCTCTGCTCTCAGTGTGGAGCCCACTTTCAGATCTTCTGACCCCCTCTCTCTCTGCCCCTCACCTGTTGTGCTCCCACTCTCAAAAATAATAAGCACTTAAAAATAAAAATAATAATAATAAATAAAAGGACTTATCCTGATCATCAAGAAGAAAGCTTGTGAGTCACAGACTGTCATTTTTGACGTGAGGGGAAACAGAGCGGGCCAGGCTCCGCTCCCTTTCTGCCTTCTCCATCCCGATTCCGATGTCCCTGTGACGAGAACAAGGAACATGTGGTCAGCACCTCCTCCATTAGGAGATGGGCGGTCACGTCCAGTGGAGGCCTCGAGCCTCGGCATTCTGTCCTCATTCCACTGAGTTTCACACCCGGGACGAAAGCTCCCACTCTCAGGAGAGGAGGTAAAACACAATGTGAGCGGCAAGAGACACAGCTCCGTTAACAAAGCCCTGACGCAAAGGTGCTGAGAGCGCTGGCCTCCTGGGAATTCAGTCGTGTCCCAATCCGTTGTGCGTGTTTTTTCCTCTTGTATTTTGGCCTCAGCTACGAGGGGTCCCCAGGTGAGTGGGAAGTGAGGCTCTCAGGGCACCCTGAACCGAATGCGCATTCTCCTTCCCACTGGCCCGGATCCAGGGACTCGGGACACTTCTACGCCCTGGGCAGGGTTGTAGGGATACTTGTTTTTCTTTTTTTGGTTTTATTGAGATATAACTGACACATGGCATGAGTTTAAGGTGTACCATGTAATGATTTGATAAGTGGATATATTGTGAAATAATCACAGTGAGTCTACCTTACATCGATCACCACACGTAGCTGCAGGTTGTACTTTCCTTGCCGTGAGAACTTTCAAGATCTGCTCTCTTAGCAGTTTGTAAATGTGCAGTGAAGTACTGTTAACTGTGCATCAGACCTCTGGAACGTCTTTATCGTATAACGAGAACTTTGGACTTTTTGACCGCCTTTGGCCACCGCCTCTCCCGCCCCACCTCTGGCCACCACCAACCCGTTCTCTGTTTCTACAAGTTTTGTTTTGGTTTTGGGTTTTGGTTTTGATTCCAGATAGAAGTGAGATCCCACCTTATTTGCCTCGCTCTGTCTGACTCATCTCACCCAGCACAACGCCCTCGAGCTCTGTCCATGTTGTTGCAAATGGCCGGATTCCTCCTTTTTTTTTATTTTTTATTTTTTTTTATTTTTTATTTTTGGGACAGAGAGAGACAGAGCATGAACGGGGGAGGGGCAGAGAGAGAGGGAGACACAGAATCGGAAACAGGCTCCAGGCTCCGAGCCATCAGCCCAGAGCCTGACGCGGGGCTCGAACCACGGACCGCGAGATCGTGACCTGGCTGAAGTCGGACGTTTAACCGACTGCGCCACCCAGGCGCCCCAGGATTCCTCCTTTTTTATGGTGAGTGACATACCACGTTTTCTCTATCCACTCACCCACTGAGGGGCACTTCAGTTGTTTTCATGCGTTGGCTCTCGTAAATCATGCTGTAATAATCATGGGGGTGCAGACACCCCTTTGGGACAGCGATTTTGTGCCCTTCAGGTGTATGCTCAGAAGCGGAATTGCTCAATCATATGGCAGTTCTGCTTTTAATTTCTTGCGGAGCCTCCGGACTGTTTTCCAGTGTTCGCACCAATTTACATTCCTACCAACAGTGCACGGGGGTTCCCTTTTCTCCACATCCCCGCCAACACTTACTATGTCTTGTGTTCTTTATTTTAGCCATTCTAACAGGTGCGAGGTGATATCTCACTGTGGTTTTGATTTGCATTTCCCTGATGACAAGTGAGGTTGAGCATCTTTTCACGTGTCTATTGGCCATCTGGATGTCCTCTTTGGAGAAACGTCTGTTGTGGTCCTCTGCCCGTGTTTTAATTAGATTATTTGGGTTATTGCTACTGAGTTATGAGTTCCATATATACTTGAAACATTAATCCCTTATCAGATGTGTGGTGTGCAAGTATTTTCTTCTACCATTCACTCTTCTCTATTGTCCCTGAAACGTGTATTTTTTAATGTTTATTTATTTATTTTTTTGAGACAGAGACAGAGTGAGCAGGGGGAGGGGAAGAGAGAGAGAATCCCAAGCAGGCTCCACACTGTCAGCACAGAGCCCGACGTGGGGCTTCAACTGTTGAGTCATGAGATCGTGACCTGAGCCAAAATCAAGAGTCAGACGCTTAACCGACCGAGCCACCCAGGCACCCCCCAAAACGTATTTAATAGCAGTCATCGAGCAAACAAAAACGGCAGAACTCCTTCCTTATGATCGGATTTTCTCCCTTAGACATAACAGCCTCCTTAGGCAGTGCCATCCCTGGGATTTTGCAGGCCTGAGGCAAAGTGCTCTGTGAAAAAGCCCATCTCACGGCATTAATTTCTTTTCCAGTGCTTTGAAGAGAGCAGATGCCATCTCGTCCATCGGCACATCGGGACTGACAGACTTGAAAAAGTTGGCCAAGTGGGCAGCAGAGTCCAAGCTCGACCCGAATGACCCCAACAATGCCCCTTTGATGCAGCTAATCTCGGTAACGTGGCACCATCGTGCACACACTGCATTTCTCCACTTGCTGTGCCAATAATAGACACGGCTTGACCCTTTACACGGATTTTCTTTCGCACTGTGTTCTCCAGTGAGATAGTGTTTAAGAACACGAGTGCCGGGTTAAATGACAGGTTTAAAGGCCGGCTTTGCCCCTGCCTGGCTGTGTGATCAGGGCGAGCACTCATGCTTCTAAGCACTGTGACACCCTCGCAGTGTGGCCATGACGATGTGCAACGCCTCATCTCAACAGTTAGCGGGGCACACAATCGGTGTGCAACAAATATTAGCTGTTGTTACGGTGTTGCTGTTCCTCTTACCGCTAACCTCTGTAAAACCCTAACGAAAGGCCTTGTTTGGCCCCTCCCCTGGAAAGGCACCTGAGTACGGGTGCTCAGAGTCACCTGCTCGAGGTCACATGGCCGGTAAGGACGCGGATCCAAGACCATTTCAGAGCGCGTGCCCGTTCATCACTCCTGGTGGGGCCTTTTAAGAAATGGTGGTTTTGTTCGTTTATTTTCCCATTTGATGATTGGATTATCGTTTAGATTTCTTTTAAGTATGTATGAGATAAATTGCTTGCGTCTATCATAACATTCGAAATTCTTTCTTCGGTGAGTTTATAAATAAAATGGAACATTAGTCAGTAAATGATTCTCCTTGGTAGCAGATACAATTGTTTTTGCTCCCAAGTTCATAATTCCCACAAAAATATAATAAACAAGTAGATGATCCGGAAAGTGACCACAGCAACACGTTCTGTAATCATGTTCACTAGTGGGAGTTCATCAGCAGGGTAACTGTAACCAGGATAACATTTTTATTTCTGTCATTTTCATTTCTGTCCTAGAATTTCCAAGGTAAGTCTCAAAGCAAGCTTGGGTTTATTCTGACGTTCGCCTTTTTAAGTTTTCCTTCCAACTCAATGATACTTCTTAGTGTGACTAAGAGAAGTATTAGGAAGAATAGACCACATTACCTAGAGCATAGTCTGTTCCATAAAGAGGTTTCAAATCACATTTTGATTACCATGTTTAAATCAGCAACAATATAGTATAAATGTCACCTTTGTTTTTTTTTTTTTTTTTTTTTTTTTTTTAACTATTTGTCTTCGTGTAGAAGGACAAAACACAGGGACGGCCTTCCAGACCTGTCTCTTTCTTGTTTCAATTTTTTTTTTCAATATTTGTTTATATTTGAGAGAGAGTGCAAGCCGGGGAGGGGCAGAGAGAGAGGGGAGAGGGGGGACAAAGGACCTGAAGCAGGCTCCAGGCTCCACACTGAGGGCACTGAGCCCAATGTGGGGCTCGAACTCAGAAACCGCAAGATCATGACCTGATGATCTGGCATCAGCCACAGTCCGATGCTCGACCAACTGAGCCACCCAGGTGCCCCAGGACCTCTTTTTATGGATTTTCACAGCAGGATCACCTCGCCCACTGCAAAGCCCTGGCGAGTCTCTCCTCCCTGGCTTTCCTTCTGCGAGGAGGAGGTTCCCACTGGCAGAGCACCCAGCAGAGGGGCAAGCAGATGCCCGGGAGAGTGTAGCCTCACCCGCTCAGCCTCCCAGCGGTACCCTGAGACCGTCCTTTCCGAGCCGGTGTAGGGGGCAGCGGGGACTGGCGCCCCGATCTGTCTTTACTCGGTGACCAGGGCCACGAGGTGCTGTTTGGAGACAGCATGACCGTGGAGCCGGTGATCAGCCAACTGATTTGAACTGACCAGCCAATTCTGGGGCCTTTATCTACATGTGCGCCTACGTATATTTGAAAAATCACATTTTGTTAAATATATCTTTAAAGTTATATTAAGTTATATATAACATATTTTAAATTCACGTATTAGATTTTATGGTAACACTGTATATACGCAACCTTATTTCCTGCAGGCACCTAGTAATACACTGATATAACTCTCCCATTTTCCACTCTGTATATTTACATAACACCTATGGGGGGAGCATGCGTACCCAAAAAAATGAACTTTATGATTTTTTTTTTTTTTGGAAAAATGAGTTGCGGTACTTTTTATAGCCAGGACATGAATATAATGGCACCTGCCTCGTGACTATTAGATTTCAACATATGTTGTCCTTAAATGCGGGATGTTTCAAGTCTCCCCGTCTAAGACTCTTTTTTTTTTTAATTTTATTTTATTTTAATTTATTTTTTAATATATGAAATTTATTGTCAAATTGGTTTCCATAGAACACCCAGTGCTCATCCCAAAAGTGCCCTCCTCAATACCCATCACCCACCCTCTCCTCCCTCCCACCCCCCATCAACCCTCAGTTTGCTCTCAGTTCTCAACAGTCTCTTATGCTTTGGCTCTCTCCCACTCTAACCTCTTTTTTTTTTTCCTTCCCCTCCCCCATGGGTTCCTGTTCAGTTTCTCAGGATCCACATAAGAGTGAAACCATATGGTATCTGTCTTTCTCTGTATGGCTTATTTCACTTAGCATCACACTCTCCAGTTCCATCCACGTTGCTACAAAAGGCCATATTTCATTTTTTCTCATTGCCACGTAGTATTCCATTGTGTATATAAACCACAATTTCTTTATCCATTCATCAGTTGATGGACATTTAGGCTCTTTCCATAATTTGGCTATTGTTGAGAGTGCTGCTATGAACATTGGGGTACAAGTGCCCCTATGCATCAGTACTCCTGTGTCCCTTGGATAAATTCCTAGCAGTGCTATTGCTGGGTCATAGGGTAGGTCTATTTTTAATTTTCTGAGGAACCTCCACACTGCTTTCCAGAGCGGCTGCACCAATTTGCATTCCCACCAACAGTGCAAGAGGGTTCCCGTTTCTCCACATCCTCGCCAGCGTCTATAGTCTCCTGATTTGTTCATTTTGGCCACTCTGACTGGCGTGAGGTGATATCTGAGTGTGGTTTTGATTTGTATTTCCCTGATAAGGAGTGACGCTGAATATCTTTTCATGTGCCTGTTGGCCATCCGGATGTCTTCTTTAGAGAAGTGTCTATTCATGTTTTCTGCCCATTTCTTCACTGGGTTATTTGCTTTTCGGGTGTGGAGTTTGGTGAGCTCTTGATAGATTTTGGATACTAGCCCTTTGTCCGATATGTCATTTGCAAATATCTTTTCCCATTCCGTTGGTTGCCTTTTCGTTTTGTTGGTTGTTTCCTTTGCTGTGCAGAAGCTTTTTATCTTCATAAGGTCCCAGTAATTCACTTTTGCTTTTAATTCCCTTGCCTTTGGGGATGTGTCGAGGAAGAGATTGCTATGGCTGAGGTCAGAGAGGTCTTTTCCTGCTTTCTCCTCTAGGGTTTTGATGGTTTCCTGTCTCACATTCAGGTCCTTTATCCATTTTGAGTTTCTTTTTGTGAATGGTGTGAGAAAGTGGTCTAGTTTCAACCTTCTGCATGTTGCTGTCCAGTGCTCCCAGCACCATTTGTTAAAGAGACTGTCTTTTTTCCATTGGATGTTCTTTCCTGCTTTGTCAAAGATGAGTTGGCCATACGTTTGTGGGTCTAGTTCTGGGGTTTCTATTCTATTCCATTGGTCTATGTGTCTGTTTTTGTGCCAATACCATGCTGTCTTGATGATGACAGCTTTGTAGTAGAGGCTAAAGTCTGGGATTGTGATGCCTCCTGCTTTGGTCTTCTTCTTCAAAATTACTTTGGCTATTCGGGGCCTTTTGTGGTTCCATATGAATTTTAGGATTGCTTGTTCTAGTTTCGAGAAGAATGCTGGTGCAATTTTGATTGGGATTGCATTGAATGTGTAGATAGCTTTGGGTAGTATTGACATTTTGACAATATTTATTCTTCCAATCCATGAGCAGGGAATGTCTTTCCATTTCTTTAAATCTTCTTCAATTACCTGCATAAGTTTTCTATAGTTTTCAGCATACAGATCTTTTACATCTTTGGTTAGATTTATTCCTAGGTATTTTATGCTTCTTGGTGCAATTGTGAATGGGATCAGTTTCTTTATTTGTCTTTCTGTTGCTTCATTGTTAGTGTATAAGAATGCAACTGATTTCTGTATATTGATTTTGTATCCTGCAACTTGGCTGAATTCATGTATCGGTTCTAGCAGACTTTTGGTGGAGCTAAGACTCTTAAGCTTCCATTCCCAAACCGAGAGCTCGGTGCTGGGTTTCTTGAGATGCAATCTGCCTGCCATCCAAAGCTGTGCCTCTTCTGTTTTCCATAGGTTGCTACTAGCGGTGAATCCTACGTCCCTGATTTCTTTCGACTGGAACAGCTGCAGCAAGAATTTAACTTTGTTTCAGATGAGGAGTTAAATAGATCCAAACGATTCCGGCTTCTTTGTCTTCGAAGCCAAGAGGTGCCAGAATACCGAAATTACAAGCAAATTCCAGCATATGACCGGGAAATTATGGAGAAGGTATTCCAGGTAAGAAATTGCCATGGAGGACTTAATACAGCAATAAAATATGTCTGTGCCATTTGGCTTGTACTATGATGAGTGTATCTTCTTGCTGTCGTGTTCTCCGTAGCGATGTTGGTTTCTCGTTTCGAACGCTTCACATAACTTTTCCATTATTTTTTTTTTACACTTAATGTTTAAGTAGTCTCTTTGCCCAATATAAGGACATATAAACTAAGAGACATTAGAGTCATAAGTCTGAAAAGCATCTTACGTGTTAATATGGGAAATTATCCTGCCACGTTATAACTGTCAGTAATTCAATGCCATTTTAATCCATTAAATATTTAGGAAGCCCGGTAAACACTGCGGGTGGGGGGCGGCGTGGGGGGGGGGGGTAGGCCCGGGGGTCTCAGGTGGGCGGGGCGGCACGGAGGCGGGGCTGGGCACAGGCTTGGCTGTGGAGGGGTCCCTGGCAGGTGGGGAGCCTTTGAGGAACTACAGGTGAAAGGCCAGTGTAGGCCGGACAGGCCAGTGAAAGCCTGACGGGCAAGTTAGTGTTTGCTGAGGTAAATGGGGAGTCATTAGAAATGGAGCCCAGTATGATTTTTTATGCAGAAACTATAGAAACTATTGGAGAATATTTTTGATGACTTGGTTCTTCTTTGTATTAGTTGGGACTCGTGATGGTAAGTGATAAAAAGCCAATTGAAGCTACCTTGGGCACCGAGAAAGCTTATTAGATGATGAAATGCCAAAATGGGTTAAATATCTAAGGGGGCGTGAATGGCAGGAGTTCACGTGTGCCTCAAGGACACCCGGATCCAGAACCTGAACACTCGCCAGGACGCAGTTCCGTCCTGCCTGGGCTTCTCTTGGTCTTCGTTGTGGGCAGATTCTCTACTTGGCTGCATGGTCACCGGCATCATCCAAGCTCACATCTAGTGGCTCCAGCCAGCAGAGAGAGATGTGTCCTCTTGTCCCAAGCTTAAAAATCTTGGGAACAGCTGGCTTGAGTTGCCCAGGCTGGGTTAGGAGCGACCCTGGATATTGAGCTGTGGCCAGCTGGCTAAAGCAGAACATGGCAGCTCCCGGCCCCCTGGAAATTTTATCGACAGAGCAAAGCACAGCAGCCTAAGACAGAGCTAACCCACCCACCACTCTCCTCCAGGGAGGCAACCCAAATCAGCTGCAGCCAGAGGCTACTTACTACTTTTGCCATTGCTCTACTTAAAATAGAAAAGACAAAAATGTAAGCAGACGCTTCGGCTAAGTTGCTTGGGTGAGCTGAGCTTCTGGAGTCTCTCTGTTATCTCTGTATCTATGTGTCTTCCTACATGAACATCCTGAGTTGTAATTGCTCTAAGGCAGTTCAACCAACTGATTCCAAAACCGGCATACTGCGTCAAAGATCAATTTTGAAACCAATTGTGAAGAGGAAGGTGGAAGACACATTTAGACCCATAATTTATTACTTAAACCACATGGGATAAATTCTGTCGTCTCAAGAAGGGCATGGGGGGGGAGGGGTACTAGTACTTTAAAATCATAAAACTATTCCTTTTTCATCTTAGGACTATGAGAAACGGTTACGAGACAGAAATGTAATTGAAACCAAGGACCACATAGATCCCCATAGGGCCATGGTAGCCAAGTACCTCCAACAGGTAAGGAAAATCATTTTACAGAGTCCCCACCGGGGGAACATAGCCAGCACCCTAGGACTGGGGAGAGAGTGGTCTTTATTCTGCCGAGTTATCTATGGGATACTTAACTGTCACTTATTTGCTCATAATTACAGATAAGAAATTAATTTGAACACGTGAAACACTAGGATGTATCTCAGCTTATTATCAGTGGTTATCTTACATGGAGTATGAGTACAGGGGACACAATTTCTAAGTCGTGATTTTTCTCATATTTGAATATTTGCATCATATCACCTTTGTAATGAAAAAGTTTTATGAGCCACATACTAACTGCCCTAATGCACTAAAAACTTGAAATACCCGTTTGCCCTTCCTTCGTTTAGTAAATGTAACTTGTAGGAAATGCTACAGTCACTACACTATGTTTTTCCCATCCAGTTGATACCCTGCAGCTCCTTATAAAAAAAACAACTTATGACATTTCAGAGGCCCTCTATTTGGAGAATAATTAGAGGGGCGTCTGGGTGGCTCAGTTGAGCATATGACTCTTGATTTCGGTTCGGGTCATGATCTCATGGTTCGTGGGTTCGAGCCCTGCTTTGGGCTCTGTGCTGACAGCACAGAGCCTGCTTGGGATTCTCTCCCCCTCTCTCTGCCCCGTTTGCACTCTCTCTTTCAAAATAAATAAACTTTAAAAAAAATAAAGAATAATTAGAAAGTAAACCAGTCTAAGGGTGCCTGAGTGGCTCAGTCAGTTAAGCATCCGACTCCTGGTTTCAGCTCAGGTCACGATCCCAAGGCCGTGAAATCAAGCCCCACGTCTGGCTCAGTGCTGAGTGTGGAGCCTGCTTGGGATTCTCCCTCTCTGTCTCCCTCACTCTCACTCTCTCTCTCCCCTCTGCTGCCCCCCCCCCCCACCGTTTGCACTCTCTCTCTAAAAACAAATTAAAAAAAAAAAAAAAAGTAAATCAATCTGAATAGAGGAAGAACTCCAGAATCTGAAATGTGTGTGCTTCAAGATCGGTCCTATTTTTTGCAATTATTCATTCATTCTGAAAAATTCCACTGTCATCCACCAGGAAATTTCCCAGGTCTCAAGAATAGAGCAGTGAACAACACAGAAACCCCTGTGCCTTAGGGAGCTTACACTAACAAGCAAAGCGGGGTGATTTATAGGGGAAGAGACCAGCGCTGGGGAGGAAAGGGCAAGTGTGCTGGGACAACTGAGGTGACATCGGGTGAACACTCAAAGGGGTTTAGGGAGTGACCTGTGAAGTCTATGTGACAGGAACATTTTAAATAAAACACACGTTTGTCCTCAGGTTAGAGAATCAGTGATCAATCGTTTCCTAATTGCAAAACACCGTTTTCTTCTTTCGGATTTGATAGTAGAAGAAGAAGTTCCCAATATCAGGTAAAAGCAAACAAATCTTTCGTTTCTTATAAAAATTACTTTTATTGTATTATATGAAAATTTTCACGTAAATAGAGAATTCTTATCCTTGCATGGTATGTGCTTGGGCCCGCAGTATTGCTGGGAACCAGTAAAACGTGATCGATGCCTAATGGTTACCTTAGTTGGGGGGGGGTTTGTTAAGTCGCATGAGATGCTCTCCATCATTGCCCAGTAGACACCATCTCACCTCCCCAGTCCACTTCACAGCCTTTGCCAGTTCCTTGCTGCCATCAGACCACGTCTGATGGCATGGCCCTCCCGCCCACGCTCCTGCCCTCCACCTCCCCACGTCACACTGCCCCTCACTCCCCCACACTAGACAGAGGGGGTGGCCGGGAACGAGCACTGCGGCCCCAGGTCGGGGGCTGGGGGGAGGCAGAGCTGCTATGTGTTTGGTGAGGGGACAGGGGCAACAGGGAACATGGAGATCTACGTCCAAGTTGGGGATTGGCTGCATTTGCTTGATTGATTTCCCTATTACTTAGAATAATCCTTACATGTTCTCAACTCAAAGTGGAAGCACAAAAGATGAAAAATAACGTTCTATACTGGTGGTCTTGTGTACCCCACTAACTTCCTGACCCTTTCTGTGATTAAATCTCTTGGTCTCCTAAAAAGGTGATTTCCTCTCATGCACTTCGTCTCCACCACCAAGCTGGGAAGGAGACAAAAAATGTCTATGCATGGCAGTCCCTTTCTTGGACTTGGCCTCCGTCCATGTACAGAAGGAAGGGCTGTACCCACACAAATTCATGCAAACCCTCCCTCTTCGTTCCAGGCCCAGAGTCCAGTCACTGTATTTTTTCAGTCATGAAACTTACACTCTAGAATAGATGATGATATTTCTTGCTGGTTTTCCATTTCATTTCTTTCTTTTTTCTTTTTCTGCTTTACTTTCTGCATTAAGTTCTGAAGGCTCAGGGTATGTTCTTTCTTCTTTTAATTTTGGTTTGTTCTTACTGTTAAACTAAGATGTTTCTATATTTAATGGTCCCAGCCGCCAAGATGTTCCCATGCTGACTCCTGGGAGGGCAGCCAAGTGTCCTGAGCAAAGGGGAGAAGTTTCGACAAAGGGAAAGGATGTGCCACGTTAGGACCCCCTGGCAAAGGTGTCCCTCTGAGGTCCCCAAGTTTGGGTTAGGTGGGTGTCCTGGCAGACTGATTAATAAGACAGGTTTCAGTGGCAAGAACATGAACCTTGAGGGCATTATGCTAAGTGAGATAAATCAGACAGAGAAAGACAAATACCATATGATCTCACTTCTATGTGGAATCTAAAGAAGCCAAACTCCTAAACACAGAGTAGAACGGTGGTTACCAGTGGCTAGGGGTTGGGAGAATTGGGGAGATGTTGCTGGAGGCCTACAGACTCGCAGCTGGTAGATAAAAAAGCTCCGGAGATCTCAGGCACAGCAGGCGAATATAGTCAGTACTGTATCATAAACTTCAAAGTTACTAAGTGTCGAGATCTTAACTGCTCTCCCCACAAAAAAGAAATGATAATTATGTGACGTTCTAGAGGTGTTAGCTAACACCACAGTGGCAGTCATATCCCAGTATCTAAATGTATCTATGCCTGAAATTTAGTCGTTCGTTCGATGTCAACTATATCTCAGTAAAAATAAATTAACAACACTAAAATGTAGACAACAAGTCACACACAGAAAAAGTTTTACGGTATCACTGTCCTCACACTCTCTCTCTTTTTTTTTTTTTTTTTTGGATGGGGGAAAGATAGCTATTTTTCATACCTTTACATTATGTTAACATGTGATGGGTCTGCTCTTGTTTTAAGTGAGTTAGAGATAAATATATGTAAGTATTTTTAAAAGAGGAAGAAGCTGGCTGTTTAGTCAGAGTGACCAGAGTTGGAACCCCAGTTCTCCCCCTGGGAGCCTTCAGCAAATCCTGTCACCTCCCAGACACCTGTCACCTGTCACCTCCCAGAAGCCTCCAGTTACTTCATATGAGAACTGGGGTAAAGGTTCTACTTGTCAGGATTAGAAATATTCTGCGTATGGCACCTCGCACTCTGCTTGATCATAGAAGGTGCTGGTAAGCAGCAGTCGCTCTGTGAGACACAAGATCCTGGGAACAAGCAGGAGCCCCTCGGGAGCCATCCCCCCCACCCAACTCCAAGGCTGGCATGTGCCCCTTGGAAAGAGGCCGCTGGTCAACCAGGGGAGGCAGAGAAGCGAGAGCCGGCTCTGTGCAGCTGGCCTTGTCCCCTGGCGCTGGGCACGGTAATGTCAGCTTGCGGGTACAAAGTCACCTCTGTGCTTCTGTTCAGCCTCCGGGCCAGCATAGAATTACCTGCTTCGTGGCCCTTTCTCCCACCACGATTCCCCGACAGTGCTTGTGTCCTCCCGGAAGTGTTTACGGGATTCTGCCTCAGTGAGAGGGAAGGGATGAGGGGGATCCTCCTGCCCTTGCCCTTCCACTGCCATCGTGCCACGCTCATCTTCCCAGCAGCCACCATTTCAGGGCATCCAGCAAGTGCTAGACCAGGGCAGGGGTGCTCTGCATACACCCCCTCACTTTATCCTCTCTGCAACCCCAGAAGGGAGGTGTGATTATCCCCATTTTACAGATGACGAAACAGAGACGTAAAGAGGTGAGGAAATTTGCCCAAGGTCAAAGAGCAGACCCAGGAGTCCCCCCGGGAAGCGCCCTGGGGCTCAGGAGAGGGAGCACCCCTTCCTGCTGTGTGGCTGGGCCCCTGGGGCAAGGAGATGAGGAGAGCACCTGCACACTTGAGGGGGAGGGACCCGAGAGGAGCAAGGCAGAGCACGAGGCGGGAGGGGCCCGAGCACACTTTTCTTCCTCTGATCGGTAGCAGCTGAAACCTGTCTTAGTGATCCACCCCAGAGGCTCTCCCCGGTCTCGGGAGAATTCCTTGGCGCTTTCCACCCTCCTTAAACAGACAAAAGAGTTTTTCAGGGGCCTTTGAGGGGCCTAGGGGGAGATTTGGGAAGCTGTCTCACAACTTTCCAGATCTTTCTTTTCCTTAGAGTCCTAATCCTGTTCTGTAATCATTAGCATTTTGGGGCTAAGCCTTTTCAAGCTGGCAGAACAAAAGCGACCACTGAGGCCAAGGAGAAAAGGCCGGAAGAAGGTGACGGCCCAGAACCTGTCCGACGGAGACATAAAGGTGCTGGTGAACATTATCCGGGCTTATGACATTCCTGTGAGGAAGCCGACAGCAAGGTGAGAGCCGTCCAGACAGCCCTGGGATGGAGAGGACAGGGTCCCCGCCGAGTGGTTCACTTCTCTATAGCACGTCCGCTCCCACCTTTAACGCAGTCGCTGTTCTGTCCAGGGATGGGGGGAGGTCTTCCGGAAGCCAAAGCCCTGTCGGTTGCAAGTCATAGACCAACTCAGTCAATTTAGGCTCAAGAGGGGATTTATTGTGTCTCAAAGAACTCAAGGTTAAGAGGCACAGCTGGGGGCGCCTGGGTGGCTCAGTCTGTTAAGCGTCCGACTTCAGCTCAGGTCATGATCTCAGTCTGTAAGTTTGAGCCCCGCATCAGACTCTGTGCTGACAGCTCAGAGCCTGGAGCCTGCTTCGGATTCTGTGTCTCGTTCTCTCTCTGCCCCTCCCGTGCTCATACTCTGTCTCCCTCTGTCTCAAAAATAAATAAAAAACATTGAAAGAAATTTTTTTTTAAAAAGAGACACAGTGGACCGTAAAGATTGGGGTGGCTCTTCTGAGGCCCCGTGGTCTCTGTTGCTCACTTCCTTCTGTGGGTTTGCTTTATTCTTCTCCCTGTGAGGGAAGCCATCCATTCAGCCAGGGTACCGTCCACAAGCATCAGCTTCTCAGGAGAGAAGCTGAGGGTTCTAACTTGTGTCAGGTGTTGACCCATGGTCTAATCACCTATATAACCAGAGAGGCAGGGTCCCCAGGCCCAGCCCTGAAGGTGGGGAACAGTTCTCAGAGAAGCAGGTGTGAGCAGGGCAGATACCCGAAAGGTGTTATGTCCTAGGTTCTGAACATACACCCTCTGAGCATAAAAATGTGACTTCCCCTTAATCTGCTCTGAGAAATGAGGGATGCCTGCTGTGTTCCACGACACTGGGGCACAGGGCAACCCCTCAACCAGAGTAAGGTGAGCCTGAGTTTCTTATCCCCTTAGAGAACAGAGATGAGCAAGATTTAAAAAAAGAAAGAGTGGCTCCGGAGCTCGGGGGGTTAGAGCACTGGTCTCGTGAAGTAAGAAGGAGCCAGAATTAAGACTTGGATCTGCCGATGCACCTGCCAGTGTAAGGAGGGAGGCTGCGCTTTCTTGCCCATTCGTCGGGTTCCAGACATTACGCTAAGCCTCTTTCGTGTGTATTATGTCACTTGCTTCTCGCTACGATTGCTGTCTCCATTTTAAGACAGGGCAAATGTCTGGGTGGCTTGTCCAAGGTCATCGAGCTCGGTCTGATCCACAGAACACCGTTCTGGCCTGTGGCATTTTCTTTCCTCCCCAGGGTCTTCCCGTGAAATTGATCCCCCATCCAGTCTTTTGCCCTATTGTTTTACTAAGTCTTCCACCCGTCACAGAACATCTGACGTCACCCACTGTTCCCAGCATTTGGTCACTAGTAAGTGTACATTCAAGCTCTTGAATCTCTGAGGAGCCACAGCCCAACCCCTTCACCTTGATTATGTCACAGCTCAACCGTGGGGAGTAAAGCTGTCTTTTAAAATAACGTACAGGTGTTTCTCTTATCTTTGTCTCTATAGAATTTTTTTTTTTTAATTTTCTTAAGTTTCTTTATCTGAGAGAAAGAGAGAGAGGGCAGGGGAGAGGCAGCGCAGAGCCTGACACAGGGGCTTGAACTCAGAAACCGTGAGATCGTGACCCGAGCCGGAACCAAGAGTCAGACAAATAACTGACTAAGCCACCCAGGCGCCCCTCTACAGAATACCTTTTAAGTGTTAAACCGTTTCATTCAAATTACAAGGAAGCTTAGTTGATCCTCTGTGCTCTACATTTCAGTGTAGGCTCATCCAGACAGCTTAGATATCAACTCGTGCATGAAGCCCACCTGAACCTTGACCCTCTACCCTTGCATCCAACTGAATAGGATTTTTTCTTCTTCATCCCCCTCTCTGTACTCTGATGGCTCGTGCCCATCCCGATGGGCTAATGTGTATCCCACTGTATTGTGATTATTTCTTTACGTGTCTACCGGCCATTTTAGTTGGAGCCGCAGTGTGTCTGATTTGTCTTTGCAGCTCCAGAGTCCAACACAGGGCCTAAAATACAGTGGGCACTTCACAGATGTTTCTGTAATGCTGTAATCGATGGCGTTCCAGAAAGAAAAAGGGTTTCTCTGGCAGCTGTTGTGTTAAATAGTCTACTCTTATTGTCTCATGGTTTGTCCGAAACTCTTATCTGGGAAAAGGTTAGACAGTTTGGTAGAAAGAGACAATTTCTACTTTGCCTGGTAATGAATATGAAATACTTGGTAAGTCATAAGCTTCAGTACAAATATGCAGGTGTGTTGTTAGGATGAGGGGAGTGGTGGCTGGGAGAGACCCTCCAGAGGTGACCTTCGTTTCTTTTTGTTAAGAATCCCAAAAGGGATGGGGCGCCTGGGTGGCTCAGTCGGTTAAGCGCCAGACTTTGGCTCAGGTCACAACCTCACAGTTCGTGGGTTCGAGCCCTGTGTCAGGCTCTGTGCTGACAACTCGGAGCCTGGAGCCTGCTTCAGATTCTGTGTCCCCCTCTCTCTCTGCCCCTTCTTGGCCCACACTCTGTCTCTCAAAAGTAAATAAACATTAAAAAAAAATAAAAAAAAAGAATCCCCAAAGGGAAAGAGGGCAAGACCCATAGATCCTAACTCTAGCTAGGAATCTCTGAGTGTCTCTTTCCCAGAGAGGCATAGCAGGGCCTGGAGAGAGGGTCTTACTGAGGATAGGTAGCTCGAGGTTACTGGAGAGCGCAGGGTCACAGAGAATGCAGTGGGAGGGGAACTGGACGAGATGGGGCAGACTGGCCAGGGAGCTGAAGATTCGGCCACTCAGTTCCCAGAGGAACTGAGGCTCTCTCTTGTTGGGGGACAGATTCCTCACTAGGGCACCCCCTGGGAGAGGAGTGGGTGGAGAGGACCCTTTTCTCCTTTCCAGCCAAACATGCAGGCCTAGCGGTGGAAGAAGCTTTCTGAGGTGTCAACAAACTTAAGAAAATGTCTGTCACCAGAGCCATAGGTCTTCAGAGAAGCCACCTTGCTGAGTGTCTCATTAGACCTTTCTTGTCATTAATTTCTGTCACACATTTTCCCTCCTAGCAAATTCCAGCAGCCATCAAGGTCTTCAAGGACTTTCAGCGAAAAGCATGCTGCCTCCCCAACCACACACAGCCCAACCCACAGTGCTGACTACCCCCTCGGCCAGGTGAAATACCTCAATTCTGGGTTTCTGCTTAGAAGCTTGCCCCTTAATAATTGCCTACAAACTTTATCATCTCTTTTCCGCTTCATTTTCTTTGGAAACATACTCTTTGGTAAACATATTCTACCTCTGCTAAGAACAAAATAATTCAGCTAATTGTTCTAGACTCTCATGATCCGCTCTTGTGTTTAAGGTTTTAGTACGTCCTTTTGTAGAAGTTTCTTTTCAACGAACGATTTGCCATACAACTACAGCTGAAGGACCAAACCCCAGCTGGAATGAAGAACTTGAACTTCCATTTAGGTGAGCATATTTTCTTCTTTAGGGAACTATAGGATATTTTGAAGAAATGTGAGTAAAATGGAGCCCCGGGGGGAAAAGGCCACAGTGAAAGGTTCTACAGGAGCCTGACACTGAGTCCCATTCTGTTGCTCTTGTACCACAGGGGACTCCGACCAAGACTAAAATGGGAAAATGTCCAACTTTTGAAACTCGGGTTCATTGTTGGGACACGCCCATGCCTCTCCAGGCTCTGGCTTTTTGTAGCCCTAAGTTTCCCATTCCCTTGACCCCCTGGCCCCTACACTGCTTTTCCTTTGTTCCTCGTCTCCCTGACTCTGGAAGCTTCAAATAACCTCTCTAGTCTGGCACTCCCTATTTTCCATAATTACGCTTTCTTCCTCGCCAGAAATAACACATAGGGATTTGAAACTTTAATTAAATGATTTTAGATATTTAAAAGACTCCTTATTTCAGACCTTGACGCTTCCTTAGAAATTACCATTCTACTTTTACAGCAATCAAAACCCACAGGTGGAAGTACCATAGAGACAGAGCAAGGCTTAGAGCCAGTTCGGTCAGAAGAGAGGGACACGCACCACTATTATGCATAGGAGAAGCATAAAGAATGAGAAAACGCAAAGGCAAAATGCTTGACAAAATACGCGCAGTGGCCCGGTCTTGAGCCGTGCCACAGAGCAGCCAGCTTGGGCCAGGCCCGGACTCAGAGCAGCGACAGTACAGGAGAGGAACCTCGTGCCTGCATTGCGTTTGGTTATCTGTGGGGAAAGTGAGTGGGAGGCAGGGACCATTCAACCGGCCATATGACACTAGGAGGTCTATGACTGGGGAATGGTCTGCCAGAGAAGCATCTTCTACAGCCCAGTTGCTTAGGAAATCTGCATCCCGGCACGGGTGCCAGCCGGAGACTTTGAACGTAGCCTGTCCCCCGAGCCAACCCAACTGTGGCCAGCTGGCTCCTGGCAGAGCTCACCACGCAGGTTGGGGGGGTGACGGGAGACTCGACGGGACAAGCCAGCAGATGGGGGGGCAGGGGGTGGTATCTCTCTGCGCGGGGCCTCTAGTCTAGTGCCCCTTCCACTCGAGTATAGGGATTATGTTATCGCATCCCAGGATAAAGAGAAATATTCGAGGTGAAGTCACGGCTTTTAATCCTCATATCTATGCTCATATTTGGGTATTTTTCACACTGTGAGATCTGAGTGCTCGTTGCTTCCGTTTTGCCCATGTTCATAGTCCCGGGTCACGTGTCCCCATTCGCAGGGCTCCCAATGGAGACTACAGCACAAGCAGTTTGCAGTCAGTGAAAGATGACGTGTTCATTAACATTTTTGATGAAGTGCTCTATGATGTCCTCGAGGTGAGTTCACAGTGTTGAGGAGGACGTCTGCACTCATTTTCATGCCCTCCACTCATTGTAGGTCCCTAACTCATTTCCCATCTCTGTGGCGTTTGAAATGTTTGAAACTTGACATGTATAAATGGGTAAAGGAAAAGGGAGGGAGGGAACTAGCTTTCTTATTTTCAGCTGAGTGTCCGCTACCTTCCAGAAATTGCACTGGGTGCCTAGCATACATGGTCTTAATTCTAGAATAACTTTGTGAAGTAGACTGTTAAATCTCCAATATAGCGGGGCGCCTGGGTGGCTCAGTCGGTTAAGTTATCGATTCTTGATCTCAGGGTCTTGAGTTCAAGCCCCACAGTGGGCTCTGTGCTGGGCGTGAAGCCTACTTTAAAAAAAAAAAATTAGTAATGGGGAAACTGAGGTTCAGAAGGGCTAAGTGACATCGTTAGGGTCACTAAACGATTAAGTGACTGAAGCAGAATGTGACTTAGGGCTGCCTAACCTGGCTCACGTAGTTTCAGCTAAACCCCCGCTACCTTCCTGTGGCCACGTTATTCAAATGTGAGGCTGAAGTTCTTAAACAATTGCTGCCTCCCACCTTCCTTCAGGATGACCGTGAAAGAGGAAGTGGAATCCACACCCGTATTGAGAGACACTGGTTGGGATGCGTGAAGATTCCATTTAGCACGATATATTTCCAAGCCAAGGTAAGCACCGAAACCAGAACTCCATGGGAGTGGGGAATGGCTGTGCCCATTTTTCCTATTACAGCTTTCTTGGCAGGTCTGTGCCCTCCACACTGAGGGAGCCTATATGCAAGTCGTCAGAAAGATAAAACGCCGCCGATCTTCTGTCATATTTGCGTGGCTTATTAAACATCGATCTCCCTTGGAGGCAGTAGTTAATGTAGGGCTGTTCCAATCTGAGGATTTTTCTGTCATTTAAATAGAAGTGAGGCAGAAGGTGGGACAAAGTGGAAACTTGTCAAAATGACAAAAGTGGAGTGGATGGACGCCAGAAACGAACTTGAAGGGAACAAGCAGGACAGTGATAGTCCATTGAATCAAGTGCATTCTATTAATGTTTCTAGAGTCCTCGCTATTTCAAACATGAAAAATGGTTAGCACAATCTCATTCAGCTGAGACGCTCTTCTTCAGAGTCTAATGATTTTGCTTAAGGGGACCCATTAGGTTAACAACTTCTTGAATGATTTAGTAGCTCCAATCTGGGACAGTGAAAGATTCTGAAATGGCTTTAATATCCTGGTATTAAATCCATGGCAACAGGAGGCTTTGAGCCGCAAGACTGTAGCTAATCTCACACGGCGACAGAGGGAACGGTTTAATTCCACACGTGGCGACCACACAGAGCAAGTGTCGCCTGGGCCACACAGTCTCCAGCAAGCCTGGGGCTTGGATGGGTTGGAATCTCCGAGATAATTGGAATTGCAGTTCTCCCCCTAGACAAAGGGACAGTCTACAGGTGACGCTTCAGTGATGTGCTGGCCAAAACATTTTCGTGTCCCTCTTTGAATAGATTTTAAATGGAAACAAAAAAATTAAGAGCGCATCAGTTTGTAAACGAAAGTGCCATGTTATCCGGCAATGCTGAATTTCACACCTGGAAGGGTACTCGGAGGTAACTGCTCCAAATCCCTTCTGGATAAATGAATCTCCTTTACTGCATTCTGGTAATACCTATACTCTGTTTGAGTGCCCCTAGAAACGGGGAACTCACGACTTCATGAGGCAACTTGCTCTCTTTGCCATAGCTCTCTGTTACAGATTTCTTCCCTGAACTGTGCCATAATCTGTGCATCCCTATCCGTAGGTCCTGGTTTGGAGCTACACATAACAAGTAGAATCCTGACTCACTAATAATAGTAGGAATAACTATACTTGTCACATATTACATGCCATTACCTGCTAGTCTGTATGTCACCTCATTTAATCTCACAACAACCCAGTAGGCTTTACTGTCGCCATTTTACAGATGATGAAACAAGCCACACGAGGTGAAGTCACTACTCAAATCCCAAAGCTTACAGGATTCACTTTTACCAACTTCCCACAATGCTCACATTGCTTATCCCTGGGGAATGAGATTGGTAGAGGGAGAGAGAACGATTCAATGTTTGGGCTTATCCATTTCAATGTTACTTCTGAGAGTGATGTTATTACATTTGTCATTTAAGTTTTCTCTGACTCCAAAGCTTGTACCCTTATGTGTACCTGCAGGGGACATTTGGCAGTATCTGGAGACATGACTGGTTGTCACAGCTAGTGGGGGAGCCATTGCCATCTTGTCTGTGGAGGTCAGGGATGCTGCCAACCCCCCACGATGCAAGGACAGTCCCCCCCACAGACAGTCAGGCCCCAAATATCAACTGTGCCCATGTTGAGAAACCCAGTCTGAAGTCCTTGCACCAAGTATTTGGAGATAGTGCCCATTGCTTCCTGGGTCATCAGATGTGCTCCGTTCTTTCAGGTGCACTTTGTATGGCTTGTTTTTGTATCCTTGTCCCTGTACTCTCTTCACCTGCCTGGGTGCAGGATTCAGGGGAAAGCACCGACATAAGGAGGAAAATAAACAACAGCTCACTTAATTCCTCGCTGGAAGGCATAGTTACTGAAAGTTGAACTCCTTTCTCTATTTCTTCTGAGACATAAATGCCGCTAAAGACTGAAATGAAAACCGGATTCTCCGTAAGTCGGTGAATTTCAAGTTCCAGCCCTGAATAGTTGTGTAGCCCTAGACAGTCTTTAATAAACTTATTGTTGGGCTGGCTAGGCCAAAATGAAAAGTCCTGTCTTTTGGAACCTCCACAGAAGCCAGGTCAATTTACGTGAGTGGCTTGTAATGCATTAAGCCCACATGTATCGAGCACCTGCTGGGTACACAAAGCGCTGCTCTACGTTGGGAAAGGGTGATAGAATCGTGGGTGAACTATAATCCTATTCATGGAGAGAAATCTAGTATCTGGAACAAAGTGATAGATGTGCATACAACTATAAGGTCTGCAGAATGTGTCATGGTAATAGCAGAAGAAACAAATTCGATGTGAGGCTGCTAGTGATTACAAAATAATTCACAAAGGAGATAACATCTGGCCTGAGCCTAGAAAATAGAATTAATACTCTGAAAGGGGGGATGAAAAGCTGGGGCATTCCAGAAAAAGGGAATAGCTTCTGGCCAACGCTTACTGAGCACTGAGCATACGCCAGGCATTTTTCTTAGTATTTTACGTCTGCTCATTCCGCACACGTAACCACCCTACAAATGGGTACTATTATTGTCTCTATAAATGCACAAGCTGGGACACTTGGAGTGTAATCCAGGATTGGAACCCAGGTGACATACTGTCACATCAACCTGAGTAGCTGGTACGTGCTCTGCTGAACGGGAAGAGGCAGGGATGTAGACAGAGCTCAGGGCGACATGCCCAGAAGATTAGGGTGAGCCTCGAATGCCAGTCTGAGCAGTCTTTGTTAGATTCATCGGACAGCGAGGAGTTGACACTTGCCTTTGAACTTGGGTTGGAAAACCACCAGGGTGTTTACCAAGTCATGTGTTGTTCACAGATCGATGGGACATTTAAAATAGACATTCCCCCCGTTCTCCTGGGCTACAGTAAGGAACGGAGCATGATTATCGAGCGGGGTTTTGACTCCGTGCGAAGCCTGAGTGAAGACTCCTACATCACCCTGTTTATCACCATGGAGCCTCAGCTGGTTCCCGGGGAGTCGGTTCGAGAAAAGGTAACCCTGCTTTAGAATCGCATGTCTGATGTTCATGAGACACGAGGAATGCTTGCTATGCTTTTATAAACGCAGAAGCCATGGCCCAAGCAGAGGTCTCCTTGCCAAAGTTTCCGTTCACTACCCTTTCGGTCTGGACAAAATGAGGGGAGATTGTGGATTCGTGTTTCCATTGAGCTGATCATTAGATTGATCAACAACTTAAAATTTCAGGCAACTGTAACACATGCTCCAGGTGTAGAAGAATTTTCTTAAAGGAAGAAAAAAAGCAGACTACTCTTTTATCTTGACATTTATTGGCAAGCGTGCCGAAATACATTTCCACGTCTGACCTCACATCCCTGGTTGTCCTGTGTGTTGAATCAATTTATAGCATCGTAAGGCTAGGCGACCTTCAGGGGTCACCTCATTTCAGTGCCTTCAGATACTGTAGAGCACAAATATTCTAATTCTGGATGGCTCTAGAACAAAGAGTTTCCAGAACTTCCATTTGTTAGCGACTATTTACCAACCCTCATAGCTGGGAGACACTTTCTTAATATAACTTGCTTCTGCAGCACTGATGTGTACTGTCCTCATTGGTTTGGGGAGAAAGTTACTGATCATGACCTCTTAATACCATAATACAGGGGCGCCTGGGTGGCGCAGTCGGTTAAGCGTCCGACTTCAGCCAGGTCACGATCTCGCGGTCCGTGAGTTCGAGCCCCGCATCAGGCTCTGGGCTGATGGCTCAGAGCCTGGAGCCTGTTTCTGATTCTGTGTCTCCCTCTCTCTCTGCCCCTCCCCCGTTCATGCTCTGTCACTCTCTGTCCCAAAAATAAATAAACGTTGAAAAAAAAAATTAAAAAAAAAAATACCATAATACAATAACCACCACCACCACCACCATCATGTACTGAGTTTTTACTCTGTCCTCGGCCCCGTGTCGGATAGTTGACGCACATTCTCTCTTAATACTCACAACTGCAGTGTATGGTGGGGTCTCGGATTGAGACATGAGGAAAGTGAGGCTCAACCCTCCAAATTCACCCAGGCAGGAAATGCATTTATCAATTAAATGTCTGTCTGACTCAAAATCGTATACATTCAACAAATATTTACTGCTGATGTGACAAGCATTTTTCAGGTACTGGGAATACAGCAGCCTAGAAAAGCAGATAAAAATTCCACAGAGCTCACGTTCATGTGTAAGCCCAGCATGTTCCCTCCTAAACTAACCTGCATGGATTCTCATGATGATTCTTTTGTTTATCCGTTGTAATCAACGCTCAGATGGAGAATGGGGAAATGGGCACATTCCTCTGTTTCTTTTTCAGCACTACAGTCTGGTTCACAGAGACACATACTATTACTATTCCCCTTTGCAACGATTATTGGAAAAATAAATCTACGGAAATTCAAATTAATCTTACATGCTAGCCTCTGTCACTAAAGCTGTGACAAATATGGTCTCTAGAAAACATGCCAGATAGGAATGCAAGCTGGTACAGCCACTCTGGAAAACAGTGTGGAGGTTCCTCAAAAAACTAAAAGTAGAACTACCCTACCACCCAGCAATTGCACTACTGGGTATTTATCCATGGGGTACAGGTGTGCTGTTTTGAAGGGACACATGCACCCCCATGTTTATAGCAGCACTATCAATAATAGCCAAAGTATGGAAAGAGCCCAAATGTCCATCGATGGATGAATGGATAAAGATGTGGTATATATGTACAATGGAGTATTACTCAGCAATCAAAAAGGATGAAATCTTGCCATTTGCAACTACATGGATGGAACCGGAGGGTATTTTGCTAAGCGAAATTAGTCAGAGAAAGACAAATATCATATGACTTCACTCATATGAGGACTTTAACAGACAAAACAGATGAACATAAGGGAAGGGAAATAAAGATAATATAAAAACAGGGAGGGGGACAATGCATAAGAGACTCATAAATATGGAGAACAAACAGAGGGTTACTGGAGGGGTTGTGGGAAGGGGGATGGGCTGAATGGGTAAGGGGCACTAAGGAATCTACTCCTGAAATCATTGTTGCACTAGATGCTAACTGATTTGGATATAAATTTTTTTAAATTAAATTTAAAAAAAAGAAAGAAAACATGCCAGAATATATGCATTTCAAAATATTTCTAGGAAGTGAAACGTATATTCTGGATGGTTTTCTTTATGTGTAAACTCAAGATAAAAGCCAACAAGCATGTTTACACAGAAAAATGCTCCCAGACAAAAAGATGATCTTGCTATTTCCATGTATTCTTAACAGAGGAAAAAGCACCCCATCTGGAGGTGAGCTTCCAAAACCCGGGAAAGCAGTCTGTCTGCTTTCAGCTGAGGTTCTCAGCTGTGGTTTCAGCTGAGAGGCTGAAAACCAGAGGCTTCTTAGCACCCGACGCCCTTCGGGGCACTAACCCCCTATCATGGTTCTGAGCTCCGAGACAGGACGCCCTCCCTGAGTCCCGAAACCTTCCCGCCTCCGGCCAGGTAACGAGGCTGTCTGCTGCTGCCTTCAGTGGCATTTCACTGCCCCTCTGTGGCTGTGCGGAGCATTTCTCTTATGCCTCTGAAATGAGGGCTTAAGAATCCCCGTTGGAGGACAGGTTCTTTGCTGCTATTTGATAAGGAAGGCATGTGGACTGATGCCCCCTGATGTCCTAAACACACAGTGGCGGAAAACACTACTCAGTGATTTCCCCTGCAGATTATTCGGGAAAGAGAAGTTCTCGCCTGAAGATAATAGAGGCCAGAACCTTGAATTGTTTTTCCACTTGCCAGCAACTTCCAGGGATTAGGAGACTGGAGTCTCCCCTCCGTCATCCCACAGGGAACCGTTCCATAGGACTTCTTAGAGGGATTTACTCATGGAATTTTCTTAAGATGCGGTAGCAACTCCTCAAACTCCTACTGTAACTTTACATTGTCTTGATAAAAGTTAAGTTTTTAAAAGTAGATTTTTTTGTTAATAAAGTCTTCCTCTCATTTCTTTCTCCTTTCTTGCCTCTGATAGATGAGTGACGTACTTAAAAAGGTATACCAAGCATTTTGTTTTACATTTGTTGGTCCGTAGTTCTAAGGCTTCTAATTAGCTGCTTTTTGTCTGCTGCCACTTTGTGGAAGCTGCTGGATACTAGTGTATGTGTGGTCCCTTGGCAACGAACCACAGATGTCTGAAGTTCCGTGAAGAATGTCCAGCCTTGTCTTTCGGCCCGTTTCGTTTGGTCAGAAAGATTCTTATTTAGCCTGGAATGTAGGAAAAGTCATGGGTGTGAATGTCACCTCCATGCTGGGCACTATCTCCAGTTTCCAAGCCTATGAAATCCATGAGATGCTTCTTGCCGAGACGGCTGCAGCCCTGACGGTGATTTGTCATGGGTGGAGCTGTCTCAGTGTGGCTATTCAAGAGGATAACCACGCTTAAGTTTCAGTAAACACTGACACGAACCTACAGGTCAAAAAAATAGAGCCAGTCAAGAAACTTCCAGGTTTCATTTTGAATCAAATACTGAATTTGTCAGTCCTTGATTTGTTTCATAATAAACCAACCCAAATTCTTTTGGCACTGAGCATTCCCTTGGTACTTCTTAGATCACTAATAAAATGGCATACTCCTCCTTAAATCATTGTTTCGCTCCATTAAATGGCATCCTGGTGGCCGAAGCAAGTATCAATGACCATTAAGAGATACTTATTTAAATGCATACCTCGTGTATGCTCTGTGCAGAGAGGAACACAAAATGATTCAAACACGGGCCCTGCTCTCACAAAGCACTAGTTACATAGTCAAAACACACAACAGCACGTCCAGCTCCAAGTGGTAGAAAAAGGTTTCGGGGTGCCTGGATGTCTCTGTCGGTTAAGCGTCCAACTTTGGCTCAGGTCATGATCTCGAGGTCCGTGGGTTCGAGCCCCACGTCTGACAGCTGCCTGTGCTGACAGCTCAGAGCCTGGAGCCTGCTTTGGATTCTGTGTCTCCCTCTCTCTCTGCCCCTCCCCCACTCACACTATTTGTCTGTCTCTCTCAAAAACAAACATTTAAAAAAATTTTTTCAAAGAAAAGAAAAAGGTTTCGACACAGTTTTTTAAACTGGGAAGGCCAATAATCAGTACTGATTCCAGGTTTCTGTTGCTCTTTCTGGGCAATGCTTATTTGGCCTCTTAAGTATTCCTCTAGCACCTGTGTATTTAGAATCTCTGGGCAAGTATCTTAAGTACCGGATTGCTTATTAATGCATTCCTCTAGACTAGAAGTTGCTTGAGGGTACTGGTTCATATTCATTTATCTACAGTGCCTGGAACCTTTTAGATTCTCAGCAAATATTTTCCAAATAGTTGGGTAAGTAAATGAATGAGTTTAAAGGAAACCGAGTTGAATTCCACTGGGTGCTTTGTTTCATACCACCCTTGTTTCGTAATTTTTCATCTTTGTAAAGTTACAATGATTTCTGGCATGACAATTCTGTCCTAGGAGTCTGTGACACGCCCATGCCAAAGTCTCAGAAGCTGGCCTTTTTCATTTGTTTATATATCCATCATAACCATACATTGGGCAGCTCCCACTATGCTCAGTGGTAGGTGGTACCAGATCAATCTGTGTCAGATGTTCGGATTCGGATGTCGGGGACACCTCGTGAGAGTATATAGGAGGCATCTGGAAACGTCTCCATCCTACATCCTACCTAACCCCCACAACCACTACCCCAATTTTTCGGGATACAGAAATCAAATTAGAAATTGGAGCCACAGTCTAGCTCCAGTGTAACAGAAGTCAAGAATAATTAGGATAGCCTGGATTCTATCTCAAGTCAGAAAAAAGTCACGTGTTGTCTTCCCATTCATTCACTCGAAAATATTTGTTACACGCCTCCTATAGGCATTATGTGCCAGGTAGTATCCTTGGTACTGGAGATAAAAAAAAAAAAAGATCGAGGGGCACCTGGGTGGCTTAGTCAGTTAAGCGTCCGACTTCAGCTCAGGTCACAATCTCGCAGTTTGTGGGTTCGAGCTGCACGTTGGGCTCTGTGCAGACATCTCGGAACCTGGAGCCTGCTTCAGATTGTGTGTCTCCCTCTCTCTCTGCCCTCCCATGCTCATGCTCTGCCTCTCTCTGTCTCTCAGTAATAAATAAACATTAAAAAATTAAAAAAAAATAAGATAGAAACAAAATCTTTGACTTCACGAATCTTATTCTATGGGGGAGACAGAGTAAACATATCAGTGGTTTTGAATGCTAATAATAATAATAATAATAATAAAGCAGAGTAAGAGAAGGATAGCTGGGTGCATTTCCATTCTCAAAACAAACAGATTTTCAAGCACTGCCTAGAATCTAAATCCTACTTAAAAATTAACTTTCCTAATAAAATTTTATTTGAGTTTGTCCTGAAACACTGCAGAATATAAGCAACCATGCATATGTTTTTATACTAAGCAACAGAAATCTTGTAAAAACATTTAAATATCTGCTTTTGGCAAGCTATTTTTTAGTAATCGCTTTAGGGGAAAAATTACAACATGTGTCTAAGGCAACTAGAATTTGTTCTGTTTCATCTGCTTTAAGTTACTACTAAAAGTCTGGGAATTGGTAGCTCATCTTGGATCAGAGAACCACTTAAGATAAATATGATACACTTGATGCTAGTTCTGCTTCTTTTTTTCCCTGAGACCCATTACTATTCTGTATTACATTCATTATGGATTTAACATTTTTTAACACATCAGTATATATCTGTCGATTTGTTGTGCATTTAACATGAGTTGCTCGAGCTTTGCATTTGAGACGTTAGATTACTGAGCCCCTCTCCCCTCTAAAACCAATGTCAAAATACATATAAAGCTACTGCTTGTTCTCATCAATCAGAATTAGTACATCAGTTTACATTTTATAGGCTGTTCTAGTTTTCGTAGGGCTGCTTGCCTGTTGACTACTTTCTTTCAGTCCTGTTCAATATATTTTAAGTATTTAATGAATCCATCTAATTTTTAGATTATAAATATAATTAAATAAAGCCCTAGGGACACCAGGGCATGACGCTATTGTAAGGGGGTCACATAATTGTAGTTCCTGAAGCATACATGTAGTTCCTGTTAACTGTAAGATCTCAACAAATCCTACTGTTGTCTCCGGTAATCATATGTAAACTCCATGGAGTCTTTGTTTGTGAAGTTTGATTCTCAGGAAGACGAGAAATTGCTACAAGCAACGGAGAAGTTTCAAGCTGAATGTGCCTTAAAGTTTCCACATCGTCAATGCCTCACGACAGTGACTGACATAAGTGGAAAAACCGTCTTTATCACTCGTTACCTCAAGCCATTAAACCCTCCACAGGAGCTCTTGGAGGCCTGCCCCAACAACCCACAAGCAACGGCAGTGAGTATTCCATGGCCAATTAGGGCTGCTGCTAAAAATATGTTAAATTTTCAATATATTGCCCTATAACGACCATATTTTATAATACTTAAGATAGTCACTCTATTGAGATCATCAGTGGTGAAAGAAATGATTAACACTTTTTTTTATTACTATGAAGCTCACTTTCTGTAGAAAAGTCTGAAGGTACCAGAGAGGGTAATAATCCGTAGTTCATTCTTTCAGTGAACAATTGTGGGTGCCTCCTGTGTCCCGGGCACTATACTGAGTGCCGGAAATTAACCTTTGGAAGATGCTTTACACTTTTGCAACGTCTTCATTACGTGTCCTCCGTCACTTTGTTGGGATTTGAACCTAGGCCTCTGACTTCCGAACTCATGCACTTTCTACTATAGCAAGATAACTATTCAGTGTTATACTTAATATTATAGGCATCATTGAATTCAAATTAAGCAAACGTTATCTCCAAGATTTGAGGAGGTACAGCATGTAAGCCGGGACCACAGAGCACATCCATGCTGGGCCACTAAGTACACACGCGCATCTCTGCCTGTTAAACGTTCTTTTTTTTTTTTTTTTTTTTTTCCAAATTTTTATTTAAATTCTAGTTAGTTAATATATAGTGCAATATTGGTTTCAGGAATAGAATTTAGTGATTCATCACTTACATACAACACCCAGGGCTCATCCCAACCAGTGCCCCCCTTAGTGCCCATCACCCATCTAGCCCATCTTCCATGCACCTCCCCTCCAGCAACCCTCAGTTTGTTCTCTGTAGTTAAGAGTCTCTTATGGTTTATTTCCCTCTGTTTTTATCTTGTTTTTCCTTCTCTTCCCCTATGTTCATCTGTTTTGTTTCTTAAATTCCACATATGAATGAAATCACATGGTATTTATCTCTGACTTCTTTCATTTAGCATAATACACTCTAGCTCCAGCCACAGCATTGCAAGTGGCAAGATTTCATTCTGTTTGATGGCTGAGTAATATTCCATTGTGTATATTCCCCACACCTTCTTTATCCATTCATCGGTCGATAGACATTTGGGCTCTTTCCACAGTCTGGCTATTGTTGATAGTGCTGCTATTAAAATCAGGATGCATGTACCCCTTCGATTCTGTACTTTTGTGTATCCTTTGGGTAAATACTAATAGTGCAACTGCTGGGTTGTAGGGTAGTTCTATTTTTAACTTTTTAAGAAACCAACTATATGGTTTTCCAGAGTGACTGCACCAATTTGCATTCCCACCGACAGTGTGAGAAGGTTCCCCTTTCTCCACAACCTCACCAACATCTGTTGTTTCCTGAGTTGTTAATTTTAGCCATTCTGACAGGTGTGGGGTGGTATCTGTATTTCCCTGATGATGAGTGATGTTGAGCATCTTTTCATGTGCCTGTTAGCCGTCTGTATGTCTTCTTTGGAAAAATGTCTATTCATGCCTTCTGCCTATTTCTTAATTGGATTATTTTCAACAGGCATTTTAACAGAATGATTATTCACCATTCTTAAGTGAATACTGTAACCCAGAACTATCTTTAGAGAGTAGATAGTATAGGGAGTAGTTGCTGCTAATAAGTCATTAACATGATAATTTAGCAACAGGTGATGGTGTATCTTTTTGCAGATATAGATATATCAAAAAAAACAAACAAAACACCTGTGTTCCACATTTCCTTTACTTTTTTTATTAATCAATTTGTATTAAAAACCATAATAGGGACTTCCTTCTATTCCTTCTCGTAAAAGGGAAAAAAAATTCTCCCAGGAGAGAACATAGAGGAGTGATGAAGAAAACATTTAAACCATTTTTAAAATCACGGCTGACATAGAAATAAGGTGAGGGGGAAAGTCAGAGCCAGGAAACAACAAAGCAGATTCCACACGGGTGAGAGCCTGGAATAGCATTTGCTCTGAGGTCGTCAGATAATTCCTAATGCCTGGACCTGGGCTTTAGCAAGCCACAGGGCGACTGGGGAAGGAGGTAGTGCCAGGTATGGTGCCAGGGCAGGGAGGAGGGTCAAACTAGACACTCGGGTGCAGAGCTGGGACTCTTGACAGGTAATGTCAATGATGAGTAAGCCAGGAAATACCCTGCTTTGCAGAAGGAATCCTGCCTGTTTCAGCCTTGACTCTGGATGGAAGAGAAACAAGATAAGTCTCCCCAAGGAATTCCCAATAACCAAGTTGTATTTTTTCACACCAGCAACTAAAATTCACACTACCTGTATGACCAAACAAAACTTCAGCTGAAAATATCATTGAAAGTATTTCCCTGTTGGTAATGCCCCTAAATCCCTGTCAGAAGGAAACACAAATCTTTCTAGAAGAATGCTCTTTAAACTCAGCCTTAAAGAGAAAAAAAAAAGTTCCAAAGTTCCAAACAACACAAACATATAAAAGATCATTGAAGAAGAAATAAGTCACCATGAAGAGGGTAAGAGTTAGCAAACACAACAAACCACAGAATTGGGCCACAAAGAGTGCAGATATTAGAATTATTAGACTCGGCCTATAAAATAGATATGTTTAATAAGTTTAAGAAATCTAAGCAATTGAGGGGCACCTGGGTGGCTCAGTCAATTGGATGTCCGACTTCAGCTCAGGTCATGATCTTGTGGTTCATAGGTTCGAGCTCTGTGTTGGGCTCTGTGCTGACAGCTTGGAGCCTGGAGCCTGCTTCGGATTCTGTGTGTGTCTCTCTCGGTCTCTGCCCCTCCCCCTCTCATGCTCTGTCTCTCTCAAAAATAAATAGTAATCATTAAAAAAAATGTTTAATAAATCTAGGGAATTGAAAATGAAACAAAAGAAAAATAGGCAGATTGCAAAAATATTGCATAGTACTTACAGAAATATAAAATAATTAAAAATAGAAAGTGAACAAACAGCTTAAGCAGAACATTAAGTACAGTTAAATACAGACTTAAGTTATATACAGGTAAGTACAGAGAGTTAGTGAGCTGGAATTTACATGCAAAGAAATTACTTGGAATATAGCACAGAGATAGCCAAAAAACAGAAGATGAAAAGGAAAGGTTAAGAGACATGGAGGACAGAGGGAGGAACACCAAATCACACATGAAAGGAGAAAAGCAATGTTCAAAGAGAGCTGAGAGGGGCGCCTGGGTGGCTCAGTCGGTTAAGCATCCGACTTCAGCCAGGTCACGATCTCGCGGTCCGTGAGTTCGAGCCCCGCGTCGGGCTCTGGGCTGATGGCTCAGAGCCTGGAGCCTGCTTCCGATTCTGTGTCTCCCTCTCTCTCTGCCCCTCCCCCGTTCATGCTCTGTCTCTGTCTCAAAAATAAATAAACGTTAAAAAAAATAATAAAATAAAAAAATTAAAAAAAAAAGAGAGCTGAGAATATGTTAAGATCTGACGAAAGACAATGATCCTCTGATGCAGGAAGCCCAATATACCCTACACAGGATAAAATGAAATTAAAATCTAGGCATATTGCAGGGAACTACAAAGATGATCTTAAAGCAGCTGGAGAGAAAACAGATTTTCTACAAAAGAACAATGATCCGACCAATCAACTTCTCAGCTGCACAAATGAAGTCAGAGAAGGAATAATATCTTCAAAAGGCTGAAAGAAAATAGCCATCGAACTAGTAACTTATATCCAGTGAAACTGTCTTTCACACAAACATTGGGAGAATTTACAACCAAAAGAGTCTCACTTAAGGAATTTCTAAAAAATAGCCTTCAAAGAGAAGGAAGGCTCTCAGAAAATCCTAGGTGTGACACTAAACAGTAGATAAAGAAAATGGGAAACTTGTGAGTAAATGGAGACAGGCATTGTCTTCATATCAGTAATAACAGAAGTGAGGGTGAAAAGTAGTGACAAAACAAAAATCCTGGAAAAAACTGCGTATATGTCAGGACAGGATTGATGAGGATATTTTAATGCACTTATATTTCCCAAGAGGAGAGTCAAGGTATTTATTAACTTTTAGAGTTTAAGTTAAATATTCACATTGAAATTCCTAGATTAATCACTTAAAAGAATAAAAGAAAGTATGTATAACTTGCAAAATTAACAGGAGATAAAATAATGAAATGGGGGTGAAGAAAGTGGGGAGGGAGAAAAAAAAGAAACATAGAAAAAAGTATGAGAAGTAAAAAGCACAGAATAAGGTGGTTAAAATGGCCGAAATGTTTACCACTAATCACAATCAGAGCAAAGGGATTAAACTTTCTGATTAAAAGACAAACAAAGACTGTCCGGGCGCCTGGGTGGCTCGGTCAGTTCAGGTCTGACTTTGGCTCAGGTCATGATCTCACGGTTCGTGGGTCTGAGCCCCACATCGGGCCCACCGCTGTCCGCTCAGAGCCTGGAGCCTTCTTCCGATTCTGTGTGTCCCCCTCTCTCTGTCCCTCCCCTGCTTACAGTATGTCTCTCTGTCTCTCAAAAGTAAATAAAACCTTTAAAAAGATTAAAAAAAAAAAAAGACAAAGGCTTGTCAAACTAGATGTTTAAAACCATTTATAGTGGAACTTGACAAACTGATTCTAATATTTATATGGCAGTGCAAAGGGTCAAAGTAGCTTAGACATCTGGAGGAGTAAGAAGGTGTCAGTGGGAAGATTTGCCACACCGTATACCCAGACTACTTACAAGACCATAGTAATTAAAGTAAAATGGTATTGGGGCGCCTGGGTGGCGCAGTCGGTTAAGCGTCCGACTTCAGCCAGGTCACGATCTCGCGGTCCGGGAGTTCGAGCCCCGCGTCAGGCTCTGGGCTGATGGCTCGGAGCCTGGAGCCTGCTTCGGATTCTGTGTCTCCCTCTCTCTCTGCCCCTCCCCCGTTCATGCTCTGTCTCTCTCTGTCCCAAAAATAAATAAAAACGTTGAAAAAAAAATTTAAAAAAAAAAAAAAAAAGTAAAATGGTATTGACACACAGATAACAGAAAAATGGAAAAGAATAAAAAGTCCACTCAAATATGACCCACTCAAACCTGACACATGACAAAGCTGGCTTTGGAAATTACTAAGGAAAAGACTGACTATTACATAAATTTCACTGGGATCATTGATTTTTACATATAGGGAAAATAAAAATAGACTCCTACTTCACAGCATTCAAGGGCAGATAGATTGAGTACTTAAATATGGAAGCATTTTTTTTTTAAGTTGATTTATTTACTTTGAGAGAAGGCAGGGGAGGAGCAGACAGAGAGGGAGAGAGAATCCCAAGTAGGCTCCCCACTGTCAGCCTAGAGTCCGATGTGGGGCTCAATCTCATGAACTGTGAGATCATGACCTGAGCCTAGACCAAGATTTGGAGGCTTAACCAACTGAGGCACCCAGGTGTCCCTAAATATGAAGGCATTTTTTATCTGTATGACTTGAGGTAGAATTTCTTTTTTTTTTTTTTTCTTAATTTTTTTTAACGTTTATTTATTTTTGAGACAGAGAGAGACAGAGCATGAACGGGGGAGGGTCAGAGAGAGGGAGACACAGAATCCGAAACAGGCTCCAGGCTCTGAGCTGTCAGCACAGAGCCCGACACGGGGCTCGAACTCACGGACCGTGAGATCATGACCTGAGCCGAAGTCGGCCGCTTAACCGACTGAGCCACCCAGGCGCCCCTAGAATTTCTTAAATAAGATAGAAAAAGGCACAAGCTATAAAGAAAAAGAAAAATACATTTGGCCATATTGAAAGTGCGAACTCAGGAGCACAAGGGTGGCTCAGTGGGTTGGGAGTCTGACTCTTGGTTTTGGCTCAGGTCATGATCTCACGGTTCTCAAAACTGAGTCCCTCCACCAGCTCTGAGCTGACAACAAGCAGCCTGCTTGGGATTCTCTCTCTCCCTCTCTCTCTGCCCCTCTCCTGCTTGCTCTCTCTCTCTCTCTCTCTCTCTCTCTCTCTCTCAAAACTGAGTAAATAAACTTAAAAAAAAAAAAGGTGAGAACTTGGGTTTATCAAAAGACACCACAAGGGAAATGAAAAGCCACAAATAAGGTGTTTACAACATATATAATAGCCAAAGGAATACCAACTAGAATATATTTTTAAAAACATCCGCAAATCAGTAACAAAACGTGCAGAATACTGAAATAGAAACTCACGGTGGGACTTGTCCTGCCAGCCAGGGGCCGTTTCCCCTAGTTATAGCCAGTTGAGCTGGTGATGAGATGGAGGGTAGGAATGTCTTTTACTCTTTGAGTTCACAGAAGACACAAGAGGCTTCAGACGGGGCCTGAAGGATTGGGCCAAACCTCGCGTCTACCACCAGAGCCCTCTTCCAAGCAGACACGTCCAAGGCCCGGCTACCTCCCAGCCCGTTCAATGGACTGCTGTCACAGTGCCCACGGGGGCCGTGCCGGCCACCGCCGCCAGCAGGGCGAGCCCTTCCCCCAAAGACTGGTGCCTGGTGCAGGGGGGGGCCCCGGCCCGCAGCACCGCCGCACCCCTCCCCCACCCGTGCGTACCGGGAGCGAAGACAGAGACCTGGAGGTTCGTAGGTTTTCCAAAGGAAAACAGAGCGGCGTTCCTAACCGGGCAAACCCTCACCAAGCAGGTAGCTTGCTGGGTTTGGAACAGGCTGAGAAGAAAAGTAGTGGGACAGCCCTTTGGAGAAAGCCATTCTCCCAGGGCCCCTGCATCTCTTGAGCTCGGCAGGGTTGCTCACCCTCTCTGGTCTCGTTCTTGGCAGGATTCCTTGTTAGAAGTTTTATTTATGTTTTGTGCACCTCAGCTGAGCACGTGAATGAAAGAGTGGCAATTGGAAAAGCTGCGCTTTCTTCATAGCCTGTGGGTCTCCTTACAACGAAACTAGGCAGGTTGTGACCCGACCGGCCTACCAACCTACTACCGTGAGATTCATTTGGGAGAAACCAGCTGTAACTGTTTAAAAATCACTGTTTCACTCTGTTAATTCAACAAGGATAGGAATGGCTGTGCCAATACAAGTTTTCTCCTTTAAAACGAACAAAAAAGAGGGGCATCTGGGTGGCTCAGTCGGTTGAATGTCCGACTTCAGCTCAGGTCATGATCTGGAAGTTCCTGAGTTCCAGCCCGAGGCTGCCTCAGATTCTGTGTCTCACTGTCTCTCCGCCCCTCCCCCACTCGCACTCTGTCTCTCCCTCTCTCAAAAATAAAGATTAAAATTAAAAAAAAAAAAATTCAGAGAAGTGTAAACTTGAAAGGCCAAGTAAGCATATGAAAAAGATGTTCAACCTGCTTAGAAGTTGCATGAATAGGAGCTATAACTACAATGATGCCCCGATCTTTGTTTCTAAATACGATTATCCTCTAAAAAGCTCCTTAGAGAAGTGGCTGCTTTTTGGACTGGGCTAGAGAAAATACAAGATGATTGTAGAAAGTCCTTCTAGGGGTGCCTGGGTGGCTCAGTTGGTTGAGCCTCCAACTTCGGCTCAGGTCACGATCTCGCGGTCCGTGAGTTCAAGCCCCACATCGGGCTCTGTGCTGACAGCTCAGAGCCTGGAGCCTGTTTCGGATTCTGTGTCTCCCTCTCTCTCTGCCCCTCCCCCGCTCATGTGCTCGCGCGCTCTCTCTCTCTCTCTCTCTCTCTCTGTCAAAAATAAATAAACATAAAAAAAAAAAAAAAAGAAAGTCTTCCTATACCATCAAGTAAGGAAGTGCAGGAAAAAAAAAGAGAGAACATTTCAAAGAGACCTAGGAGCCAGTGTCTTCATCTGTAAAAGGATATTAACAGTGACCTCCTTCCTAGGATGCTTGGAGAGGGTGAAATGAGTGTTAACACAACACCTAGCTTGGTAAGCACTTAGCCCTCACTTCATTCCGCACACATCAATTTTGTGATATATAGAACTCTTACAAGAAAATGAGGTCGAATATCTAGGTATGTATTTTATCAGAAATTAATTTTTTCAAACAGGAACTGTTGAATTATTTTTTTGCTTAAACAGGAACTGGTGGCCCGGTATGTGTCATTGATTCCTTTCTTGCCTGACACTGTTTCATTTGCTGGCATCTGTGACCTGTGGAGCACATCTGACGTAAGTAGTTCTCCCTCACAGATTTACCAGTTTGAGCTGACTTCACTGAATATTGGCCAAAGGCTCGTATAATTTTAAATTGCAACATTCATTAGTCCTTATAAAAATCCATTTGGTCATCTGTTTGACAGGATGAGCTAAATTCTGAAGTATTTTGTCTTTCTGGTTCGATTTGCCCAAGTTCAGAAATTACGAAAAACTTTTGTTTGTACAAATAATAACAAAAAGTACTTCAGGTATCTTAATACTGATTTGGCCTCCCAGTATTACCTCAGCAATATCCCAGCTTTATTCATTAAAAGAAAAAAAATCAAAATGACACTCTATATTACATTTGGAAATTACATACTCCACAACTGATGGGCTTTTTATGGCAAACCAGGTCATTACTGATTCAGTGTGTATTTCCTGGTCGCACACCACATATCACACACTGTACTAAACTGTGGCTATGAGCAAAATAAACATGGCCTCTGCCCTCCTGGAATTTGCAATCCACGTATGTTACGATACATCCAAATGGTTCCTAGGTAGTAGGACACGAACACATACCTTATCACAGGTATTCTGCTTCTGGGTCTCATGTGGTGCTGTGTTTGCATAAAATTAAACTATGTTACACAACTCCTGTTAAGGATAGCTCTAAACCGAAGAAATTTAAGCACATCTTATTATTTTTGTTGAAATTCAGGTACACTTTAAATTTTTGCTCCCCAGTCTATTTTGGCAACATAATGTTGACAGTATTAGAGGTAACATTTCCGTAACCTCAAGACATCTAAAGAAAATATGCAAAGGACAGAATAATTCGTGTGCCGTAGAGCCAGACTGGCTTTACCGCTTCCTAAGTATTACCTCACCTGTGTTTCCATTTCCTCATCTATAAAACTGGAAGATGAGTACTTCCCTCAAGGGTTTATTCTAGGATGAAATGAGTTAATGCATGCAATATGCTTAAAATAATTTGGGGGCAGGGAAAAGGGAGATATGAGTAAGCAGAGCACAAATGATTTTTAGGGCAGTGAAAATTCTGTGATACTCTAATGATGGGTACATGTCATTACACATTTGTCAAAACCCATAGAATGTACCACACCAAGAGTGAACCCTACTGTAAGCTGTGGACTTTGGGTAATTAATAATGACATGTCACTGTAGGTTTCTTCATTATTAACACTCAGACCACTCTGTAGGTAGATGTTGACAGTGTGTGGAAACAGAGGTAGATGGAACACTTCTTCTTCCCGACTTTGCCGTGAACCTAAAACTGCTCTAAAAATAGTATTTAAAAACATATTCAACACACAGGGAGCTATTATCTATAAATTCAAAATGAAGAGTAAAAGTTTGAAATTTGTCTCCCGTACTCATAGTGGTGATTCTAGGAATCCATGGAATCGATGTCAGAGAAAATACCATGTCCAATAGAAGTGTTCTGTTTTTCTTTTTTTTAATTTTTTTTAATGTGTATTTATTTTTGAGTGAGACAGAGCATGAGCAGGGGAGGGGCAGAGAGAGAGGGAGACATAGAATCAGAAGCAAACTCCAGGCTCCGAGCTGTCAGCACAGAGCCCGACACGGGGCTTGAACTCACGGACCGCGAGACCATGACCTGAGCTGAAGTTGGACGCTCAACCGACTGAGGCACCCAGTCGCCACTGTGTTTTTCTTTTTTAAGGATTTAAAACATAGTATCAAAATCTGGAAACAGATTTTTAAAATAGGTCTATTTATACTTTAAGGCACTAATTTTAACAGTGACTTTTGAAAAATCCCGTATGTCCAATCCAGAATGAAGCAGTCAATCTACACAGTGTAATTTTTCTTTTCTTCCTGTCAGCAATTTCTTGATCTCCTGGCCGGAGACGAAGAAGAGCATGCGGTTTTACTATGTAATTATTTTCTCTCCCTGGGTAAAAAGGCCTGGCTGGTGATGGGCAGTGCTATTCCTGAGGTAAGACCACACAGGCTGGCTCCTACAGAGGAGTGGAGTTGTCTAACATGGCTGTTATGTTCCAGAAAATGAACAGTACTAATTTGCATAGCGATCCTTCGAGTTGCAAGGCAAGTGGCCCAGAGATTCCATTATGGGCAGAGAGAACCAGTGATTAGACATGAAATCGTTTTTTCAGTGGCACTTGGACTCTGATCGGTGCTTCAGATCAGGGGCTTTTTTTCAGCAAATCTGAACCGTTGACCACCCAAAGGCCCCACCTGACTCTGTCCTTGTAGTATGAGCCCACACCTGCCCATGTTGCTAAGAATTCTGATTCCCTTAGTGATCTAGTGTTAGATCACTAGTGGCAAGGTGAGAGATCTCCCTTCTCATGCCCACTGCTTCCTCAGGCACCTGCTACTAAGCAGCAGGTACAGCAGAACAGAGCAGACAACCTCAGCAGCAAAGAAAAGAATGTTAGCAGCTATCTTTTGATATCATTATTGTTCATCTTATTAGACTGGAGACAGCAAACGATTAGAATTTGTTTCCCCAGCCCACAGCAAATATCCCTCAATTTGGGGCGCGTTTGGGGTAGTTGGGGGTACGAGTTTAGAAAATTCACGTGAATTGAAGCAGTGTATCCAAAGAGTGTATCGAAAAGAGGCCACAGGGCTCTAGGACTCCTCGGGAATTAAGTAGCACGAGTTGCCACTAGGCAGGTAGGATCACATCCGAAAAACGGATGCATTCTCCACCGTCATCTTCCAGAGAGCCTGGTAAAAGAAAGAGAACACTAGGCTAGGAAGTCACAAGACCCGAGTTCCAGGCTCTGCCTATTCCTCATGAGCTGTGTGGCTCTAAGCGAGTCAGTTCACAACTCTGAGCTTTTAAGGAAACTAGGATAATTTTTACCCTGCCTTCCCCAGAAGGCTGTTGTAAGCAGCAAAGCAAATCCATACAGGAGCAGTAAATGAATAAATGTTCGCTATTGGAATTAAAAAAAAAAAAAATCCAGTAAGACTCAAGTATTCTGAGTAAAAAGTTAAAGTACTTCTTCAGACTCAACCCCCAAACCCACCCACCCCCTAGGTGTGTTCACTGTTAACAGTTTGGTATGTTTTTCAAAACATCTTCTATGCATTTACATAATTATAAAAGTGTATCAAGTACTAGTTAATGTAGTACTCAGGCATAATCGTTCGCCTTCTCAATACTTAATCAGTTATCCCTGTTTGGTCTATTACAAGGCAGTAGCAGATACGTGCATTTTGCAAAAAGGAACATTTGATTTTATTTCTTAAATCCAGTGCAACCTAGAACTTCAAACTAGTTTCCACCATTAGCCATTAATTTTAGAAATTAGGGGTCCAACTAAAATAACGAATTGTGTGTGCAAACTAATCTTGATTTCAATTGCATAATTAGTTGGAAGTTGTTTTAATGACTATTTTCCTTCAGGGTCCAACTGCCTATGTTCTAACTCGGGAGCAAAGTCACTATTTAATATGGAATCCCTGCAGTGGACATTTTTATGGACAATTCGATACATTCTGTCCCTTAAAAAGTGTGGGCTGTTTAATAGGTCCCGATAATGTAAGTATTACCATTGGATGGCTTTTTTTTAATTGACCTGATTTACTATTTTATGTGTCCAAAAAAATGTATATAATCATATACATATACCAGTTAAATGTAGTATCAAGCACAGTGGCAACAATAATAACTTTTAGTTGAATTAGTCGCCTGATCAGCTGAGAAGAATGAGGGTAAGGAAAATATATAGAACTTAGATGCAGAGGACCTGAGTTTGTGTCCTGGCTCTGTCCTCAGTGTGTTTTGAGAGCTAAGTGAGGCAAATCTACCACCTGGGAAAACTGGGTCCCTCCCTTCCATCCTTCTTCCTTTTTCTTCCCCCGCCCCTTTCCTCCTTCCCTTCCCCTTTTAAAGACAGATTCCCAGGACCACCAGGTGATTCTGGTTACACCCAGTTTTGGAGGCACACTTAATTACGAAGGGTACTGTAGAAGACTGGTTAAAAACAGGAGTTATGAGGTCCGAGTACCGGAGTTTAAACTTCAGTGTCATCACTTACTAGCTGTGTGAGCTTGGGAAAGCTTCTTATGTCATACAGCCTCAGCTCCTTCACTGGAGGTAACAATGGTAGCAATTACGTTGTAGAGTGTTGTAAGCTGCAGACGAGATGATCAATGCAAAGCAGCTAACAAACAGGGATGACTCTTTACTAACTGCTGTCATTCTTTTTATCATCATTCTCTACCTTAGTGGTCTCTGAACTTTAGGCATCTGTCAGAAAAATCATTTGAGCATGCATCCCCAATGTGTATTTTGTACTGAAGTACCATTAACATAGTGTTATATTAGCTTCCCGTGTACAATACGATGATTCAATAATTTTATAGATTACTCAGTACTCACCTTAAGAAATGTGCTCTTGATTGCCTTTATCTATTTCACCCATTCCCCCAACCCACCTCCCTCCAGCAACCACCAGTTAGTTCTCTGTGTTTAAGAGTCTGGGTTTTTTTGTTTTGTTTTGGTTTGGTTTGTTTGTCTTTTTGACTTACCTTAAATTCCACATACGCTTAAAGTCATATGTTATTTTTCTCTGTTTGACTTATCTCACTTAGCATTATACCCTCTAGGTCCATCCAATTATCACAAATGACAAGATCTCATTCTTTTCTATGGCTCAGTAATATTCCATTGTATATATATATGTACCATATCTTCTTTATCCATTCAGTCTATCAGTGGACACTTGGGTTCTTTCCTTATCTTGGCTATTGTAAATAGTGCTACAATAAATAAAAGAGGTGAATATATCTTTTCAAATTGTTTTCGTTTTCTTTGGGGAAATACCCAGTACCGGAATTACCGGATCATACGGTAATTCCTTTTCCTCCACATCATTGTCAACATTTGTTCTTTCTTGTCTTTTTGGTTTAGTCATTCTGACAGGGGTAAGGTGATATCCGTGTTTCGCTTTTTTTTTTTTTTTAATGTTCAAATAGCGTTTCATGAAACACAAATGTACTATATTTATAGATGATATTTTTTTACTTTAGAAACATTTTTATTATTTCAAGTATTTAGTTAACATACAGTGTGATATTAGTTTCTTGTGTACAATATAGTGATTCAACACTTCCATACATCACCTTGTGTTCATCACAAGTGCACTCCTTAATGCCTATCACCTGTTTCACCCATCCCCCACCTACCTACCCTCTGGTAGTCATCAGTTTGTTCTCTACAATTAAGAATTTGTCTCTCGATCTGTCTCTTATTTTTTTTCCCTTTGCTTGTTTTGTTTCTTAAACCACACACGAGTGAAACCATGTGGTATTTGTCTTTCTCTGACCATATATACTCTCTAGCTCCACTCATGTCATAGCAAATGGCAAGGTTTATGGCTGAGTAATATTCTATTGTACATATATAGTTCTTTATCCATTTATCTATCGATGGACACTTGGGCTGCTTCCATAATTTGGCTATTGTAAATAATGCTATAATAAACTTAGGGGTACATATATCTTTTTGAATTAGTGTTTTCATATTCTTTGGGTTAATACCCTGTAGTGGAATTACTGGATATGGCAGTTCTTTTTAATTTCTTGAGAAGTCTCCATACAGACATACAGTGGTTGCACCACTTTGCCTTCCCACCAAGAGTGCACAAGGATTCTTTTTGCTCCACATCTTTGTCAACACTTGTTTCTTAGATTTTTGATTTGAGTCATTCTGACAGGTGTGAGGTGCTATCTCATCGTGATTTTGATTTGCATTTCCCTGATGACTAGTGATACTGGAAGTCTTTCCAAATGTTTGTTGGCCATCTGTATGTCTTCTTTGGAAAAATGTTCATGTCTTCTGTCCATTTTTTAATTGGATTACTTGGGGTTTTGCTTTGTTTTCTGGTGTTGAGTCATGTAAGTTCTTGATGTATTTTGGATACTTACCCTTTATCGGATATGTCATTTGCAAATATCTTCTCTCATTCTATAGGTTGTCCTTTAGTTTTGTTTCCTATGCTGCACAGGTTTTTTTTGTTTGTTTGTTTGTTTGTTTGTTTGTTTGTTTGATGTAGTCTCAGTATTTTATTTTTGCCTTTGTTTCCCTTCTCTCAGGAGACATATCTAGAAAAATGTGGCTACAGCCAGTATCAGAGAAATTACTACTGGTTCTCTCTTCTAGGATTCTTGTGGTTTCAGGTCTCATATTTAGACCTGTAACCTATTTTGAGTTTTTTTTTTTTTTTCTGTGTGTGTGGTGTAAGAAAGTGGGCCAGTTCATTCTTTTGCATGTCTTCCCAACACCATTTGTTTTTCCCCTTGCATATTCTTGCCTCCTTTTAGAAGATTGACTATATAAGCATGGGTTTATTTCTGGGCTGTCTATTCTGTTCTATGATCTATGTGTCCATTTTTGTGCCAATACCATACTGCTTTACTACAACTTTGTAGTATTTCTTGATATCTGGGATTGTGATACCTCCAGTTTTGTTCTTCTTTTTCAAGATTGCTTTGTCTATTCGGGGTCTTTTGTGGTCCCATACAAATTTGGGATTTGTTCTAGTTCTATGAAAAATGCTTTGGTATTTTGATAGGTATTGCATTAAATCTGTAGATTGCTTGGCTAGTATGAACATTTTAACAATATTTGTTCTTCCCTCTATGACGAGGGAATATTTTTCCATTTGTTTGTGTCAATTTCTTTTGTCAATGTTTAATAGTTTTCAGAGTACAGGTCTTTCACCTCCTTAGTGAAGTTTATTCCTACATATTTTATTATTTTTAGCACAATTGTAAATAGGATTATTAATTTCTTTCTGCTATTTCATTATTAGTGTATAGAACTGTAACAGATTTCTTTATATTAATTGTCTATTCTGCAACTTTACTGAATTCATTTATCAGTTCTAGGAGTTTTTCGTAGAATCTTTAGGGTTTTCTTTATATAGTATTATGTCATCTGCAAATAGCAAAAGTTTTATTTCTTCCTTACCAATTTGGATGCCTTTTCTTTTTGTCTGATCGCTATGGCTAGGACTTCCAGTACTATGTTGAATAAAAGTGGTGAAAGTGAACATCTTTGCCTTATTCCTGATGTTAGAAGAAAAGCTGTTTTTCACCATTGAGTATCATGTGGGTTGTGGGTTTTTCATATATGGCCTTTATTATGTTGAGGCATGTTCCCTCTAAATCTTTGTTGAGAGTTTTTATCATGAATGGATGTTGTAGTTTGCCAAATGCTTTTTTTCATCTGTTGAGATGATCGTATGGTTTTTATCCTTTTTCTTTGTTAATGTGATTTATTATGTTGATTAATTTGTGAATATTGAGCCACCCTTGAATCCTTAGAATAAATCCCACCTGATCGTGGTGAATGACTTTTTAAATATATTTTTTATTTGGTTTGAGGATATTTTGTTGAGGATTTTTTGCATCTATGTTCATCAGAGATACTGGCCTGTAGTTTTCTCTTTTTGTGGTGTCTTTGTCTGATTTTGGTGTCAGGGTAATGCTGGCCTTGTAGAATGAATTTGGAAGCTTTCTTTCCTCTTCTATTTTTTGGAATAGTTTGAAAAGAGTAGGTATTAACTCTTCTTTAAATGTTTGGTAGAATTCACCTGTGAAGCCATCTGGTCCTAAACTTTTGTTAGTTTTTTGACTACTAATTCAATTTCATTGCTAGTAATTGGTATGTTCAAATTTTGTATTTCTTCCTGATTTAGTTTTAAGTTACATATTTCTAGAAATTTATCCATTTCTTCTCCATTTCTTCTAAGTTGTCCAGTTTGTTGGTATATAATTTTTCATAATATTCTCTTAAAATAATTTCTATGGTCAGTTGTTCTTTCTCTTCCTTCATTTCTGATTTTGAGTCTTTTTTTTTCCCCCTTGACGGGTCTGTCTGGCTAAAGGTTTATCAATTGTTTGTTTACCTTTTCAAAGAACCACCTCCTGGTTTCTTTTTTCTTTTTTTTTTTTTTTTTTTTATCTTTTTCACTTATTTCTGCTCTGATCTTTATTATTTCCTTCCTTCTACTGGCTTTGGGCTTTTTTGTTCTTCTCCTTCTAGCTTCTTTAGAAGCTAGCATAAAAATAACATACCATGGGGAAGCATGCTCAAATGATTTTTTCTGACAGATGCGTGAAGACTGTAAGGAAGGGATGGAAAAACATTTACCACACAAATGGAAATTAAAATAAGCTGGGGTAGTAGTATTTATATTGGACAAAATAGACTTTAAAGACTATAACAAGAGACAAAGAATGCTATATAATAATAAAGGGAATAGTCTAAGAAGAGGATATAACAGTTGTAAATATCTATGCAACCAAGATAGGAGCACCTTAACACATAAAGCAACTATTAACAGACATAAGGGGAAAAAAATTGACAGTAATACAATAATGGTAGGGGACTTTAACACCCCACTTATATCAATGGATAGATTATCCAGGCAGAAAATCAGCAAGGAAACAGTGGCTTTGAATGACACGTTAAACCAGGTGGACCTAACATATATACAGAGCATTCCATCCAAAAACAACAGGATACACATTCTTTTTAGGTACACATGGAACTTTCTCCAGGATAGATGTGTTAGGCCACAAAACAAGTCTTAATGAATTCAAAAAGACTGAGATCATATGATGCATTTTTTCCTGACCAATTATGCAATTGGTTATGCAATTAGAAATCAATCACAAGAAAAAAAAATCTGGAAAAAAGACAAATACATAGAGATTAAATAAAATGTTACTAAACAAAGAATGGTTGAACCATGACATCAAAGAAGAAATTAAAGGGGCAGCTGGGTGGCTCAGTTGGTTAAGTGTCCGACTTCAGCTCAGGTCATGATCTCGCAGTTCGTGAGTTCAAGCCCCATGATGGGCTCTGAGCCCATCATGTCAGCTGTGCTGACAGCTCAGAGCCTGGAACCTGCTTCAGAATCTGACTCCCTCTCTCTTTGCCCCTCCCCCACTCATGCTCTGTCTCAAAAAATAAATACACACTAAAAATATTTTTTTAAAGGAAATTAAAAAATACATGGAGACATATGAAAATGACAAACAAAATCTTTGGGATGCAGTAAGAGCTATTCTAAGAGGCAGGTTTATAGCAATACAGGCCTACCTCAAGAAACAAGAAGCTCCATTACATTCACAGTACTATGATTTTTACAAATTGAGGGTTTGTGGCAACTCTCTGCCAGGCAAGTCAGTCAGTGCCATTTTCCAACAGCATTTGCTTGCTTTGTGTCTCTGTATCATGTTTTGGTAATTCTTGCGATATTTCAAACTTTTTCATTATTATTATATTTGTTATGATGATCTGTGATCAATGATTATAATTTCCTGAAAGCCTAGATGATGGCTAGCATTTTTTAGCAATATTTTTAATTAAGATATATACATTGTTTCTTTAGGCATGATGCTATATTGCACACTTAATAGACTACAGTATAGTGTAAACATAACACGCATAAGCACTGGGAAACGAAAATACTCATTTGACTTACTTTATTGTGATATTCACTTTATCACAGTGGTCTGGAGCCAGACCCACAATATCTCAGAGGTGTGCTTGTACCATTGCGCCTCTTTCCTTTGCTTCCAAAATGATTCAATTACTAATTATATCCCCTGCTTCTACATTCTCAGTACATTCAGACTTTAACCCTTTTAATAATCTAGCTCCTCTTCCCCTGACTCTGAGAAGCACCATTGTTTTGCTAATGGATAAATAAATCCAATGGTTTATTCTCATTCCTCATTCTCCTCTCCTTTTCTATGGCACATGACATGACTAATACCCTTTTCATGAAAAGAACACTTCCCCCTCCTTGGTTTACAGATAAAGGACTGTTTGGTTTTCATTTTCTCTACAAGTTTCTTAGTTTTCTTTCACTGGCTCTTCTTACCCCTTAAAAGTAGATGTTCCTGAAGATTCTATATTTAGATTTCTTACAGTACCATACTTATCATTATTAATTGTAGCTCTATCTAGGTTACCCTGGCAGAGAAGTTATAATCCTGTCACTAGCCCCAAAATCTTTGGATCCTGAATTTTCAACTGACTTCCAGACTCCTAACTGCTTTATCAAAATCTCAAACTTGGCACACACACCCAAAACTCCAATCTTTTCCCCCTTGTCTCCAAAACCAGCTCCTCCTCCTGGCTTCCCATTTCTATGGATGTCAATTACCCAGATTCACACTGCAGAATGGTCCTTGATTTTCTCTCTCCCTTACTTCCTCCTATTTCAATCCTATTAACAGATACCAAGTCATATAGGTTCTACCTGTTCTGTTTCCCAGGCCATGCCATTATTGCTTCACCCTGCATTACTATAAATAAATAATCTCTCCAATTCAATCCATTATTTGATACACTAATACCTGATTAAGTTTCTGAACATTCAGCTTCATCATTCTATGGCTTAAAAAGTACTTATCGGAAGTACCTCATTACATACAGATTTAAGAATAAAATTTTCTCCTTGTATTTCAAAGTCCTATATAATCTGACTTCAACTTTTCCAACACTATTTCCCACTACTCTTCTGCACATTCCCTACTCAACAGCCAAACTGTAATTATTAAAGACCCTGCCTTCTTAAAACAATTTCTTGAATTCCAAGTATCAAAGCCTCCTACATCACAGACTGCCACTTCTATCCTTTCCTGTGTTTTTTTTTTTTTTTTTTATTTCTCCAAATTTGAAAAAGCAGAAGCTCAAAGCAAGTTCGTCAAACATCTTTGCTATCTATACTTTCTCCCTAGGAACATATATATGCTAATGATCTCTAAATGTATCTCTAGCTCACCTAGCTCCCAGAACTTCAGACTGAAATATCCAACTGTCTCTTCAACATCTTCATATAGATGTCAGATATCTCAAACTTGATGTGCCCAAACTTGAACTCCAATTTCCTTTTGCAGTCTGACCTCAATAAATAGCAATTCCTTTGGTGCAGTTACTTAGGCCAAAATCCTTGGAGTCACCTTTGGTTCCTCTTTCTCCCACAACCAATTCATGAGCAAATCCTACTGGCTTCATAGTATATCCAGAGTCTGACCATAGCTCACCAATTTCACTGCTTCTATATTGATCCACACTACTGTAGCTCTTACCTGGATTATTCGAAATAGCTTCCTAATGGGAAACTTCACTACTTGCCCTTATCCCCTTCAGTATAGTCTCAAAGCAACAGAGAATATTAGTGTTAGAATGGAAGGCAGACTATGTCACCCCCTCTGCTTAAAATACTCCAATGGCTTCCTTGCTCACTCTAAAAGCAAATACCTAAACGTTTAAACTAATCCACAAGGCTTCCTATGACTTGGCTGACATCCCATCCCACCAGCTTCCGTCCTCCACAGATCTCATCTCTTACTTGCTCTAGCTTGCTCACTCTTCCAAAGCTACCATCTTCCTTGCTGTTCCTCAACACATCAAGCAGGTTTTGCATTTGCTATTTCCTCTGCATAGATGACCTTCCCCCTTACTGGATATCATGATAATATTGTCCCTCAATTCTTGCATTTCTGATCACATGTCATCTTTCCAGTGAGAATTTCCCTGCCCACCCTGAAACTCCACATCTCTTCCCGTGTCGTTTTCTCCACAGCCTTTGCATGGTTAGCTGTTGCCACAGTAAAAACAGTAAAAGCCCATCCCCAAACTAAATGGCTTCAGATAGCTATTCTCATGGATCTGTGGGTCAGCTGGGACAGCTGTGCTTCATGTGTGTTTATTCTGGGACTCGGCAGTGACAATGACAGAAGCACAAGAAGGCAAGCAGGAACACACGGAACCCCTTAAGCTTAGATTCAGAAGTTACACAAGGGCACTTCTGTCCCATTCTGCTGGCCAGAAGTCAAGGAGCAGGAACATCTCAACAACCCTTTCAGTGGGAGGAGATGCAGACAAAGTAACATGGCAAAGAGTGTTGAGTATAGGACGGGATGAAGAACTGAGGTCAATGAAACAAGCTGCTACATCATGTAACATCATCTGACAATCCCATATGTTTACTTATTTGTTCACACTATGTTCTCACTAGCTACTGCAAAAAGGTAGAAACTCCAATTCATTCACTACTTTGTTCCGAGTGACTAAAACTGAGCCTACACATGTAAGATACTTGATAAATATGTTGAATGGACAAATTTACCACTCATGCAGTCATTCAATATGCCTACTATATACCAGAAGCTATGCTATATGCTAAAGATAGTGAATAAAGCACATGGCAACTGTCCTTAAGACAACAAGGTAATATCTAGTGAGGAGGCAGGTGTAGGCCATTATTAACAATGATACACACTAATAATAAAAAATTAGCAAACAATTATTGAGCACCTATGTAACAGGCATTGTTCTAAGAGGTATAGATAAATTAATTTAATCTCCTCAACAATTTTATGAGGTGGGTACTATTACCCAGTTTTATAAAGGAGGAAAGAGAGGTACACAGAACTTAAATAAATCATCCAAGGTCGCACAGTTAGTAAATGTTGGCACCAGAATTCAAATCCAAATGGCCTGGTTCAGAACCAATATGCTGCATGCCTCAACAAGACAGGTGCTAGTCAGAGATGCTGTGGAAGCAAAGAGGTACACACCTAACTCAATTAGGAGGCTAGAAAAGCCAGCCTCTCCTAAAAAGTTTAAATTTTCTTATCAGGAACTATCTTATTTTATCAACCTACAATCAACGTAAGGCGCACCTCAAGTTCAGATATGAAAAAATGTGAAAAAATGGCCAATGACAATTTTATGTCTGATTATAAAATGCACGCTGGTTTTACAAATCAAAATGTGCAAAAAAATGTGTGTGTTCTCTTGCTGTCGGCTTCCTCTTTACACATGCGCACACACACTCACACACGTATGTACTTCCGCTGCCATATATGCTAAGTCAGTCTTGTCTTTTTTAGATTTGGTTTAATATTCAACGACATGACTCTCCACTACGGATAAATTTTGATGTCACCAAGCCCAAGCTATGGAAGTCTTTCTTTTCAAGAAGTCTTCTATATCCTGGCCTTTCCAGTGTTCAGGTATAATTCTTCTATTAACAATGTAGACTAAGAAAAGTGGGGGATTTTAAATCATTATACTGGGTAGCCAGGTATTTTTTGACGCTTAGTTCTATTTCTAGATATTCAGTTAAAAATAATGTTTCTCAAACTTATTTCAGCCCACTCACAATAAGAAATTACCACCATTATCGTGAACCAGTATATACAAATGTGGAAAAACAAATTTTGATATAATGAGCCTCAGGCCATTAAAGTACCACAAAATATATTCTACTTAATTTTTTAAATGCTGGACTCATTTCACTAAATTAATCATCAGATTTCATGACTGCTATTAAAACATGAAGTCATACCACAGGGCATGAGCCACTAGAGGCTCGTAAAGTTAATTTAGAGGGTCCTGGCTGTAGTAAGATTGTTACGTAGTAAGCATGAAAATTGTTTACTAATACTTTTGTTAGCTACATGTTTATATGTGTGTGTGTATACTGAGTGTGCAGTATAAAATCTTTTTACTGTGATCCAGACCTTTCCAAAAAGTTTAAAAAACAGTGCTCTAGAGAAATCCTTCCATGTGTACAAGGTGACATATACAAGACTGTTTTCATAGAAAGATTCTAGCCTAAAAACTGGAGTTAGATGAGATAAAATACATATAGTACATAATGGAATCTTTTTTAAATTTTTTAACGTTTATTTATTTTTGAGAGAGAGCATGAACAGGGGAGGGGCAGAGAGAGAGGGAGATACAGAACCGGAAGCAGGCTCCAGGCTCCGAGCCATCAGCCCAGAGCCCGCCGCGGGGCTCGAACTCACGGAACGTGAGATCATGACCTGAGCTGAAGTCGGACGCTTAACCGACTGAGCCACCCAGGCGCCCCCATAATGGAATCTTTTATAGTAGTTACACGAATGAATCAATGTCAATAAATCTTATTAGCACTCTAAAAATATGTATGTTATTATCTCTAAAGGTAATGTTAAGGGAAGGAAGGCAAGCTGCATATTCACAGTATAAAATATTGCATAAATAGACTTGTCCAATCACTATGTTGTACACCTAAAACTCATGAACATTGTGTGTCACTATACTTTAAAAAAAAAAAAAACAAAAACTATTACATAAAGTTTAGAAAATACCCAAACGAAAACAACACATTGTTTAGGGATACATAGATCTGTGATAAAATCATAAATACATTTTATTAACTTGCCTGTTTCTACCAGGTGTGATGTAAACACCAGGAGAGCAGGGATTTTTATTCATGGCTATATACCCATCACCTGAAAAAAATGCCTGGCTCACAGTAGTTGTATGTTGAACCAAAGTGCTAAAAAACAAATTCAGGTCCTGGTTACCTCTGTGATGAGAAAGGAGATGAAAATGAGAAAGAACCAAACCGCCATAATTTATTTGTGATATTGTACTTCAGGTGGGTCATGGGTACATTGGCATCCATTATAATGTATCTGAAAGTCTGAGATTTCGTAACTTTTTAAAAAAGATTTAGAAAAGGATGTATAGCTATTCAAATTCAAGTTAAGTGTTTTTCCGGAATTTCTGAACTATTTCCTCTTTTATAGCCAGAAGAACTAATTTACCAGCGCACAGACAAAGCGGCCGCAGCTGAGCTACAAGACAGGTCATACAATACCCATAAATCCACATGCAATCTGTCACTAGGAGTGCAATCCCAAACTAAACAATTCTCAGCCTGGATCCATAATCTGAGCAGTTAAACTTTAGTTCATGTTTAGAGACAGATACCAAATACAGATGTGATCTCTAAATGCCACAGCCCAAAGGGCGGATGGAACAAACAGAAGTGAGCTCCAGCAATGACAGGTAGTTTTCCAAAACTTTACCTCAGATTAGAGTTCAGCATCATGTTGTTATGGTTCCTGTTCAGACATGTCATAATCCTCAACTTAAAATATGCCTCAGTGGCTTACTGAACTGCAGCTAGTTTATAAACCGAACACATGGGGAAGTCTGGTCTCTATGAGATTTAATGATATTAACTCCCCATAATCCTCATAACCCTGTAAAACAAAACTTACTCTTCCAGTTTTGCAAATGTGGAAACCGAGGTTCAGAGAGGTCAGCATACTTGTTAAGTGTTAGAGGGGGCTTCTGTGCCCAGCCAGGTCTTTCTGATTTCAAAGCCTGTGTGCTCTTTCTACTGTATCAAGCTGTGTAAAGAGCAGCATGTCAAACACACAAGAATAACTGTGACCCTTTTTAAGTTATTACGACTAGAAGACACCAATTTATTCTCAATTTCAAATCTATATAAAGCCTTACTGGAGACCCCCACCTAGAGCAACTAACTCCCCCCAAAAGTCTTTTTTGTTTCTTCTGATGGTTTCAGGATACTGTATTAATTAGACCCACATCATCTATTCTTCCAATACTGATGAAGTGTGTGGCAATTCACCCATACTCTCTTGCTCGGGCCATCTTGAAACCCAGAATGAAAATATGTAGAATGTGCCAAACAAGAAGTGGATCCTACAGCTACTGAGCAGTGGGGAGCTGGCTGGTCCCCTAAATCTGTGCTTGGTTAGGGATACACAGGAGGCTTTAGAATTGACAGGGTTTTGACTCAAACCCCAGCTCCCTTGCCATTGTCAACTCACTTATCCTACTTCAAACTGTCCCCAGGTAAGTAAAATCCACCCATAGAGTCACTGTTAGGATTAATGTTTATTAACCTTTGAGAGAGAGACAGAGCATGAGTGGGACAGGGGCAGAGAGAGAGGGAGACACAGAATCCCAAGCAGGTACCAGGCTCCAGCTGTCAGAACAGAGCCTGATGTGGGTTTCGAACTCACGGATTGTGAAATCATGACCTGAACCGAAGTCAGATGCTTAACCAACTAAGCCACCAAGGTGCCCCCAAGTCACTGTTAGGATTAAATAAAAATTTAAAAAAAAAAAAAAAAAAAAGCATTTTGCACAGTACCTGGTTAAAAAAAAAAAGGCTCAATAAATGGTAGCCATTTTCCTTTATTCTGTGTTTGAAACTTAATTTTTGATATCCTGCTTTATAGCTAATATGACAGGTACTGGATCCACAGGATATAAAGCTTAGTGAGGATGGTTTTTCTGAAAACAGTTTCGAGGCAATCTAGGAAAACAATACTCATCAACAGAAATCACAGCACAGGGTAAAGAATCAACATGCGGCATTAACAGCCCTACAGAGAGTTAAGGCTTTCAACATAAATGTGCCTAGTGAATGACCATGTCACTGAATCCCCACCGCATACAAGCTGTACCTTTGCTGACAGAATCCAATCAGCAAAAAGATGGAGCTTCTTTTTTATAAACAGGATTGAAAAAATACTCAAAGAGAAAATCATGGACTGGCGGCCACGGCATCTGACCAGGTGGAACAGGTACTGCACCTCCGCGCTACGACACTTCCTGCCTCTGTTAGAGAGAAGCCGAGGAGAGGACGTGGAAGACGACCACAGAGGAGAGCTGCTCAAGCAGCTGGGAGACTACCGGGTAAGTGCGATGGCTCTAAACTGAGCCTGTGGACTGCATTTCAAATTGGAAATTGCTTGGTAATGGATTTTTGGAATCAAAATGCTGACTCTGCTCTCCAAAGCACATAGATGTAGCGGCATAGGCTAAAGGATGTAATTAAAAGTTCACATCTCAGTAATTAAGCTATTATTAAACAGCAAAATGCCTCCAGACACTGAAAATGCTAAGAGAGTAATGCAATGAAAAATACCTTAAATAAAATGCATTCAAAAGTCTTGAATACAATTAAAATATCTGGCTATATCCTATTAGGCTCAACTGTGCATAAAGGTGAAACCAACCAGGGGCGCCTGGGTGGCTCCGTCGATTAAATGTCCGACTTTGGCTCAGGTCATGATCTCGCGGTCCGTGAGTTCAAGCCCCGCATCGGGCTCTGTGCTGACAGCTCAGAGCCTGCAGCCTGCTTCGGATTCTGTGTCTCCCTCTCTGCCCCTCCCCCAAAATTAAATTTTGTGCTCTGTCTCTCTCAAAATTAAATTTAAAAACATTTAAAAAAATTTTTAAAAAAGGAAAATTCTCATTAATACGTGTGCCCTCCTGCCTGTCAGTAGTGCTGTGTTCACATCCTACAGCCAGATAATAAAACCTAGAAAGCAGTCTCAAACTAAGACAGTAAGCCTTGTTGGCTGAACAGCATGATGTCAAGTTGGACATTTAATTCTATTCACGGACTACAACAAGGTTTTCAGCGAGGCTGTCTTCAAGGAACAAAACACGTAATTCAGTCTTGGGCAATGAAAAGAATTCATTGGCTTATTTAAGTCACAGTATCAGAGTGCACCAGTCTTCTTGAAGTCTTTCCACCCTGCCCTCCACCGCGCAGCGGTGTTGGGCTCGCTGTTTTCATGGTATCCAATAGCGGAACAGCTCCAGGGCAGGACTCACGTCTGCACGCACACTGTGCAGAGCAGGCGAGAGCATCTGTGTGCCATTATTCCTATCCAGTTTCCTGAGACTCACTTTGACAGATCAGTCAGTGTGGCCACAGGGAAAGAGTGTTGATTAGCTGAATCCAGGTCCCTGGAAACACATAGGTTACCACACAAACTCGGGGCTATCAGGCAGAGGGAAAGGAAGTGGAGGGTGGCTGGGTGCTAACAGCTGTCTTATACACCAATATACTAGCAACTAAACAAAAGAGCCATCTGGCCCCTCTCCATTTTCTGTATTGCTAATATATAGTTGAATACAAGAGCAGAACTAAACAAGTGACTGTGAGATGCAGAAGAAGACAAGAGAATTAAGAATTGCGTATGTTTACATGAAGAAAAAATACAATGAAATCTTCAAGCTTCACTAATGACTACAAATCTTGGTTGTGTTTTTTTCCTTCAGTTCTCTGGATTTCCCCTTCACATGCCCTATTCTGAACTGAAGCCTTTAATTGAAGCAGTATATAGCACTGGAGTACATAATATTGATGTTCCTAATGTTGAATTTGCTTTAGCTGTATATATCCACCCATACCCCAAAAATGTTTTGTCTGTTTGGATCTATGTTGCCTCTCTCATACGCAACAGGTAACTTTTTTCATCGTATACTTTTTGTATCATGTAGAAACTATTTCATAGGACAATAATCTTAAGTGATATTGATCACATCAGAAGGAAGAAATTATTTGTAAATAATGAAAATGATCGTTTTCAAAATAAATGTTTTTATTTAGTAGTCTGTCTTGCTTTCTGCCACCCTGACCCTCAATTCAATTCAGGCTACCCACAGTTCCCCTCACACTAATAGTCTTCCTACCTATGCCACTGTGCTTACCTTCCACTTGGAAAGCCCTTCCTCTTTGCCTGTCCAGCAGAATACCATTACCCTTTTAAGATCCAGCAAAACAACACAACTTTTCTGGGGGAAAGAGGAAAAACTTTGCAATACGGAGTTTGTATGTTTAATGCCAAATACCTTAAGACCTTATCCTACAGAAATACTGAGCAAATGTGCACAAGTACACAAATGTGCACACACGCACACACACACTCCTACTGAAGCAATATAGTATTTCGGGGGGGGGGGGGGGGAAGAAATATACTTAAACATGCACCAAAAGGGAAGCCATTTAAGAAATTAAGACATGGCTATGGACTGAACATTTGTGATCCCACAAAATTCCGGTCTTGAAACCCAAATTCCCTATGTAATGGTATTTGGAGATAGGTCCTCTGGGAGGTTATGAGAGTGGAGGCCCTGTGTTGGGATGAACACCATCATTTGAGAGGAGAGAGTCTGCTTCCTTTCTTTAGACCATGTGTGGATACAATGAGAAGAGGGCGGTCTGCACACCAGAAGAACAGCCCTTACCAGAAGCCAGATCTGCCAGCACCTTAACTAACCCTGGACTTCCCAGCCTCCAGATATATGAGAAATAAATGTTGTTTAAGCCACCCACCACTGTTATAACAACCCAAACAGACTGAGACAGACACAGACACTACTATAGTAAGCCATTAAAAGGATTAAAGGTAGGGGTGCCTGGGTGGCTTAGTCTGTGAAGCATCAGACTTCGGCTCAGGTCACGATCTCCCAGTTCAAGAGTTGAAGCTCTGCATCAGGCTCTCTGCTGTCAGCACAGAGCCCACTTCAGATCCTTGGTCTCCCTCTCTCTCTGCCCCGGCCCTGCTTGCACTCTGTCTCTCTCAAAAATAAACATTAAGGGGCAACGGGGTGGCTCAGTTGGTTGAGCATCTGACTTCAGCTATCTGACTTTGGCTCAGGTCAGGATCTCGCATTCTGGGAGTTCGAGCCCCATGTGGGGTCTGCGCTGACAGCTCAGAGCCTGGAGACTGCTTCGGGTTCTGTCTCCCTCTCTATCCCTCCCCAGCTTGTGCACATGCACTCTCTCTCTAAAACTAAATAAACTTTAAAAAAATTTTAACAAAAATTAAAAACATTTAAAAAAATTTTTTAAAGGTATTAAATGTATGTGCTAACATGGAAAGATGTACACAAACAGAAATACATAAAGCAGGATTTCTCAGCAGAAGCACTACTGACATTCTGGGCCAAGTAGTGTGTGGCTGCGGAGGGCTGACCTGTTCATCAGAGGATGTTTAGCAGCACCCCTGACCCCTCCCCACTAGATGCCAGTTGCATCCCTTCTTGCCAACTCTGCCAAGATGTGACAACCAAACATGTTTCCAGATGTTGTGTAATGTCCTCTGTGGGATAAACTACCTCCAGTTGAGAACCAGTGATTAGCTGGAATCACTTAAAAAAATAATAAAAATAAAAATAAAGAGGGACCAATTAAGGAAAAACTCTCACCTTTTGCTTTACTCCCTTATGCCTTCCTCTATCAAATTATATTACTTATGTATTTACAGGCCCCTGATAACTCAACTATGAACTCTTAAGGGAGAGTTCAAAGACTGACCCCTAACGGTCGTTACCAGGGTAATCCACGGACAAGTTAACCCCTCTGCTACTTATTTTCCCCATAAGATCAAAATGATCACATGACTTACTTCGTTGCACTGTTTAAACAAGTCAGTATATGTAAGTACAGGTACTCAGAACACCACCCAGCACTGACTGAGCACCTGATGTCAGGCACCCCAAGGCATTTTACATTAACTTGTATTTTATTCTAAGAATGAACAGTCCCAATAATTCGTGATATCAATTACAAAACCCAAGGTAAATGTAAAACAAGTATATATAGTGTTTCATCAAATACTAAATAAGTATCCCCTGAAGTTAATGTATAAAAATTAGATATAACTTATGTTGTCTATCTCCCCATGCAACTAAAGGAGAGGTAGAGTAGGAAAACAGTGAGTCTCCATATAACAACGTGCTGACACACCGAAGTCCATTAAGTCCAAGACTGCCAAGGCCTATTTAATGGTTTGCTAATATCAAGAAGCACAGGACAAAGGGAGACACCTCAATTACCTGGTACCCCTGAGGAAATTAGCCGCTCAAATTAATTAACTGAAAAGGATAACATTTAAGTCAAGTTCTGAAACAATGAATCATGATTTTTTCCCATAAGTGTTATCAAAATTTCTCCTCCCCAAATAGTATACTGTTCTGTGGTTACATGGAGGATAAACTTCACTCATCACTCGATTACTCAGGGCCAGGAGTCCAGAGGAGTAATTCTACTTACGATTCATGTAAATACAGACAAGATGCAGTTGGGGTTGGATGGACTCACTCCAGAAGAATTCTCGTAGTTTGTTTTACTGAAATGGTCCCCGATGGGAACTGCTCAAATCAGGTTTATTAAACACTTAAGGAAATAAAAATACAGTAACTACAAGAGAATCAACCTTACAAAATAAAACTTCAGATCCTGTAAGTGCTAAGCTCAGATTTCCTTCCAAGCTAAGGGAATCAAGAAGTCACTTCTTTGTGCTTAGGCCAGACTTCTAAAGGAGGTGACTAGGTGCCACGGAACCACCTAAGAGGTACAAGCTCAAACAAGTAAGATGGTCTGCTTACACAGCTGTCTTTTCCTACATGCAAGAAACATTTTGCAAGTGTCAGCTGTGACACAAGGAGAGAACCCTGACAAGAGGGGAAACTTCGGAGTCATTATCATAGCCACGCCCCAAGAGGTGGGTCTCCCTGCCATGTTTAATTCAAATGATAGTGAGACTTAAAAGAAAGGGGGGATTTCTCATCAAATGATTCTTCCTTCATCTTTAGACAGCTGTCTAAAATAGTCTTCTCTTCGCCTGAACTGAAACCTGTCTGCCGTAGTTTGTATCTTTCCTAGTCCTCCTGTCCCTCAATAAAACAAACAAAAGAATGCCTGGGACCACAAGTAACAAGACTGCAAGACTGCTTCCTCTTCCACAGACTTGCATGTATTTCCAACAGCAGATGACTGTTCTTTTTTGGACACAACATTATACAGCACATTACAGAAAACTGATTCAGGGGCGCCTGGGGAACTCAGTCAGTTAAGCGTCCAACCTCGGCTCAGGTCATGATCTCACAGTTCATTAATTCAAGCCCCACATCGGGCTCTCTGCTGTCAGCACAGAGCTCGCTTGGGATCCTCTGTCCACCCCGCCCCCTCCTCTTGGCCCCTCCCCTGCTCATGCTTGCTCAAGCACTCTTTCTCTCTCTGTCAAAAATAAACATTTTTTAAAAAACTGATTCAATATGTGTTTTTCTGAATGATAGGTTCCCATTCCCACTGTCTTTTCACACAGCAATGGAGACAGACATACACAAATTCTGGCTACTGCACAATAATTTCAAAAAAGACCATTCAGCTCAACAAAATTAGGTATCTGTCTAAAACTGCCAGGATCATGACTTCATGGGAGCTCAAAACAAAATATTTAATCTTATTTTACACTAATGTAAATGTGAATTGAGATTTCTAATAAAATCAAAACACCAAAAAATTATTTGGTAAAGTCCTCAAAGTAAATTTTATTGATACATTTCTTCAAAGGATTGTGGAATTTTTAAAAATCCCTTCCAAATTTGACAATTTAGGGACAGTGGTAGGAACCAGGAGTATCTGAAGAAAGCAAATACAAATACATTGGTGCTTTGCTAGCTCACTGAGCTAACACCAAGAAGCCAATTTATTCTATTATCTTAAGGAACCTTACATATGGGTATGTTTGAATTGGCCCTCTGAGAATTGTTCAAATAAAGGAAACATGGGGAAAAAAAGACTGGTTTTCAAAATGTGCTATCTTTGAAAATAAAACTTCAGAAATGTATGTTTGAAAGGATCTGCAAAGCTTGGTACAGTGTTTATATATAAAGAGAACCAATAACCCCCATTGACTTTAAAACTCAAATTAATCTAAAAAATACTCCAAATGGCATGGCATTAGTGACATTCTTTTCAAAGCATTCCATTTAAAAGAAAACCAATAAAACTGTTCTCATCCTTATGAAAAGATCTAATCCCTTTCTAAAACAAAAATATGATTGCAAGAGAAACAACACTGTACAATTCACTGGGAAGTTAAGATTTCTGAGGCTGTAAGACATGGGGCCAAAACAAGTCACACTCAAAGAGGGATGGTTAACACAAGAAATGTGCTATAAGTAAAGTGCATGAAAGGGAGCCTGCTCAGCTAAATGAAGTAGACAAAGATCAGGAGTCAAGGGTCATTCACCAGAGCGGCAGCAGGCTCGAAAACCACACTGCAAATTCTGGCATCCGCTGGCGGTATCAGCATGAGGACCTGTATGAAAACAGAAAAGTGTGAAAGGAGGAATTTCTTAGAGATCACGTGAAAGAGCTAAGACATCTGACTTTTTTTTACTAGCAATCCATGTATGACATAGAAATAAAATGTCCCAATGATTGTATAAAAAATTAGACACAAAAATAGCCAACAGCAGTTCTACTTTAACTGGCCCAAAATCTATAAGAAAGAAGGGAAAGAAATAATTGTTTTGGCAACAGTCTTACAAAATAAAAATCTAAGACAAAAAGATAACCCACAGAAGTAATGTTGTAGGGTAACTTAACACATTTCTTAAACTGTCAACATCCTTCCTAGAAATATAATTAAGACAAAAACAGCCCCATCCATAATACATCAGCTAAAGAATCCACTATTCAGCAATTACAGTAAACATTATATTCGAAACTTAAATAAACTATATAGACATAGACTGAACACGTTCTCCTTATTTTTATTTAACATCTGTAGCAAAACAAATGGTGAGAGTTACGTGAAATT